TACATGACAAGTGCTCTTTTCATACAAGTTTTTCATTCAAAAGTGAATTAACAAAAGCTATTGCAGCTTCTGGCATACTGTTCCTTTAGATCATATTGATTGCTCATTATGCAGTTCTAAAACTGCACTTGGTTTTTTGTTAAGAAATGAACTGGCAAAAAAATATACATTCTCCTCTTAAAACATTTTTTTTTCTTCAAATTAATTAGCCATATATTAGACATTCAATACAATTACATAGATACATATTTTCAATACCGCACATTCAATCTGCCAGAAAATGAATGATTACAAAGCCAACATGGTTGCTGCCATATACACTATCGTTCAAACGTTTATGGTCACTTAGAAATGAAAACATACATGAAATTAGTTTGAATAGGAAATATAGCAAAATGAATAGCAAATGTAGTCATTGACAAGGTTCGAAATAATGATTTTTAATTGAAATAATAATTGTGTCCTTCAAACTTTGCTTTTGTCAAATAATCCTCAATTTGCAGCAATTACAGCCTTGCAGACCTTTTGGCATTCTAGTTGTCAATTTGTTGAGGTAATCTGAAGAGATTTCACCCCATGCTTCCTGAAGCACCTCCCACAAGTTGGATTGGCTTGATGGGAACTTCTTACGTTCAATACGCTCAAGCTGCTCCCACAACAGCTCAATAGGGTTGAGATCCGGTGACTGTGCTGGCCACTCCATTATAGACAGAATACCAGCTGACTACTTCTTCCCTAAATAGTTATTGCATAGTTTGGAGCTGTGCTTTGGTGCATTGTCCTGTTGTAGGATGAAATTGGCTCCAATCAAGCGCTGTCCACAGGGTATGGCATGGCGTTGCAAAATGGAGTGATAGACTTCCTTCTTCAAGATCCCTTTTACCCTGTACAAATCTCCCACTTTACCACCACCAAAGCACCCCCAGACCATCACATTGCCTCCACCATGCTTGACAGATGGCATCAAGCACTCCTCCAGCATCTTTTCATTTGGTCTGTGTCTCACAAATGTTCTTCTTTGTGATCCGAACACCTCAAACTTCGATTCGTCTGTCCATAACACTTTTTTCCAATCTTCCTCTGTCCAGTGTCTGTGTTCTTTTGCCCATCTTAATCTTTTCTTTTTATTGGCCAGTCTGAGAAATGGCTTTGTCTTTGCAACTCTGCCTAGAAGGTCAGCATCCCGGAGTCGCCTCGTCACTGTTGACGTTGAGACTGGTGTTTTGCGCGTACTATTTAATGAAGCTGCCAGTTGAGGACCTGTGAGGCGTCTGTTTCTCAAACTAGACACTAATGTATTTGTCCTCTTGCTCAGTTGTGCACCGGGGTCTCCCACTCCTCTATTCTGGTTAAAGCCAGTTTGCACTGTTCTGTGAAGGGAGTAGTACACAGCGTTGTACGAGATCTTCAGTTTCTTGGCAATTTCTCGCATGGAATGGCCTTCATTTCTCCGAACAAGAATAGACCGGCGAGTTTCTGGCCTTTTGAGCCTGTAATCGAACCCAAAATTGCTGATGCTCCAGATACTCAACTAGTCTCAAGAAGGCCAGTTGTATTGCTTCTTTAATCAGCACAACAGTTTTCAGCTGTGCTAACATAATTGCAAAAGGGTTTTCTAATGATCAATTAGCCTTTTAAAATGATAAACTTGGATTAGCAAACACAACGTGCCATTGGAACACAGGACTGATAGTTTCTGATAATGGGCCTCTGTACGCCTATGTAGATATTCCATTAACAATCAGCCGTTTCCAGCTACAATAGCCATTTACAACATTAACAATGTCTACACTGTATTTCTGATCAATTTGATGTTATTTTAATGGAGAGAAAAAAATAGCTTTTCTTTCAAAAACAAGGAAATTTCCAAGTGACCCCAAACTTTTGAATGGTAGTGTATATATATATATATATATATATATATATATATATATATATATATATATATATATATATATACACTGCTCAAAAAAATAAAGGGAACACTTAAACAACACAATGTAACTCCAAGTCAATCACACTTCTGTGAAATCAAACTGTCCACTTAGGAAGCAACACTGATTGACAATACATTTCACATGCTGTTGTGCAAATGGTATAGACAACAGGTGGAAATTATAGGCAATTAGCAAGACACCCCCAATAAAGGACTGGTTTTGCAGGTGGTGACCACAGACCACTTCTCAGTTCCTATGCTTCCTGGCTGATGTTTTGGTCACTTTTGAATGCTGGCGGTGCTTTCACTCTAGTGGTAGCATGAGACGGAGTCCACAACCCACACAAGTGGCTCAGGTAGTGCAGCTCATCCAGGATGGCACATCAATGCGAGCTGTGGCAAGAAGGTTTGCTGTGTCTGTCAGCGTAGTGTCCAGAGCATGGAGGCGCTACCAGGAGACAGGCCAGTACATCAGGAGACGTGGAGGAGGCCGTAGGAGGGCAACAACCCAGCAGCAGGACTGCTACCTCCGCCTTTGTGCAAGGAGGAGCAGGAGGAGCACTGCCAGAGCCCTGCAAAATGACCTCCAGCAGGCCACAAATGTGCATGTGTCTGCTCAAACGGTCAGAAACAGACTCCATGAGGGTGGTATGAGGGCCCGACGTCCACAGGTGGGGGTTGTGCTTACAGCCCAACACCGTGCAGGACGTTTGGCATTTGCCAGAGAACACCAAGATTGGCAAATTCGCCACTGGCGCCCTGTGCTCTTCACAGATGAAAGCAGGTTCACACTGAGCACATGTGACAGACGTGACAGAGTCTGGAGACGCCGTGGAGAACGTTCTGCTGCCTGCAACATACTCCAGCATGACCGGTTTGGCGGTGGGTCAGTCATGGTGTGGGGTGGCATTTCTTTGGGGGGCTGCACAGCCCTCCATGTGCTCGCCAGAGGTAGCCTGACTGCCATTAGGTACCGAGATGAGATCCTCAGACCCCTTGCGAGACCATATGCTGGTGCGGTTGGCCCTGGGTTCCTCCTAATGCAAGACAATGCTAGACCTCATGTGGCTGGAGTGTGTCAGCAGTTCCTGCAAGTGGAAGGCATTGATGCTATGGACCGCCCGTTCCCCAGACCTGAATCCAATTGAGCACATCTGGGACATCATGTCTCGCTCCATCCACCAACGCCACGTTGCACCACAGACTGTCCAGGAGTTGGCGGATGCTTTAGTCCAGGTCTGGGAGGAGATCCCTCAGGAGACCATCCGCCACCTCATCAGGAGCATGCCCAGGCGTTGTAGGGAGGTCATACAGGCACGTGGACGCCACACACACTACTGAGCCTCATTTTGACTTGTTTTAAGGACATTACATCAAAGTTGGATCAGCCTGTAGTGTGGTTTTCCACTTTAATTTTGAGGGTGACTCCAAATCCAGACCTCCATGGGTTGATAAATTTGATTTGCATTGATAATTTTTGTGTGATTTTGTTGTCAGCACATTCAACTATGTAAAGAAAAAAGTATTTAATAAGATTATTTCATTCATTCAGATCTAGGATGTGTTATTTTAGTGTTCCCTTAATTTTTTTGAGCAGTGTATATATGAGAAAGAGATGTATGTATAATGATTATAGCATTCATAATTGCACTATGCCTCAATAAAATGTAAATTACAGGCTTATGTTTAGAGCATTGTTACAAAAAACTGATATACTCAGAGAAATAACTGGGGGTCAGAGCCACTGGAGCCAATCAGAGGTGAGGATTACTTTGGTACAAATTGTGCTCAATGCTCCGTCCCCTTTAACATGGGAAACAGCTAATCATCTCCCCTGCTAACAAACTAAAACAGTCAGCCAGCCAGGCTGTGATTGGACAATCAAAAGGACACAGCTGCATTGCGATTGCTCAGTCTACTTGAGACATCAGCGCTATGATTGGCTGCCATATCTGCATTTGCGGTGGCCCAGCTAAGTCCAGGCAGTGACAGAAGACTAGCAGCACCGCTACAAGAGAAGAGCCCCTTTAAAAGGCAGATTCTCACAACTGACTCTGTGTCACCCATCAGTAGAGCAAGGTCCTCCATTCCCCCGGTCCCTGCCTCTGTCTGGGCAAAATAAAATAACAATTTCATACTGTGTAAGGAGTACTAAACCCAAGACTTGAATAAAAAGGGGCCTATGGAATACATCCGTCCACATACTCACAGCCGGTCACTAGCGGAGTTCAGCAAGTGGTTTTGGCATTCAACAATTAATACAAGATGGTTGAGAAAAGTTTAACCAAAAACAGGGTGAAACACTTTAAAAAGGTCACTCATGCGCATGGTAAACTCTTGGTGCCTTCATTTACATTTTAGTCATTTAGCAGACGCTCTTATCCAGAGCGACTTACAATTAGTACAAAAGGCTGTGTCCTGTCTTGCCTCCAATACTCTTTCTAGTTAACAGCGCGAAAGGGTGCCTCGAGTTAACGCTACATCCTTTTGGCATCGGCAATAAATAGGACCTTAAAAAGCGTGGTACAACACTGTCCATTAAATAACTGACTCCTGACCCTGGGGCCTGCGAAGGGCGATGATCATCATGGTGCTCCCTCACTATACAGCCCAATTTTAAGAAATCACAGTATCAACACTTTTCACCCTTTCGGAGGAATCTATGTGTTAATTCGCCACAGGCTGGCGGTGGAATGGACCGACTAGGTTGAATCAAAAACAAAAAGGCGGGAGCACCTTGGAATCAAGTTCAGAGGCGTTGGACAGAACCCAGCCGCCACATTGAGTGTCTTTAAAATTGTTTTGCTAAAAACAATTCTAATAATTGGAGGAACTGTGCTGTACATATCCAACAGCAACCTTCAAACCCTCTAAACTCTTCAATCATGTTCTCTTTTAAATAGAAAAAAGAAAAGGGTCAACAATGGCAATAAATTAATATTATGCAACCATTTCTTTTCCCTTCACAGATTTGACAGTGAGTAAGTTGGAGAAAGGTCTCTGGGCCCCAGCCTTGCTGCGCTCATGCTGAAGAAGTCCCTTCTAATATTCTAACTCTATGGTTTCACACCAGGTTGTACTCCTTCAGGTTGAGCTGCAGGATGGTGTCTTTGACGGCGGCGAACACAAAGCGGATGTTCTCCGTGTCCGTGGCGCAGGTGAAGTGGGAGTAGATTATCTTGTCACTGTCTGGGTTCAGGTCCACAAACATCTTCAGGATGAACTCGCGGCCAGCCTGGGCATCTCTCTGGGGACCTATGTTAGAGACATTAATATATTATAAGCCTTGTTATTACACATTATAAAGGCTCATGAATGCTTTTAACAACTCATAAACCATTATACCCACAGGCTTTACGTAAAGTGAGGCCACTCACCGTCAAACTCCGGGAAGTAGTCGACCAGGTGGGAGTACGTGATCTTCTCCTCCAAGAGGTCCTTCTTGTTGAGGAAGAGGATGACGGAAGAGTTCTGGAACCAGGGATATGTGATGATGGTCCTGAACAAAGCTTTACTCTCCTCCATTCGGTTCTGAGAGAGAAACGAGGGTAGAAGAACACAGTTTGTTAAGTCCAGCTGCTCTCATTAAAGGGATAGTTTAGCTACACTATCCCGTTAAGTACAGGTTTTAAATCAGATAGAGAGACACAGAGAGACACAGAGAGAGAGAGAGAGAGAGAGAGAGAGAGAGAGAGAGAGAGAGAGAGAGAGAGAGAGAGAGAGAGAGAGAGAGAGAGAGAGAGAGAGAGAGAGAGAGAGAGAGAGAGAGAGAGAGAGAGAGAGAGAGAGAGGATGGCCTTCAGATGCCTTTTCAGTTCACTACTGGGCTGCTATGTACTTTCTTTTAACCTTTACATTCACTGCTAGACACACACACAGCACCTAAAGCACATTAAGTGTACCCACAAAGTCCATTCTATGATGTCATATCCATTTAGACAAGAGTATTGTCACAAATCTCTGCTCATTTGTGTGCGGTGCTCCACAAGCAATCTTTCAGGTCTTCTAATTCTCAGATTTGCATGGAGGTTTGAGCTGCAGGTTTGAAGTACAGGTGACAAAACGGTCAAATGTCACAGCTTTACATCCAACCAACTGGTCTTATGCTGTTTATATTGTATCGTCACCATAAACATTAATGATGTTTTAACGGTCTCTCTCAGATGTTTTTCCCCAAGGACACTGAGACAGTGGAAAAGCCAAGAGCATGCTGGAAACTGCTGGGAACAAACAGATGGTATGCCTTCTCTTAAGGAAGTTCTGTTGCCCCGAGGCTGTATTCAAAACAGCTTCTCTTAAGGAAGTTCTGTTGCCCCGAGGCTATATTCAAAACAGCTTCTCTTAAGGAAGTTCTGTTGCCCCGAGGCTGTATTCAAAACAGCTTCTCTTAAGGAAGTTCTGTTGCCCCGAGGCTGTATTCAAAACAGCTTCTCTTAAGGAAGTTCTGTTGCCCCGAGGCTGTATTCAAAACAGCTTCTCTTAAGGAAGTTCTGTTGCCCCGAGGCTGTATTCAAAACAGCTGATTTCCAAGTGAAAGGGAGGTCTAGCTGTCTTATTTCCATTCTTTTAAATAAGGAAAAGCCTTTCACCTTCAGAAGTGCAGAGGTGTGCCTCTAATACCCCTGTCTGTTGTACACCATAGTTGAGAAAGAAGACCATTGCCACAGATATATTCACATTATTTTGCCAATTGGAATAATGTAATTTGAGTGACCGAATTGTACAATGTTTCAGAGACCTGTAATTAACTTGCTTTGTTGGATATTATTGGGAGTCCTATTGTCAAATTATGTAACTTCATGCAAAGTGCTGCTGTTAACTAAATAGTCAAATAGGTGTACTTTGTGTGTGTGTGTGTGTGTCAGGGCCGGCGCCAGAACGAATCATTTGAACGGGCATTTGCGTGCTCAGCCCCCTCCTGTACTCCCTGTTCACCCATGACTGCGTGGCCAAGCATGCCTCCAACTCAATCATCAAGTTTGCAGACGACACAACAGTAGTAGGCTTGATTACCAACAATGACGAGACCGCCTACAGGGAGAAGGTGAGGGCTCTCGGAGTGTGGTGTCAGGAAAATAACCTCTCACTCAATGTCAAAAAAACAAAGGAGATGATCGTGGACTTCAGGAAACAGCAGAGGGTGCACCCCCCTATCCACATCGACGGGACCGCAGTGGAGAAGGTGGAAAGCTTCAAGTTCCTTGGCGTAGACATCACCGACAAACTGAAATGGTCCACCCACGCAGACAATGTGGTGAAGAAGGCGCAACAGAGCCTCTTCAACCTCAGGAGGCTGAAGAAATGTGGCTTATCACCTAAAACCCTCACAAACTTTTACAGATGCACAATTGAGAGCATCCTGTCGGGCTGTATCACCGCCTGGTACGGCAACTGCACCGCCCACAACCACAGGGCTCTCCAGAGGGTGGTGCGGTCTGCCGAACACATTACCGGGGGCAAACTACCCGCCCTCCAAGACACATACAGCACCCGATGTCACAGGAAGGCCAAAAAGATCATCAAGGACATCAACCACCCGAGCCACTGCCTGTTCACCCCGCTATCATCCAGAAGGCGAGGTCAGTACAGGTGCATCAAAGCTGGGACCGAGAGACTGAAAAACAGCTTCTATGTCAAGGCCATCAGACTGTTAAATAGCCATCACTAGCACATTAGAGGCTGCTGCTGCCTATTGAAATCACTGGCCACTTTAAGAAATGGAACACTAGTCACTTTAATAATGTTTACATATCTTGCACTACTCATCTCATATGTATATACTGCATTCTATTCTATAATATTCTTCTGTATCTTAGTCCATGCCACTCTGTCCTTGCTTGTCCATATATGTATATATTCTTAAATCCCATTCCTTACTAGTTTTGTGTGTATTGGGTATATGTTGTGAAATTGTTAGATATTACTGCACTGTCGGAGCTAGAAGCACAAGCATTTCGCTACACCCGCTATAACATCTGCTAAACACGTGTATGTGACAAATAACATTTGATTTGATTTGATTTGAGAAAGCATCTGAGCGAGCGAAACAGCGCCCCTCTGTCTTACTATATGTATCCCATGTACCTGATGCTGTATGGCCAAAAAGAGTATGACATGCCATAATCCTTTTTGGCCAGACAGCATCAGATACATGGGCTACACATACTGTGACAGAGGGGCGCTGTTTAGCTCACTTTGATGCTTTATCTGAGATTCATGAGTCTTTCTGTCGGCGCTCGTCAAAAATGATTAATACTTAAATATTTTATTTGGACAGGCACGGAGATACGGTAGGGCAGGCTAGACCCCCTAAGGCCCGCCCATAACACCGGCCCTGTTGTGTGTGTGTGATAGACATACTGTACAGTTGTTAACAAAAACGCTCACCTCGTTATCGGATTCTACGAGCACCTGGTCATACTCGCTGAGTGCCACCAGAAACATGATGGATGTGACATTCTCAAAGCAGTGGATCCACTTCCTCCTCTCTGACCTCTGACCCCCCACGTCCACCATCCTGTCACAGGAACAGAGGAGCAACGTTAAGTGCAGATGACTTGAGTACCACTAGAGTTGGCATGGAAATATACTGTAGGTCCTATTCGTGTTTGCTACATGATCATTGTTTCAGTGAACTTGTAAGCCTGTCCTATACACTATTTATTACGTACACCACCCGTTGACAAAAATGGTTCACTCCTACAGACAGTGAGTCACGTGGCCTTGGGATGCTATATAAAGCAGGCAGACTGGCATCGAGGCATTCAGTTACTGTTCAATTGAATGTTAGAATGGGCAAAACTAACGACCAAAGCAACTGAGCGTGGTATGGTCGTCAGTGCCAGGCGCGCAGGTTCCAGTATCTCAGAAACGGGAAGCGTCCTGGGCTTTTCACGCACAACAGTGTCTAGGGTTTACAGAGAATGCTGCGACAAACAAAAAACATTGTCAGTCAGTGGCAGTCCTGTGGGCGAAAACAGCTCGTTAATGAGAGGTCAAAGGAGAATCGTGAGAATCGTACAAATAACAGCGCACTACAACAGTGGTGTCCAGAACAGCATCTCGGAACGCACAACTGGCCGATCGTTGTCACGGATGGGCTATTGCAGTAGACGACCACACTGGGTTCCACTCCTATCAGCTAGAAACAAGAAGAAGCGACTCCAGTGAGCACGCGATCACCCACACTGGACAATGGAGGAGTGGAAAAACATCCCCTTGTCCAACGAATCCCGGTTCCTGTTGCATCATGCCGATGGCAGAGTCAGGATTTGGCGTAAGCAGCATGGGTCCATGGCTCCATCAACGGTACAGGCTGGTGGCGATGGTGTAATGGTGTGGGGAATGTTTTCCTGGCACACGTTAGGTCCCTTGATACTAATTGAGCAACGTTTCCATCCCCGAAGAATTCAGGCTGTTCTGGAGGCAAAGGGGGGTCCGACCCGGTACTAGATGGCCACTGAGTGTAGATACCTCAAGAATATAACATCAATTGGTAGAGCTCCACCCACTGGTCTGTTCTCCCCACTACACCAATATGGAAGTGGAAGGCTACATATAATCAGTGGCTAGTGTGAGAACTGAGACGATCCTTCATCTCAGGGTGTCATTCTATTCCATTGTTGCTTTGTTAGAATAGAATATCCCAGTGAGCTTGATGGTTGGCATACCTGAAGATGACACTCTGGAGGTCGAAGGGGTACTCGATGATGCCTGTGGTGGGGACCCTAACCCTCAGCACATCCTGCTGGGTGGGAAGATAAGAGGCCTCTGCGATCCGGTCCAGAGCATTCATGTAACTACGGAGACAAAAAAAGTATGTGAGTGCCCACTGACCGGGAGGAGGGGAATGTGATGGTAATAGATGAAAGTATCGAAAACATGACCAAAGACACGGTCTGATATTTTAAGTTGGCAGCCTAGGGAACATTCGACCATGAAATCTCGTATTTACTAACTATTTGTTGACCATAGATAAAGCACAGTATTTACAACATCGTGACCATTGAAGTTGTCTCTTTTAAGCTTTTACAAGTAGAGTTAGAGATCTCATTTACTCACTATTTGGTAGAGTCCGACAGCTGGTACTCCCGTCTCCTGTCGTAAGCTTCCTGGACGCCTGGATCATTCCATAAACACTTGATGGCGTCTAAGTAGGGGTTCGCAAACGTGCTGACTGTCTCCACGTCCACCTCTCGGACCACGTTAGCGTTGCCCTGAGAGAGGAAAAAACTGATTAAGACACTCCTCCAGGTTAGACTTTCAGTCGACAGAAACAAACATATAAATTAAATGGTATCAATTCAAGGTTCTGTGTGTCTGAAATGGGACTAAATCATAACCCAGGCAGAGGCAGGCAATCTTGACAGTTGGTGAGTATTGCCGCGTTCCAGGTGGTCTACTTTGCAATCGTAGTGCACAGATGATCAGATCCCATTACTCCTGGAGAGGTGTTTAATTAACGTCTCAGGAAGCCAATTAATATGATATAGGAATCTTCTGAGATGCACTGCTAAAGAACCTAGAACGTGGCCTATTTCTTTCACTATATGCCGTTCCACAGATGACTCTTAGGGCCTAATATGAAGCTACCACATAGCCCAACTCCAGCAGTATCATGTTCTAATGTTATTTAGAAAAAGGAAAAGGAATTCCCCCACGTGACATGACTGTCTTCACTTCCTTATCTGGCCTCACCTCATGACTTATTTCTATTGTACCTTGTACACCAAAACCCAAAAAGGAAGAGATTGTTTTTGCCTTGTGACAACCTGGAAATGACATGCTACTGCCCCTTGTTGAAAGTATCCAATCGTTAAGCCAGCATAACAGGAATATACCACAGGCTTCATATACAATACAGGCCACTTGTGATTTAATCAATATAAGACTATATGAACACTTAAGAACAACAGATAAACCACTGAACATACATAAGCGAACCATCCTATCCTCTAATAACAATCTGAGACTGCATGGTCAGATGTCACACCAAGCCTAGTGATTCATATGAGACATGGCCAGTCGATAACAGATAGGTCTCAGTTCCTCTATTGGCCAGTTTCATGTGGAATTACCTGCAGCTCTAGAGGTGACTTTATTTCCTGTAGACCCAACTTTTTTGTAACCGGAAAGGGATAGCACCACTTTATTTGATCAAACAAATAGGCAGAATTAGGTTTAGGGTTACGACAAGGGGCACCAGTCTTAATCAAAGAGGAATTCATATGTCTACGCAGACAACTGAAACCGAGAAATAAGACCTCAGTAGTACACCAGATGACTTTCCTCTCTCACACACAAACCCTTGGCTGGATGACATGGAAGGGGGTTGGTTGAGAGTGACAGGAAGACACAGGAAGTTCCAAAACAGACAGGATGTGATTGTGGAGGACTGTTCCATGAAAGATTGCGTAATCTCCTCCTTATGCTCGCTAACACACCTCTCTCACTCTCACTGTCACTGTCATACACACACTTCCATTCTCTCTCTCCCTCCTTCCCTCCTTACCTTGTTGTGCTCATATCTGTAAGGGATCCGGAGGGTCTCTGTGGCGCGGATCATGGACTGCATGGCAGTAAAGATGTTCTGGTACACCAGCTTGGTGAAGCTGCGCTTGTCCTCCTCTGAGTAGCCAGCGCCATGGATGATTCTCATCTGTTTAATGAAGGTGCTCTTCCCACTCTCTCCAGTACCTGATAAAGGGGGAGAGGGGTGAGAGGTAATAATAATAATATGCCATTTAGCAGACGCTTTTATCCAAAGCGACTTACAGTCATGTGTGCATACATTTTTACGTATGGGTGGTCCCGGGGATCGAACCCACTACCCTGGCGTTACAAGCGCCATGCTCTACCAATTGAGCTACAGAGGACCACGAGAGGTGAGGAGGGGGAAGGAAGGAAGACATGGGTAATTGAAGAAGTGCGAGGCACTATATCCAGACAAGGATAACATCTGACCCAGAGTCAGGACTTCGACAAACAAACCAAAAGCCATAATCACCTATTACAGCCCTATTCACATTTACAGTGGGGAAAAAAAGTATTTAGTCAGCCACCAATTGTGCAAGTTCTCCCACTTAAAAAGATGAGAGAGGCCTGTAATTTTCATCATAGGTACACATCAACTATGACAGACAAATTGAGGAAAAAAAATCCAGAAAATCACATTGTAGGATTTTTTATGAATTTATTTGCAAATTATGGTGGAAAATAAGTATTTGGTCACCTACAAACAAGCAAGATTTCTGGCTCTCACAGACCTGTAACTTCTTCTTTAAGAGGATCCTCTGTCCTCCACTCGTTACCTGTATTAATGGCACTTGTTTGAACTTGTTATCAGTATAAAAGACACCTGTCCACAACCTCAAACAGTCACACTCCAAACTCCACTATGGCCAAGACCAAAGAGCTGTCAAAGGACACCAGAAACAAAATTGTAGACCTGCACCAGGCTGGGAAGACTGAATCTGCAATAGGTAAGCAGCTTGGTTTGAAGAAATCAACTGTGGGAGCAATTATTAGGAAATGGAAGACATACAAGACCACTGATAATCTCCCTCGATCTGGGGCTCCACGCAAGATCTCACCCCGTGGGGTCAAATTGATCACAAGAACGGTGAGCAAAAATCCCAGAACCACACGGGGGGACCTAGTGAATGACCTGCAGAGAGCTGGGAACAAAGTAACAAAGCCTACCATCAGTAACACACTACGCCGCCAGGGACTCAAATCCTGCAGTGCAAGACGTGTCCCCCTGCTTAAGCCAGTACATATCCAGGCCCGTCTGAAGTTTGCTAGAGTGCATTTGGATGATCCAGAAGAGGATTGGGAGAATGTCATATGGTCAGATGAAACCAAAATATAACTTTTTGGTAAAAACTCAACTCGTCGTGTTTGGAGGACAAAGAATTATGAGAGAACACCATACCTACTGTGAAGCATGGGGGTGGAAACATCATGCTTTGGGGCTGTTTTTCTGCAAAGGGACCAGGACGACTGATCCGTGTAAAGGAAAGAATGAATGGGGCCATGTATCGTGAGATTTTGAGTGAAAACCTCCTTCCATCAGCAAGGGCATTGAAGATGAAACGCGGCTGGGTCTTTCAGCATGACAATGATCCCAAACACACCGCCCGGGCAACGAAGGAGTGGCTTCGTAAGAAGCATTTCAAGGTCCTGGAGTGGCCTAGCCAGTCTCCAGATCTCAACCCCATAGAAAATCTTTGGAAGGAGTTGAAAGTCCGTGTTGCCCAGCGACAGCCCCAAAACATCACTGCTCTAGAGGAGATCTGCATGGAGGAATGGGCCAAAATACCAGCAACAGTGTGTGAAAACCTTGTGAAGACTTACAGAAAACGTTTGACCTGTGTCATTGCCAACAAAGGGTATATAACAAAGTATTGACAAAACTTTTGTTATTGACCAAATACTTATTTTCCACCATAATTTGCAAATAAATTCATTAAAAATCCTATAATGTGATTTTCTGGATTTTTTTTTCTCATTTTGTCTTTCATAGTTGACGTGTACCTATGATGAAAATTACAGGCCTCTCTCATCTTTTTAAGTGGGAGAACTTGCACAATTGGTGGCTGACTAAATACTTTTTTGCCCCACTGTAGATACACACACACATTCTAGATCTCCTTTCCCGGCTGCTCCTGCCAGCTCCTTAGATTTCTTGGCCTGGTCAGTGACCAAGAACAACATCTCCATGGATACAATAACTATTGTGATGTGAGCTCTAGATCTGGATCCTGAAGAGATCCTTGACAGAGGTCCTCAACAGAGCCTAAATGTATTCACTGGGCACAAAATATATATATTTTTAACTGAAACAGGGAGGGACTACCAGAATAAGAAACGCTTATTTTCGATTTCCATTGCAAAAATGTTTTGCTATAATTTGCTAAGTTGTGCACTAATGAATATGACCCAGGATTGATAATAATAATAGTTGTTAGGCTACCAATCGACAGCAGAGATCCCTCTCTGGAACCTCAATGTACTCAAGGAGTATATTATATCTATAGGATATTATATCTAATGTCACACTGTAGGATCAAGGCTACTATGATGCTTTACAGTCCTATTAGAAGACTGCGTCCCATTAGCTAAAAGGAAAGTTAGGAAATGTATTTTTAAAGCAAATTTCCTGCAATTCTATACGTTTTGCCATGGAGCTGAGAGAATATTGCAGTTTTTAAGCAAATTTCCAGCAATTCTATACATTTTGACATGGCTAATGCTGTGTTCATATGCTCGAACATTATAACAAAATCAATGGGGGCCTGATTATCTAGCTTTTATTTTGTTGATTGTAAGTTCTCAAAAATATATAGGTGCCTTATCTTTTCTACATACTTTCTATTTGGTTTTAGTTGTTTAAGTTTACACTTAAATGTAAATGTATTTATTTATTTTTAAATACAAATATATATTTGTTTTTGCAATGCACAAAAAAAGTCTAAAAGTATTTGGTTTTAAATATACTTAAGTATCAAAAGTAAAATGTAATTGCTCAAATATACTTAAGCATCAAACATAAATCATTTCAAATTCCTTATATTAAGCTAACCAGACGGCACCATTTTCTTGTTTTTTTAATTTACGGATCGATAGGCGCACACTCCCAATACTCAGACATAATTTCCAAACGAAGCATGTGTGTTTAGTGAGTCCACCAGATCATCAGTAGGGATGACCAGGGATGTTCTCTTGATAAGTGTGTGAATTGGACCATTTCCCTGTCCTGGTAAGCATTCAAATAACGAGTACTTGACCCACTGGTTGATGCTTATTTATAAAACCCTCTTAGGCTTCACTCCCCCCTATCTGAGATACCTACTGCAGCCCTCATCCTTCACATACAACACCCGTTCTGCCAGTCACATTCTGTTAAAGGTCCCCAAAGCACACACATCCTTGGGTCGCTCCTCTTTTCAGTTCGCTGCAGCTAGCGACTGGAACGAGCTGCAAAAAACACTCAAACTGGACAGTTTTATCTCCATCTCTTCATTCAAAAGACTCAATCGTGGACACTCTTACTGACAGTTGTGGCTGCTTCGCGTGATGTATTGTTGTCTCTACCTTCTTGCATTTGTGCTGTTGTCTGTGCCCAATAATGTTTGTACAATGTTTTGTGCTGCTACCATGTTGTGTTGCTACCATGTTGTTGTCATGTGGTGTTGCTACCATGCTGTGTTGTCATATGTTGCTGCCATGCTATGTTGTTGTCTTAGGTCTCTCTTTATGTAGTGTTGTGGTGTCTCTCTTGTCGTGATGTGTGTTTTGTCCTATATTTTTAATCCCAGCCCTCATCCCCGCAGGAGGCCTTTTGCCTTTTGGTAGGCCTTCAATTGTAAATAAGAATTTGTTCTTAACTGACTTGCGTAGTCAAATAAAGGTTAAATAAATAAAAAATACAAATACTTTTGAGTGTCAGGGAAAATGTATGGATTAATAAGTACATTATTTTCTTTAGGAATGTAGTCGAGTAAAAGTAAAAGTTGTCAAAAATATAAATAGTAAAGTAAAGTACAGATACCCCAAAAAACTACTTAAGTAGTACTTTAAAGTATTTTTACTTAAGTACTTTACCCCACTGTCTATATAGCAGAGATGTAATTGTCACAAACAGAGCAGCAGGTAAATCAGGCCTAAACCATAGAGACCAATACTAATGTGTTCTAATGCTGCATTCGTAAAAAAGTGGGAGGTGGGAGTTTACCAGTTGTGAAGTCGTAAATACCAGTTGGATGCATTCAGGTGCTTTGAAGTCGTTGAAAAATGCTGATTGACTAATGTCCAACAAGATGCGTAAACCATGATCTAAATGTACAGCTATCAAGTTTGTAAGCAATTTATAGAGTTAAAAAAACACATTATAGATGGCTTTTTATAAATACTGTTTTGTTGTTACATTTAACTGCCGAAAATGCTGTTACCGAAGTAATTTCCTTAGTAGGTGACATCAGAGGTCCGCATGTGGGAGAAGTCGGAGCTCAGGGATGATCAACGAGTTTCCCACTAGTAATTACCAGTTGGAGGGTCGTTTTTCCTAGTCGTATGAGGTAAATTCCCACTTGGTTACGAACGTAGCATAAGGCTGGACTGTATCAAGGCAGCAGTCTTCCCCATCACTCTACCAGCTTCTCTCATGTGGATTACATCATAACATTGAGACAAGTCATTTTTTAGGGAACTAACGCAAATGTGGAAATATTACATCACTGCTTGTATTTTTTACTGTGGATTGTGCATCTACATTCTATGATGACGTGTAGCTGTAGACAACAAAAATTGTGGTAAAGGATAAATACAATAATAATGAAGTAGCCTAACATAATACATTTAATTTATAGCGCTTTCCATTCTAATATTGATGTTCTTTATTATGCATCTGAAATCTCCTATAGACTTGCACCAGACTGTCCAATGTATGTGATAGAATACATGTTACCCAGGATCCCACCGGAATTCACAAACAGACAGCTCTAGGGGTGTTCCCATCAAGATACTTTAGGTAATGCGTCAGTATGCTTCAGTTCGGTTGGCGGCTAGTCGAAGTCGGCTAGGCGAACCGAACGAGTGTGCTCGTTTACTCCCTTAAAAAGACCTTCACTTGAAAAACGAGAAAAAACGCAATAGTTCTGTTTGTCCATTTTCAGACGCCATAGCGTCTGAATTAATATAAGATAATTTAAGAAATCTGTCATTAATTTTGACGTTTCTGCCGAGGAAATCTTAGTCGGGCAATTTCACATCTAACTAAGATATTTGGTGCAGTATTTCTCAATGAAAACATGTGCATGAGTGACTCCTGAGTGGCGCAGTGGTCTAAGGCTGTGCCACTAGAGATCCTGGTTCGAATCCAGGCTCTGTCGCAGCCGGCCGCGACCGGGAGACTCATGGGCGGCGCACAATTGGCCCAGCGGCGTCCAGGGTAGGGGAGGGAATGGCCGGCAGGGATGTAGCTCAGTTGATAGAGCATGGCGTTTGCAACGCCAGGGTTGTGGGTTCGATTCCCACGGGGGGCCAGTATAAAAAAATATGTATTCACTAACTGTAAGTTGCTCTGGATAAGAGCGTCTGCTAAATGACTTAAATGTAAAATGTAAATGCATGAAAACGAGTAACTATCATGGTCCAAACACACCAAGACAGTTGTGAAGAGGGCACGACAGCATCTGCAAGAACCCCTCTTTATACTTCTATTGGTAAATTTTTAAATTAGGACAGGCGGGAGGCGGGGGCGTGCCAGTACAGTAGGTGGCGTTAATGCACAAGAACGTAGGATGCCATTCACCGATAAAACCCCACAGAAGAAGGAGCTAGCTTGCCGTACACCGGTAGACAGTGTCCTTCGCCCCCGTCTGTTGGGCACTGTTTTCACGCAGTTCTGTTATCGACTGCAAAGGCAAGTGTTCGGCAGGCGGGAGCAAAGGACACTGTCTACTGGTGTCGCTCCCGCTAGTTAGCAAGGAGGACTGCGTTAGGCAGGTGCGAAAAAAACTGATAATACTTTAAAAAGTGTGTGTGGGGGGGGCTTCATGCAGGAAACAATGGGATGCTTGAGGATGCAGGAACGCCCTGAATTGTGAGCTGCAGTTGGACACTATTGCTATCCTGGCGTTGCATGCGCCATGCTCTACCAACTGAGCTACATTATTCTTAAAGAATGTCAATGATGCTAAAGTTCACTGTATATGCATTCCCCAAACCCATTTGGGGACAGAGACGTTTAACAACTGTTGGACTTCGATACACCCATAAAACTAAAGTGAACGATCACTGTTAGTAATGACCTCTCACAATGACCTGTTTTTTCTGTGAATTACCAATACTGCATTTCAAAGATTTGTTGCGTCGTTGCTGCCCTGTAGCAAATGTGAGGAAAATCCAGTTTACTGACCCATGTCCGTAGGCCTATGAGAGCTGGCATTCAGTTCAGGCAGTTCAGGCAGCTAGGAGTTGATTTGATTACATCTGCCCCTTTCAAATCCAGTACCATTTACAACCCAGTCTTTTTACATAAGTAACTTTCATCATACAGTATGCCAGGCCTATATCAAAAACGGATCAAACAGGGACCTTAAAACACATGCACCTGTGAGGTGAGGTGATGAATAGTAACTTAGTAAAAGATGGTCCTTTAAAGCTACATTCTAGGATTCAATAATTAACCAAACGTGGTCCCTGTCACTTTTTATGATATAGGCCTATACAGCCAGCTGAGGGATGGAGCAGGGGAAATGTAACCCCTCCCAAATTCATAGACAGCGCTCTAGATGCAAGGACTGACAATCCATGACATCCACATGATACCTTCAAAATATGTTTAAAGCCATTGGCCTATTTCTTGCTTACGGTCTTCTAGTTTGTAAACACTAATAAACCTTTATATTTTGGGGGTGTGATAGAAAAAGACAGTTGCGCTAAGCATTAGGAATCTATAAGTAATATTCTTCATGAGTCAATAGGTAGGTTAAATGTCAGGAATTGAAATGACCATTGAACAGATTACCGTATTTTAGACTGTACCTTTAAAAAAAAGGCTTTCAAATTCAGAGGCGTGGGCACAGATTGTTGGGCCAAACGTTCCGACTCGAAACATTCAGGAAAATCTACATGTGTTATATGTAGTGCAGGTAAACACTCGTTTAGCTCAGGATTTCTAGACCCTGTAATTGCTACCAATAAAACGCCTAGACTTTGGCCTAGTCAGTAAACAGACGGAGACCACAAGTCTATAATCCTAGTTACTACTTATTGAAATGAATAGTTGGATGGTTCGTGCGAGTTTTTAAAAGTCTAAATGGTAGCAATATTCAAATAAAATGGCTTTGGAACACTTGAAATTGAGAGAACTGCTACAATTTGGCATGTGTGGCTGGCTACAAAGTTACAGGCTGGTTTTCAGGAGTAGCTCGCACAGCACCACCCAAATGGAATCTTGGCCTTTATTTGCATATCATCATCACCACTAGCTTACCGAGAAGCAACAGCTTCAATTCCCGGCGAGCATCCCTCTTATCACGGCGGAGCTGTCTTTCGATCTCGTCGTTGATCCGCCTGGATTCTTTCGCCTCCTCGCTGAGGCAACACGCCATTATGGAGTCTAGGGTCATTCTTTTAAAATCACTTTTCGTGCTTCTTTATGCACTACGCAGATTCCAGTTGCGATAAATTATAAGAATTAACGGATATCAAATCACGCCATTACAGCTGCAGATAAAACATGGACGCGTTATAAAGTGCCATTGCCTGGGGGGGGGGGGGGGGGAATGTATAGGCTATTTGAGAAATTGTTGCCCCCCCTCCCCCCGTTTCGTTTCGCTTTCTGACCGACTGTCAGTCAGCAAACAGTGGCTCGGGGAGTTAACTAAATGTCAGTCAAACTAATTGGGTAGTCTGATATTTCTTCTAAATATGATCATCAGAACCGTTTAAAACATCATCCGTAATATTCTATGTGATAAGCATTCTCATTCTTGTCCAGTCACTCTCCACATCTTTTTTAAAGCATGTCTTCGTATCCTACGTCCTATAGTCCCATAATCCATTCGATGAGAAAATACATGAATAAACGTGTCCGCTTTATTTCCAATAGGTCGACTCCCAGGCGTGGCAAGGACGAATATGGCGGATTTACACTCCAATCCGCTAGGCAGGAATACTGTTATTTCTCTCCGACGAAAGAAAACACAAGAACAAACGCACCAATATCATGTTTAGCCTACTTCCCAAAACGGAAAAACGCGTCATCCGTGTGCTTTCAAAAAGAGAGAAACTTCGATTATTCTGCTACACGTTTGCCTATAATAAAGTTGGGAAAAAAATACGTTTTTCGCTCAGCCTTTCCCTGTCCTCAACTCTCCATGTGTTTTTATTACAGAGACATCCACTCCTGGCCGGTGACGTCGGACAGTGGTAGGGAGTGTCCTCCAAAGTAGGCCTAGGCCTAGGCCTAGTCCCATAACCTGTGGAATAGACATGCGGTTGGTGGGATACCGTTACCTGCTCTTATTACCCAAAAGCTATTGACAGAATGATACATACACTACATGACCAACAGTATGTGGACACCTGCTGGTCGAACATCTCATTCGAAAATCATGGACATTAATATTGTGTTGGTCCCCCCTTTGCTGCTATAACAGCCTCCACTCTTCTGGGAAGGCTTTCCACTAGATGTTGGAACATTGCTGTGGGGACTTGCTTCCAGTCAAGCGCATCAGTGAGGTCGGGCACTGATGTTGGGCGATTAGGCCTGGCTCGCAGTCGGCATTCCAATTCATCCCAAAGGTGTTCGATGGGGTTGAGGTCTGGGCTCTGTGCAGGCCAGTCAAGTTCTTCCACATCGATCTCGACAAACCATTTCTGTATAGACCTCGCTTTGTGCACAGGGGGTAATTGTCATGCTGAAACAGGAAAGGGCCGTCCCCAAACTGTTGCCACAAAGTTGGAAGCACAAAATCGTCTATAATGTCATTGTATGCTGTAGCGTTAAGATTTACCTTCACTGGAACTAAGGGGCCTAGCCCGAACCATGAAAAACATCTTCAAACCATTATTCCTCCTTCACCAAACTATACAGTTGGCACTATCCGTTCGGGCAGGTAGCGTTCTCCTGGCATCCGCCAAATACTCTGCCATGGAAACCCATTTCATGAAGCTCCTGACGAACAGTTCTTGTGTTGACGTTGCTTCCAGAGGCAGTTTGGAGTTTGGTAGTGAGTGTTGCAACCGAGGACAGAAGATTTCTACGTGCTGAACATTTCGCGGCTGAGCCGTTGTTGCTGCTAGACGTTTCCACTTCACAATAACAGCACTTACAGTTGACCGAGGCAGCTCTAGCAGGGCAGAAATTTGACGAACTGACTTGTTGGAAAGGTGCCACGTTGAAAGTCACTGAGCTCTTCACTAAAGCCATTCTACTGCCAATGTTTGTCTATAGAGATTGCATGGCTGTGTGCTCAATTTTATACACCTGTCAGCAACAGGTGTGGCTGAAATAGCCAAATCCACTAACTTGAAGGGATGTCCACATACCTTTGTATATACAGTGCATTCGGAAAGTATTCAGACCCCTTGACTTTTTCCACATTTTGTTACGTTACAGACTTATTCTAAAATGGATGAAAAAAAAATCCTCATCAATCTACACACAATACCCCATAATGACAAAGCGATAACAGGTTTTTAGAAATGTTTGCAAATGTATTAAAAATAAAAACAGAAATACCTTATTACAATATGTATTCAGACCCTTTGCTATGAGACTCAAAGTTGAGCTCAGGTGCATCCTGTTACCATTGATCATCCTTGAGATGTTTCTACAACTTGATTTGGGAAGGCACACACCTGTCTGTATAAGGTCCCATAGTTGACAGTGCATGTCAGAGCAAAAACCAAGCCGTGAGGTCAAAGGAATTGTCCGTAGAGCTCCGAGACAGGATTGTGTCGAGGCACAGATCTGGGGAAGGATAGCAAAACATTTCTGCAGCATTGAAGGTCCCCAAGAACACATTGGCCATTTGACATTTTAGTCATTTAGCAGACGCTCTTATCCAGAGCGACTTACAGTTAGTGAGTGCATCAACAAAAAAAAAATCATACTGGCCCCCCGTGGGAATCGAACCCACAACCCTGGCGTTGCAAACGCCATGCTCTACCAACTGAGCTACACGGGCCTCCATCATTCTTAAATGGAAGAAGTTTGGAACCACCAAGACTCTTACTAGAGCTGGCCACCCGGCCAAACTGAGCAAAGGGGGGAGAAGGGCCTTGGTTAGGGAGGTGACCAAGAACCAGATGGTCACTCTGACAGAGCTCCAGAGTTCCTCTGTGAAGATGGGAGAACCTTCCAGAAGAACAACCATCTCTGCAGCACTCCACCAATCAGGCGTTTATGGTAGAGTGCCCAGACGGAAGCCACTCCTCAGTAAAAGGCACATGACAGCCTGCTTGGAATTTGCCAAAAGGCACCTAAAGGACTCTCAGACCATGAGAAACAAGATTCTCTGGTCTGATGGAACCAAGATTGAACTCTTTGGCCTGAATGCCAAGTGTCATGCCTGGAGGAAACCTGGCACCATCCCTACGGTGAAGCATGGTGGTGGCAGCATCATGCTGGGGGAATGTTTTTCAGCGGCAGGGCCTGGGAGACTAGTCAGGATCAAGGGAAAGATTAACAGAGGACAGAGAGATCCTTGTTGAAAACCTGCTCCTGTGTGCTCAGGACCTCAGACTGGGGCCAAGGTTCACCTTCTAACAGAACAACGACCCTAAGCACACAGCCAAGACAATGCAGGAGTGGCTTCGGGACAAGTCTCTGAATGTCCTTGAGTGGCCCAACAAGAGCCCGAACTTGAACCCGATCGAACATCTCTGGAGAGACCTGAAAATAGCTGTGCAGCGACGCTCCCCACCCAACTTGATAGAGCTTGAGAGGATCTGCAGAGAAGAATGGGAGAAACTCCCCAAATACAGGTGTGCCAAGCTTGTAGAGTCATACCCAAGAAGACTTGAGGCTGTAATCGCTGCCAAAGGTGTTTCAACAAAGTACTGAGTAAAGGGTCTGACTACTTATGTAAATGTCATATTTCCGTTTTTTATTCATAAATTTGCAAAAATTTATTAAAAACCTGTCTTTGCTTTGTCATTATGGGGTATTGTGTGTAGGGAAAAACAATTTAATCAATTTTAAAATAAAGCTGTAGCATAACAATATGTGGAAAAAGTATTGGGGTCTGAACACTTTCCGAATGCACTATAGTGTACATTTGCATGATGGAAGCTACTAAAATCATAGGGCACTGCTGTGCTTCCTGTCTGTGGGGTGATTGACAGGATACTGCACTAATTTCCTAGAGTACTTCTAATATGCAAATTGTAATTAAATGAGCAGCGAAGGCAGTTTATAACTGTTTGAATGGCCATGTTAAAAGAGCTTCACTGGTCCATGCTTTGGTTCTAGCCCCCCTTTCCTAAATATAATACAGGTTGGAATAGGCTTCAGTACCAGCACTGAAAAAACATATGATTTCTGCATGCAGGTAATAATGGATAATTAGCGTGGTCATGATATTAATAGCTACATAGATTGAAAGTTAATAGAACTAGTGCTTGATGACCTCGTTGATGTTTCCTTTGGTTTTGGTTATGTTTGTTACTGGGTTGTTACTGCTCCAAAATAAAGTAGGCCTACAGAGCAAATAATTTTACATGTAGAATTATCTAATAAAAAGTATGAGCTGGCGCACACCCAGAGAACATTATTTAGTGTAGAGGAGCTGACTAACGGGGAATAAACTGTAAGCTATAAAAACAAATAAAGAGAGTCGCACACTATGTATAAACTCCCAGTCATTTATTGGGTAAGAAACCACCAGCATTTCGGCATCACTGTGCCTTCTTCAGGGTAATGTCATGAATGCTTGAACAAACAGTGACTGAGGGCTGTGTCGTAATTGCTAGGTTAATCAGAATGAATTAAGCGAAACTGTTAAAAGACAATAGCCCACAGCATATTGAATATATTATGACATTGTTATCATTAGCATAACATTAGCATCAACATAATTTACATTGTTTCATTTAATTTCACATATATATTTAAATATTTCAAATGTCATTAAAAAAATGTGTTACATGTAAATCTTTTGGTTCAACCATAATGCATAATAAGCATCATCAACAGGGGGAACATATTGTGTGTACGCTGATAAACTGTAGAAAGAATACATTCATTTTCAGTACCTGTTCACAAAAAATATAATTGGTCATAAGAAGGGCCTGAGATCAAAGTCAATATTCAGACCACTAGGGGCCAATGTTTTTAAATAGGATATCCAGTAGGCCTCCCTCTGTAGTAGTAGGGTCTCAATGTTACCTCCTCTCCTTGGTAGAGCAACATGCTCAATGCCTGTGTATTTGAGGAAGGAGATGGGATGGTTAGCTTCAACAAAGTGAGCTGCTACTGGATAGTCAGTGTTCTTACACCTGATTGAGCTGCGGTGTTCAGCTATGCGTTGTTTTAATTGTCTTTTCATTTGTCCTACGTAGGCTTTCACACATGTACAGGTGATGAGATAGTCTTGCATGAGATGATACCCCTAACAGGGATTTTTCGACCTGTATGTGGGTGTCTGAAGGAGGATGTTTTTGTTGTGCTATTGCACTGTGCGCATGAGCCACATTTGTAGTTCCCATTTAGAATAGGTGTCAAGTCAGATCTCACTAAGCTATCCCCAATATTGCGACCACGCTTATATACCACCAGTGGGGGTTCCTTGAAGAGGTGTGCAATTATTTTGTCTGATTGCAGAATATGCCAGTGCTTTTTCAGGACTTCTTTCATTTTCTCCGAATACTTGGTGTACTTAGTGCAAAACACTGTTGCGTTGTTTTTCTTCTTTCGTTTAGTTTTTAGCAATTCCTCTCTTGGTTTTTGAGATATTTTCATCATTGCAGCATTGAGAGTTTTGTCCTTGTAGCCTCTCATTTTGAATGTATCTGTCATTTTCTTAGCATTGCTGTCAAAATCTGACTGGTGGCCACAGATTCGTTTAACCCTGCATAACTGGCTATATGGTAGACCATTCTTGAGGGGAAGGGGATGCATACTATCTGCACGTAGCAGGGTATTGCGGTCTGTGGGCTTTGTGTATAAGTCTATATGTAATGCATCATTCTCTTTGATGATCCATAAGTCCAGGTAATTCATTTTATTCTCATCAGTCTGCATGGTACATTTTAGATATTAATGTAGAATTATAACACTAGATTTCAAATTTTACGAGGAAAGTAATGGTTATGTCACGGTTCACTACGACAGAACCCAGAAGCAGACCAGGACGAGGTGAGTTGAACGAAGGTGAGTATTTATTAACAGATTCAAAAAAGATGCAGAGTAATCCAGGAGACGGAGCGGGCGGCGGAGATGAAGTGGCAGATCCAATGATGGCACGGCAGCCGCCGACAACCAGGCAGGGGTTGGGTGAAGGTCCCGGGAGAATGACTGTAGACAGAAAAAAACGGAGGTAAGTACACGGCAGGCCAACAAGGTGCAAAACAACAAAACTAACGCTAGTAACTCAGAGGCTGATACGCTGACAAAACATACTGTTCATGGCTAACGATCCGGCAGGGAATGGATGTCAGGTCAGAGTTTATGAAGGGGTGATGATCAGGACCAGGTGTGCCGAAGCTGATGAGAAGCAGGTGCGGGTAATCGAGAGATCACCCGCCTAGCAACGTCGCCCGGCAACCGGACAGGGTGCGTTCAGGAACCTTCAGGAAACAGGAGATTCAGAGCAGAAAAACGGCAACACAGGCAGGAACAGACTCAGGACGCAGGGTTCATGACAGATTATCAAGCAAACACAAATACATTGGGTAATCATCCTTTTAAGAAAATGTGCACAGATGTTGTTAATAGTTATTTCCCTTCTTACCACATTTCCTCTGTCTTGAACACAGGTCAGATTAATCAGGCACCACTACCATCGCCCCTGTGTTTTAAATTCTGTTGTTATATTATGAACAGGAAAAGGCCTGATCCTTCCGAGGTTGGGCGTTTCTGTGGTCATTGTCTCTGACAAATGACTGAAAGAGAATTGCCATACACATATAATTTGTTTGTTTAATTGAACTACATACCAACTGAATGATATGTTACACTTATATTCAAGGGTAATCTAAAGTGCTCAAATTGCTAAATATCTGTGTCCAGTGGCCTCCAGCAAGGGACTAAAACCTCCTATTATTGAGCCATGCAACTAGGCTCATGTTTATTCAAGCCCTGTGGCTTTTACTGTCTTATTTTAAGTAGGCTAATGCTTATTAATTTAAACAATATATTTACAAGAATATCAACACAACTTCCACTTGGTTCTGTTTGTCATTTCAGCAAATAGCCTTGGCGAGCAACATCACGTCTCAAAGGTCCCAGGCTTCCAGTTCCTGAAAGACAAAATGAAATATCTGAGAATCATGCACCATATAGCATTCAACAGATGATTATTCTTTCACATCTGGTCTTGGAAAAGTACATCAAATAATTATTTTCCAGTATCATCACATCCTGACTATAGAGACCCAAAACCTCAAAATACGTCCATAAAGATTGTATTTCAATAAACCCTCCAGTACAATTGTTAAGATTACTTAATTAATTTGATGAGTCATTCATTACTCAACAGGTGTTTCATAAAAGTAGATTTTCCTCAAGTTCATGACTTCCTTGATCTCATTAGTCATTTAAATAATGATAATTTTTTGATAATTTATATACAAATATAATAATAATAATAATAATAATGCATAAGAAGTATTATTTTATGCTCGTCATTCAAAATGAATAGGTTATGTTAAATTCATATGAAGTATAGCGTATATACGCTCCTCTGGGTGTAAACTCAGTGGATTTGGAAACTAGAGGTGCTCCTGAGTTGAATGGACCCCCTTTTACTGCGACACAATGTGCAGTATGTCCAATATGAAAAACGTACTGAACATTGTGCAATATGAGTGGGCTAATTAACAATGGGATTTAAAAGTGTTTACTAAAATGTATTATTATTATTATATTATTCATATTGTTATTACTATTATTATTAATAGCGGCATTCTAAATCACGTTTTGTTATTTGTATTACTGTTACCACATATATCAACGCAACATGCAACAATTTAAAAGATTTTACTGAGTTACAGTTCATAGAAGGAAATCAGTCAATTTAAATAAATTCATTAGGCCCTAATATATGGATTTCACATGACAATTGAACATTCAATTCTCTGGCAACAGTTCTGTTGGACATTCCTGCAGTCAGAATGCCAATTGCACAGCCTCAAAACTTGAGACATTTGTGGCATTGTGTTGTGTGACAAAACTGCACCTTTTAGAGTGGCCTTTTATTGTCCCCAGCACAATGTGCACCTGTGTAATTATTATGCTTTTTAAACAGCTTCTTGATATGTCACTCCTGTCAGGTGGATGGATTATCTTGGCAAATGAGAAATGCTCACTAACAGGGATGTAAACAAATTTGTGCACAACATTTGAGAGAAATAAGCTTTTTGTGCATATGGAACATTTCTGGGATCTTTTATTTCAACTCATGAAACATGGGACCAACATTTTGTGTTTATATTTTTGTTCAGTGATCATTACTTTTTAATGCTGTTAACAACAATGTAAATGCTATAATATTATTTGTGCTATAAAAGCGATTAACGTTATTCTTTTTTTTATATTGTTAAACAATATTCCAAGTCTGCTAACATTTCTTCATAAAATGTTACGAATTTCGACCATTTGTATTCTTTTTTGCCATCGTCATTGCGGGACTTTTATTTTGAAAGAAAATCGCCGAGGTCACGGTCTTATTCTTGCTAGGTCTTGCTTATGTACACCAGCCGTTATTCTTGCTGGCGGAACAGAGGTGGGTTTGCACGGTCTTGACTGTTGGCGCGGTTAGGAAACCAAGGAAACAATAACACCTAGAGAAACTAACAGGTGAGTTGTTGCATGTTGTGTATCTTGGTAGCTAGCTTTATAATCATAAGACATTACAACAATGAAATGTGAATGTATGTTTACGAGTGATAGCTTGTGGTTTAACTGGGGCCATAGCTGGCTAACTGTTCACTATCTACTCTGCAGCTAGCTAACATTAGCAAGCAAGCAAGCTGTCATGGCTAGCGACTAGTAGTAACGTTGGATGGCATCTCATCTGAACTGAAGCTTGTAACCAAAGGCTATCTGTGTTGTAACGTTAACGTAGCCAGCTACCACCAGCCTGTGTACTCTACAATGTGCTGCTAGCCAAGGTTGATGTATTTTATTTAGCTAACTAGCTAGTTATTATTAGCCAGTTAGCCCACTTGCAAGTTAATTAGCTATAAGCTAGCTACATCAGTAACATTAAAAAAGTCACAGAATTTCGGATATCTTCACAATAAAAGTCCCAAGGTAATAGTAGAAAGGTGACAATAACCTGTAGTCATGATATATATGAAAAATAATTGTGTACACATTAACAATGATTCATATTTGTTCATATTTAAGTGACATTTGCATTACATTTGGGTTTTAAAACATGTTCAAAGGTCAATTAAATGCCCCCAATGCGAATCACTGTATATTGAATACATATAGGCTTTTAGAGCAAAAACTATTCAGGGTGCCGCAGTAAAAGTATTGTAGGGAATACTCCGTAGGGTCTGTAGAATGTATATATGGTGTCATTTCATGGTGCTCTGAATAATACGGAGTGTTACTGAACTTTTACTCCAACCATTCCATTGGCCACAATGCAAATCACTGTAAATGGAATACATATTGGCTTATAGAGCAAAAACTATTTTGGGTGCCGATCTAAAAGTAGGGTGGGGAGTATTCAGTAGGGTCTGTAGAATCTATATATTCTCTATAAGCCAATATGTTGTCTACTACGCCCGTTACCATTAATGTAATGGGCGTAGTAAAAGGCCAGCAACACTCCGTATTACTCAGAGCCCCATGAAATGACACCATATATAGATTCTACAAACCCTACTAAGTACTCCACACCCACTTTTACATCGGCACAAATATTAGTTTTTTTCCTGTACAGTGCTATATTTGTACTGTAGAGTGTCCAGGCACCCCATTCTTAAGCTGTTTAACCACAGTAAAGTCCAGCAACACTTCCTATGACCTAGCTGTTTGTTCAAACTCATCTGATTTGTATTCTACTGACTCTAGTGAGTAGACTGGACCCTGGTTTTATGGATACACAATCAATCGTTTTTCCTGTACAGTGCAATTTGTTTGTGCAATACAACACAAATACAGTGACTTTTATTAAACATTACATTTCAAAATTTTATCCTTGAACAATAGCACCAGTAAATAAACAAGAATCATACAATCAAAATAATGATTTATTTAACATTTAATTGTGTATTTTTTACCAGTAGGCTATTGTTCTTGACATTCATTTACTTAAGCTCCAACCATTTCTCAATGTGCTCCACCTTATAATATTCTTTATCTTATAAAGTTGTTATATAAAGTAGTAATTCTCTTTTAGTGCTACATACATTTTAATAATATAATATGCCATTTTCCTTGCAAGCCAGAATGTTGAATAAAATCACATGTAAACTTACTCTACCGGTTGTCTGTGTGGGTTGTCCTTCAACTGCTCGAAATCTCAGACAACATTTCCACAGGAAAGTATTGTTAAACCAACTTTTTAGAGAGCCGGTATATGGTTCAGTTAGTTTTATATTGGATATTCTGTTCTCTCTCACCAATAACTATTGAACTAAGCATTCCATGACAATGAAAATGGTATATTCTGAATCAAGGGGAGGATGGAGAACAATCCACACCTTTTTTGAAGATTGAAATCCGAATAAAACATTTTTTTTAAATTGAAAAATTCACACAAAGAAAGTGTAAATTGTTCTCCACCCTCCCCTCATTCAGAATATCATTGTCATGGCTAGCCCAATATTGGACTAAAGAAGCCTAACATTACTCCTTAGTCCAAGGACCTTACATGTTCTGTTTAAAGGGCGAATTGGCTCTGGAAGCCAAAACAGCCAACTACTCCACCTAAAAGTGAATTTATTATAAATTGCAGTACGGTTCTAGAAACATAAATCCCTCTGCTTTCATATCACATCAAAATAATTTCACAAACGCAAAATACACACTTCCTGTACACGGTTATAACACACTTGCAGCCGACAGTATTTTTCAGTGACAACACGTTTGTTGCGTCTATCTTCCGTTTACACACAGGTGTTCTGAGACGCAGATAGCTAATTAGTACAGGTAGTCAGTCCACTCTGTCTTCCGTCTGGTTTCCATAAAGCGCTGTAACATGGAAATATGGCCATGTGGGAACACTAACCCTATAAAAGGTGTGTATCAATTTAACCTTTTAGTGTTTTGAAAATAATTTCTCGCTGATATGAAAGATAAGGTCCTTATGCTTCCAAAACCGTACCGCAAGAGATTGCGTGTTAATGTTCAGACCGAGCGTTGCGGCTCTTAACAGAACTCCCCCCTACAGAAGACGCCTTCGTCCAATGACTCTTACAGTATGTGTAATATAATGGAACTGAGAGTCATGAACAAGGGCTATGTCATGGTATGCTTGATTCAATAGCTATTGAGGAGCGAACCAAATATCCAATATAAAAACTTTACCTCTGTGCTGAACCGAACCATATACCTACCAGCTCTCTAAAAAGTTGAGTAAACAATACTTTCCTGTGGATAATTTGTCTAAAATTTCAAGCAGCTGAAGGACAAACCGCACAGACAACAGGTAGATTAAGTTTAAATGTAATTTTACTCAACATTCTGGTTTGCCTAAACCTAAGGATTTATGTAGCTAGTTTCATTAAATAAAATGTATTAATATTATCTATGATATTAAATAAATAAACATTTAAGCCACAATTTGATGCAGACAAGTTCCTAAACCTCCATATTGCATCCTTTAAGTTAACTCTGTTTTTTCTGCCACTAGATTGGAAATGTTGGACACTGTCCAAATTCGGCGCAGAGGTGCCCAAGACTTCGAGGCATATTATGATAATGCATGCGCTATGCAGGACTCAGTCCCATTGCCAGCAGTCAAGGCAAACCTGAGTCAAGGGATGCTTGACTTTAATGGGGATCGGCTCAAACTGACAGATTGGACACCCATACTCAACACTCTGACCATCAATAAACAGCTACAACATGTTGCAGTCAGAAGCTGCTACCAAATCGGTCTCAGCATTGGAGAGCCTGGTAAACATCAAGTAGGCTAAACAACTTGAAACTTGAAGTAGGATCCCTTTGCTTTATAACCTGTCCTTATTCCTTGTACGGTCTCTGTTTTCCTCTCTTTACCCATCTCAGACAAGTACAGGTCGGCCAATAGGAAGAAGATTCCAGCCATCCGCTCCAAGGAGATGACGTTCAAACTGTGTAAAGCACTCAGAGAGTGTCTGACCGCTTCACCAAACCTCAAGACCCTCCAACTCCATGGTCTTCCATTTAGAGAGAGAGACCTTATCACTCTTACCAAGGTAGCAAGTTGCAGAGGCACATTCACCTGAACCAACTTAAGGTTCTGCAGGGCACCCACTAATACTAGTTTGTTGTTACTCCAGGGTTTAGCCAAAAGTGTCTCTTTGGAAAATCTCTCCTTGGCTCACTGTCCTATAGCAGACGAGGGGTTAGAAGGTGAGTAAGACGAAGGACTGGGAAAAGGAGAAAATGTCTTCTTGTGTGCAAGTTATGACCACATTATCTGTTTTGTCTGATTTTGTGTTTTCTAATGTTCAGCTATCTGCCAGAGTGTGAAGTACTCTCCATCTATAAAGACAGTGGATTTCACAGGCTGCAATTTGACCTGGAGAGGAGCAGAGCATATGGCCAACATCATCAAGGTACTGGACCTCTGTTATGAGCTTGCTCTCACCAACCCTTTCTTTGCAATTATTTATACATACACTAGATGACAGATAGGGGGCGCTGTGTTGAAGCCACTGTGCCTCCATCTTGGCACTCCCCACTGTTGTAAAAAGTATTTTGGCTGTAGAAATGCATTTATTAATGTCTACATTACTTTTTGCCACGTTTGTTCTATTAGACACCTTAATGGGTCTTCTCCCGAGTGGCGCAGTGGTCTACGGCACTGCATCGCAGTGCTAGCTGTGCCACTAGAGACCCTGGATCGAATCCAGGCTCTGTCGTAGCCGGCCGCGACCGGGAGACCCAGGGTGCGGCGCACAATTGGCCCAGTGTCGTCCAGGGTAGGGGAGGGAATGGCCGGCAGGGATGTAGCTCAGTTGGTAGAGCATGGCGTTTGCAACGCCAGGGTTGTGGGTTCGATTCCCACGGGGGGCCAGTATGAAGAAAAAATTTTTTTTATGTATGCACTCACTAACTGTAAGTCGCTCTGGATAGGAGCGTCTGCTAAATGACTAAAATGTAATGCATACTTTTAAATGATATGTGAAATAAATAAATATACAGTATATATAAATATATAAACGCAACATGTAAAGTGTTGGTCCAATGTTTCATGAGCTGAAATAAAAGATCCCAGAATTTTTCCATACGCACAAAACACTTTCTCTCATTTGGTGCACAAATTTGTTTACATCCCTGTTAGTGAGCATTTCTCCTTTGCCAAGAGAATCCATCCACCTGACAGGTGTGGCATATCAAGAAGCTGATTAAACGGCATGATCATCACACAGGTGCACCTTGTGCTGGGGACAATAAAAGGCCACTCAAATGTGCAGTTTTGTCACACAACACAATGTCACAGATGTCTCAAGTTTTGAGGGAGTGTGCAATTGGCATGGTGACCGCAGGAATGTCCACCAGAGCTGTTGGCCAAGAATTGAATGTTCATTTCTCTACCATAAGCTGCCTCCAATATCGTTTTTGAGAATTTAGCAGTACGTCCAACCAGCCTCACAACCGCAGGCCACGTGTATGGCGTCGTGTGCACAGCGATACGAGGCCCTTTTTTTTTTTTTAAGGTATCTGACCAACAGATGCATATCTGTATTCCCAGTAATGTGAAATCCATAGATTAGTGACTAATTAATTTATTTCAATTTACTGATTTCCTTATATGAACCTTAACTCAGTAAAATCTTTGAAATTGTTGCATTTATATTTTTGTTCAGTATACAGTGAGCTCCAGAAGTATAGGGACAGTGACACATTTTTTGTTGTTTTGCTCTACTCCAGCACTTTTGGATTTCAAATGATAAAATGACTGAGGTTAAATGGCAGACTGTCAGCTTTAATTTGAGGGTATTTAAATCCATATTGGGTGACCCTTTAGAAATGAGAGCACTTTTTTTTTTTTTTTTACATAGTCCACCCATTTTAGGGGACCAAAAGTATTGGGACAAATTCACTTATGTGTATTAAAGTAGTCAAAAGTTTAGTATTTAGAATATGTCTCTAAACACTTCTACATTAATGCTACCATGATTATGGATAGTCCTGAATGAATCGTGAATAATGATGAGTGAGAAAGTTACAGACTAAAGTTTTACCTGATATGGATGTAAATACCCTCAAATTAAAGCTAACAGTCTGCACTTGAACCTCATTGGCATTGTATCATTTCAAAAGTGCTGGAGTACAGAGGCAAAACAACAAAAAATGTCACTATCCCAATACTTTCGTAGCTCACTGTATGCGTATATATAAAAATTATACTTTAAGGAAAATGTGTGTGTATGTATACAGTATATACCTTCATACATACTGTGGTAAACCTTGGGGTGTTGGGTTTGAGCGCACAGAGATGGAGACAGGGAGGTTCTAGTCAGAAAACACGCCTTTACTGGGCAACATAAAATAAACGAAACAACAAAATAACTTAGGGTTGGCTCGGTCCATATTCTGGGCTGCCGCCTCGTATTCAGTTCCGTGCCCCGGGAGCTTCGTTCCCGTCTGTAGGCTCACTCCCTGCCTCACATTTCTTCTCTCCCGCGGTGTGCCACGGTGCTCCATTTATGTCGCCTGCACTGCTGGTTGGCACTCTCCCCTAATTGCTCCTAAAACCTGCTCCAGAGCGCTCAAGGACCTCAGACTCGGGCAAAGGATCACCTTCCAACAGGACAATGACCCTAATCACACAGACAAGACAACGCAGGAGTGGCTTTGGGACAAGTCTCTGAATGTCCTTGAGTGGCCCAGCCAGAGGCCGGACTTGAACCCGATCGAACATCTCTGGAGAGACCTGAAAATAGCTGTGCAGCATCGCGCCCCATCCAACCTGACGGAGCTTGAGAGGATCTGCAGAGAGGAATGGGAACCCCCCCCCCCCCCCCCAAGCTTGTAGTGTCATACCCAAGAAGACGTGCTTCAACAAAGTACTGAGTAAAGGGTCTGAATACTTATGTAAATTTCATATTTCCGTTTTTTTTTTAATGTCTAAAAACCTGTTTTAGCTTTGTCATTATGGGGTATTGTGTGTAGATTGAGGGAAAACAAATATTTAATCCATTTTAAAATAAAACGTAACAATGTGGAAAAAGTCAAGGGGTCTGAATACTTTCCAAATGCACACATTTTCCTTAAAGTATCATTTTTAGAGAACTAATGTTACTCTGTCTCCACTAAAACAACAACAACAACATTATTACATGTAATTTTGTCCTTTTTAATACATTTAATTGAAGAATTCCATTAATTCCTATGGAGGACTGCTCCTACTGGGGAGTGCCAATATGGCTGACCGGTGGCTTCAAAGCCTCATAATGGCCAGCAATCCAGGGTTTATATACACTGAGTATACAAAACATTAAGAACACATGCTCTTTCCATGACGGACTGACCAGGTGAATCCAGGTGAAAGCTATGATCCCTTATTGATGTCACTTGTTAAATCCACTACAGTCAGTGTAGTGGCTGGGAAGAGGTTAAAGAAGGATTTTCAAGCCTTGACACAATTGATAAATTGATGGTGTATGTGTGCCATTCAGAGGGTGAATGGGCAAGACAAATAGTGCAATCAATATTAGGAAGGTGTACCTAATGTTTGGTATTCTGAGTGTACATCATTGTTCCTTTGCTACCATCTGTGACTCAGAAGATCTGTATTGAAATCATTACACATTCAACAATTGCATGGGTAGAATCGTGCATCCCTTATTGTGTGGTGTTTGGGGTTGTGTGTGAGCTCCAGTTGACTAACCTCTCCCCTCCATTGCAGCATCAGGCCATGCGGAGGCACAGTGCAGCCTGGGCCGAGTCTCTGAGGTACAGGAGGCCTGAATTCGAGGGCATGGGAGGCCTCCGCCGGGTCACTCTCAACTGCAACACCCTGGTGGGAGACAGAGGGGCGGCCGCCCTCTCACAGGAACTGGCTGAGGACCTCTGGGTCAAAGGTCAGAGGACACGTTCAGTCTCTCATTGACCCTCTTAAGTCCGTTTTTCAGGACCTTTCCTTGAGCTTGAATCCAGGGTCGTGTTCATTAGGGAACACCATATCAAAACTTATTTGTAATGGGTGGTATTGACTGTAGTTTTGCATTGTTTTCCTAGCCGTGGATCTGCAGAAGTGTGGTTTATCCAACGATGGGACACGGTCTCTGCTGGAGGCTCTAAAGTCCAACACCACTCTCTGTGTCCTGGATATCAGGAGGAACCCCTTAGTGGGTAAGTTCCAACTTCCACTGCTCTGAGTGGATGGGATTGTTTTACTCACGGCACCTGTCAAAAGGGTATATTTTGGAAGTAGACATATCAGAATGATCATATCTACTCGGTTGCTGTTTTTTCCTTTGAGAGTTTGTTATAGGCTTAACACGAGTGGTTCTTACTCCTCTCCTCCTCGCACAGACAATGACCTGGTGAAGTCCGTGATCAAAAGAGTTCTCATGAATGCTAATGGTCAATCCTCTCAGGTATGGATATGTCTGCTCCTGGCCTATCTGGCTATTAAAGGAAACATTGGGAGCTGTGTGTCCATGATTAACGCAAAGTGGTACAATACATACTGCATTATACATGTGTGAAGATGTGTGTGAGTATCTAGTGTCTCAGGGTTGATGATGGTAGTTTCTCAGTAGTATGTGCTCCATGTTTTATGTTGTAGTACTCCTGGATCAAGCCCCCGGCCCTCAAAGACTCACAGAAACCTCCAAGCCTTAAGAGAAGAATACTGGGAAATACAGCTAGAGGAAAAGCAACATTTAGGATAGGTACATTTGATCATCTACTCTCTCTTAAACTGTAAATCTAATAAATAAGACACTGTTCATGGATGCCATGTCAGTCAACGTGAACAGATGCCGTTGAGCTGCATTCAGTATGCTGTATGTGATTCCAAGGCATTCTCTCTTTGACCTTTGCGAAGAAGTGCCCACAGTCGTGTTCATTATAGGCACCAAACGGAAGACAATGGACTGCAACACGGAGGGCCCACCTAGACTTGTCCAATAAGAAACATTCATTTTGTTTCTGGTTGCGTGCCATAATGAACACAACCCAGGTCACTGTTAACTCTCCCTTAGCCATCAGGCTCTCTCAATACTAAGCCTCCAAACACACAGTCACCCTGTGGTCCTATACACTATGACAGTGGATATGTCACAAATGGCTAAATGTAACTAGAGCCACCACATCCTTTCTGGAGCCAGGAAGTAGCATTACGGTTACCTGGTATCTAAAAGTCTAATAGCGGTAGCTAACCAACAGTAAATACATGTAACTAACTCTGGCTAACTGTGGAATTAAACAATTAACTTATTTATAGTTAGTTCCCTATGGCATCCTCTCTCTTTGCTTGCTACCAGTGTATGTAATGTTTTCAGTTTGACGTGTGTGACGTATCCACTTTCATATCGTGTTGTGATTAACCTTCCCTATGTAATTGCCCTACTAGTGGACCCTGTGATGTTCTGTTCTATTAATAATCACATTCTTTCAACTGCCGACCTCATTTCATTTCCTGCTGGTGTTGACCACATATGGTCCTGCCCAGGTCCTCGCAGGTTGTCGTCGGCCAGTAGGCGGAGTCCAGTTGTTGCCCAGCAGCCACACCCCAGCCTCAGCAGGTGTATCCCATGGCGCACTGCAGAACGTGCTGGACGACAGAGGTAAGGGCAGTCGTCGAGGAGAACGACTACAGGAATCTTCCTCCTACAAGATGAAACACCTTTATTTATCTTAATTTCAATATTAAAGACTAAAATCAACTTCCATTGTCCTTCATGAGTGGATGAATATCCTCTTCTTTTCATGTCCTATCTTGACAGAGGACTTCCTCCAGGTAATACAGTGGCAGAGCAGAGCTTTGAGGTAAGCAATCTATTTGTCTAACACACTGTTAAACTAATTCTGACACTTTCTGGCCACATGTAATCCCTATGTGTCTGACCTGTGTTGTGGTCATATGTTCATGTCCAATGGTCCCCTAGATAGATCTGTTGATGTCAAATATATGGTCTTCATCAGGGGGCTGCCACTGTCAAGGTCACAATGGAGACTGAGTCAGAGGAGGAGGGAGAGGAGGAAGCGGTTGAGACAAAAAGCCCGTCGGCACTTAGCCTTCATGAAAGGATCACTGTCAGACAGTACAGACGTGTACAGGTAAAGCCTATATGGTAGCAGACACAGTGCACATACTGTACTTAGAGGGGCGTTTTGAAAAGGGATTACTTCCAACTGCGGTGCATCCTGATTGACAAGCCTCACAAACACCAGGCATGTTTGCTCTCCCACTGACTGACAGGGAGACACTGTTGTTTTGGTTTGACAGTGATGGAGTGCAGTTCCCCTGTTTTTCCTACAGGTGGAGCTGGAGGAGTGTCGGCTCAGACTAGCAGAGGAAAGGAGGGCCAGAGTGAAAGCAGACACTTGTCTCATGGAGGTACGGACTGTCATCCCAACCTTTGTACTAGTAAGACTAAGATGCAGAGTATACAATATTCTACAGTTTTTGTGAGAAGATGGTATGATTTACATACATGTACAGTACCCGTCAAAAGTTTGGACACCTACTCATTCAAGGGTTTTTCTTTATTTTTAAAAATGTTCTACATTGTAGAATAGTAGTGAAGACTTCAAAACTATTAAATAACACATGGAATCATAATCCAAAAAAGATTATTCAAAGTAGCCACCCTTTGCCTTGGTGACAGCTTTGCACACACTTGGCATGTAAGTCGCTTTGGATAAAAGCGTCTGCTAAATGGCATATTATATTATATTCTCTCAACCAGCTTCATGAGGTAGTCACCTGGAATGCACTTGGCATGTTAAAAGTTAATTTGTGTAATTTATTTCCTTCTTAATGCGTTTGAGCCAATCAGTTGTGTTGTGACAAGGTAGGGGTGGTATACAGAAGATAGCCCTATTTGGTAAAAGACCAAGTCCATATTATGGCAAGAACAGCTCAAATAAGCAAAGAGAAATGACAGTCCATCATTACTTTAAGACATGAAGGTCAGTCAATACGGAACATTTCAAGACCTTTAAAAGTTTATTCAAGTGCAGTTGCAAAAACCATCAAGCGCTATGATGAAACTGGCTCTCATGAGGACTGCCACAGGAAAGGAAGACCCAGAGTTACATCTGCTGCAGAGGATAAATTCCTTAGTGTTACAAGCCTCAGAAATTGCAGCCCAAAAATGCTTCAGAGTTCAAGTAACAGACATCTCAACATCAACTGTTCAGAGGAGACTGCGTGAATCAGGTCGAATTGCTGCAAAGAAACCACTACTAAAGGACACCAATAATAAGAAGAGACTTGTTTGGGCCAAGAAACATGAGCAATGGACATTAGACTGGTGGAAATCGTTATGCATGCTCAAGTTCTGTTTTTTTTGTCTTATTTCTTGTTTGTTTCACACAAAAAAATATTTTGTTCCACACATTTATGTTGTGGAAATCAAATGATATAAACCCCCCATTTAAAAAAAAAAAAAAATTTAATCCCAGGTTGTAAGGCAACAAAATAGGAAAAATGCCAAAGGGGGCGAATACTTTCGCAAGCCACTGTATGGATAGCCAGGGGCTATCTCCAACACTCAGACATAATTTACTAATAAAGCATTTGTGTTTAGTGAGTCCGCCAGAACAGAGGCAGTAGGGATGACCAGGGATGTTCTCTTGATAAGTGTGTAAATTTGACAATTTTCCCATCCTGCTAAGCATTCAAAATGTAATGTGTACTTTTGGGTGTCAGGGAAAATGTATGAGTAAAAAGTACAATATTTTCTTTAGGAATGTAGTGAAGTAAAAGTTTTTACTTAAGTACTTTACACCATTGAGAAAAACCCTGGAATGAGTAGGTGTGTCCAAACGTTTGACTGGTACTGTATGTAACCTATGCCCCTTCTTTTTTTATTCTCATCGTGTGGGTGTGTGTTAATTGTCGATCAACTGCTCTGTCTGTTCAGTATGAGTTGGAGAACGCTCGGCTGCGCAGTATCAACTTCTCCCTGTCGGAGGCACTGCATGCTCCTGCTACTGGCCCCTCCTGTGTTCTGGAGGACGACGCGGTTCTGGACAGCATCGAGAGCTCCTTCAGCAAGTTCCATGCCTTCCTGGACCTGCTCAAGGATGCTGGGTAAGCCTTGTGACTGGCTAATTATTTTATTGGCGGGTTCTCTAAGTTCCTCAGTAAATAAATAAATAGACAGTTTCTCCTCAAATGTGTGGAGTTTCACCTCAATGGGACAAATATTGAGGCTTACTTCTAGACTAGAGGGTTTAGATGTGAGGGGATGTTACTTGTAGTGTAATGATTATCCTCCTTCTCCAGTGTATATCCTGTGTATTCTAACACATACTCTATGCTCTGCTATGTCTCTCAGACTGGGCCAGTTGGCCTCCATGGCAGGGATTGACCAGTCCGACTTTGGCCCACTCGGGCGACCCCAGCTGTCCTCCACTGTTGGACGGCCTCTTGTCGGGTCAGGGGACCAGGACACGAGAGAGAAGGTTGATGTGGCGCCCTCTGTAAATACAGTCTCAGTGCAGTCTGGGTGTGGGTGGTGTACAGTATGTATGAACTAAGATTGTCGTTAAGGGTGGGGTTTCTTTGGTAGATATTCAAGTGTTAAGCAGTGTCGATTCTGAGTCTGTCGGTGGTGAATATCTGTCAGTAGCTTGGGTCCTATTCAGTCTCATTCTCTGGGTTGTCTTTCCAGGGAGGCGACAGCTCCAGTGCTCCATCAGAGGGCCAGCCCAACGGATGCACCCCCGGAGCTCCAGCCACTCTCAGAGGGTTCTCGCCAGAGGGTGATCTACAGGAAGTGCCCCCTGTCCCTGCTAGTGAATTTGCCAGTGAGCCCTGTGTGGAGAAGCCTGGTGGAGAGAATCAGCAGAGGGTTCCCTCTCCCTCACAACCGGAGGGGCGACTGGTGTCAGGGTCTGAGCACAGTATCCATAGCAACGGCTCCCATGGCAATGACTCGTATGCCGAAGGCTCCCATAGCAATGACTCTCAGGGTAGCGGTTCCTATGGCAAAGGTTCCCGCGGTCGTAATGTCTCTCACCACAGTAATGGCAATGGCTCCAAGCATAGCAACGGCTCCAATCATAGCCATGGCTCACATGGTTACAGTTTTAACTACAGCAACTGCTCCCATGCCTACAGCTCCATCCACAGCGACGGCTTCCATAGTAACGGCTGGCATGTTGACGGCTCTGTAAGGTCTAGTCTGAGTGACAGGAGTGACCGTGTGGAATCTGTTGGGTCATTCGGGTTGAAGGCTTCTGGAGGGGGCAGGGTAGGGTCAGGAGCTCAGAAGTGAAACTATATTCAGAGTTTGCGATGCTGGAACAGATCCGCTCTCTGGGGAGCCTGGGTGGCGAGTCTGATGATGGGTTCTGAATCCACAACTCTGCCACTTGAGTGTTTCTTTTTTATATTTTCATTTTATATCTGTGTTTACCTTTCTTGTGGCATTGGTGCCAAATCGGAGCACTATAAAAAGGTTATTGTGCTAATGATGCCTAATTCTTGTGTGGCCAAATCTGAAATGTGATTTTAGTCTTTTGTGGCTTTTTAGTTTTTTTTTTTTTAACTGTGACTCTTTTATAATGTTTGTAAATATATGGATATATTTTCTACAATACATTTCGTTTAAAAATACCTTGATTGTAGGGCACAATACTTTGTTTACAGTGTTCAACCGTAAGTATTTCTGTCAGTTTACACTAGAAAAGGTTATGGGAAAAATCAGTCTTGATCATGCTACAGGGCTATTCCTGGGGGCAAAAACAATGGGCGGGTTCGAGCGGATCACTTTTGTCAAGTCTGTGGCCATCGTTGGTCACCGCCTTTCAAAGTGTGTTGCATTATGGGGATAAAACATTTCCGACTTGCGCCTACATGTAGACTATATGAACTTTACATGAATCATGTGATTAAGGGTCATGAAGTTTTGACTGCAAGTTTCTACAGTTGCTCTTCAACAACTTATTTCTGCACCCATCGCATGCATTGTGGGAGGCTCTATTATCAACCAATCATTAGGGTGTTTTTGTTTGACCCACGCGAATGTGACCAAAAACATGACTGAAGCAGGAACCAACATCGCTGTGATTCATGTATACAGTGTAAATATACAGAGAGGAAGAGGCGAAGCGAGAGGTTTCACTCTTGCCAATATCTGTCCAAAATAAGCCCATTGTGTTTCTATGGGCTTATATTGAACCTAAGCTTGTCGCCAGCCTTCCCGCCTTTGGGACAACGACTCCCATTGTTAGGGCAGAGACATGAGCATCTCATCATTATATATAGATCTCTGATATATACAAATGACTGTGATATTTGAGGCTCTCACTCAATTTATTGTACAAATGCACCTCCCCCGACTTAATTCCTCAACTTTTTTTCTGCAGTTGGTTGCTTTAGCCTTACCACTCAAACAAGCCCACTTGGTCTTCTGGTTTTTATTTCTACCTGGTGGTTATTAGTGCCCACCTGTACCCTTTTCACCTTAAGGTGCCGCCCGAACCTTACTGGCTTGGACATTTTCTTTTCACATTGCCCTTTCCGGCACAGTTCCAGCAATTATGGTGGATGCTTAACCAGGCCAGCGGAGTACACCTAGGCTCGGTTGGTTTGGTTCAGCTAATAGTGCAGTCTAGGGTCGCGCTCCCCGCTCTGAAGTTGCATGCATCAACCAATGGTTGCATGCCATGTCATCGACTGTGCAGTCGGGCACCAGATTTCTATAACATGGGTCATGTTCCCCTGCTCAGACGTTGCTGACGCATGCCAGATCTTATGCCTGAATAGGTATTTTACATATCAGCTAAGCCACATTATATGTTAGCAATCTGGTGCCCGACTGCACAGTTGATGACGTGGCACGCAACCATTGGCTGATGCATGCAACGTCTGACCAGGGGAATGTGACGTACCTTGATATTGTTAGCTGATACATAAAATACCTATCTGTACTTTACTATTTATACTTGACAACTTTTACTCTACTACATTCCTAAAGAAAATATGTACTTTTTAATTTTCCCTGACACACAAAAGTACTCATTACATTTGGAATGCTAAGGCAGGACAGCAATATGGGCCAATTCATGCACCTTTCAATACAAGGCATTGTCATCCCTACTGCCTCTGATAAAATGGCGGACTAAACACAAACACCATGTTTGTAAATAATGTTGGAGTGTGCCCTTGTCCATCCATAAATAAAAATAAATAAATGTTTTGCCATCCGGTTTTCTTAATATAAGGAATGTGATAAATAGCATTTACTTTTACTCATGACAATTGAGCACTTTTTCCACCACTGTACTTAAGTAAATTTAAAACCACATACTTTTAGACTTTTACTGAAGTAGTATTTTATTGAGTGACTTTTACTTTATTCATTTTCTATCCATGTATCTTTACTTTTAATCAAGTATGACAATTGGGTACTTTTTCGCACTACTGCTATCCAGGCATTGTAAGATCTGGCATGCTTCAGGCCATCAGCAATGTCTGAGCAGGGGAACACGACCTATTTCTATGGTTTAGAGCAGTAGAGTGAAAAGGGCGTCTCTGATTAGAGGGGTAGAATGAAAACCAGAAGTGTAGTTCTCCTCAGAATTTGTGGGAGGAAAGGTAAATATGTTTTAAAGTCACATTAGAACAAGTGCATGATTGTACTAAAGGTGCAGTTGATAAAGTATGTCCTTTCAATTTGGCATCCATGCCATTTTCTTGTTTTGTTTGTCTCCAACGTTGGTGCTTGTATACAAATTCCATGGGACTACTACTTGCAGAGAAGGGCTGATCGTGCTACCAAAGGTGGCTGCCTGCTACTTTTTGCAGGATCTTTGGTACGTACCAACTCTGACGTTACCCCATTTAAGTAGATTATGGACGTCCTAAGGATATTGAATAGCACTAACCTTTGTTGCAGTGTTGGCATCGTTTGACTCCACTTCCGCGTTTTCAAGCAGGCCAGCTGAAAGTCACAGCTTCCTCCCGACGACAATGGAAATCAGATTGCTACTGTCCTGAATATTAATTGAACTAGCTATGTAAAGAGTCTGGAAGCTAGCTCATTAAGAGGACGGACAATTCACTGTCAAAACATATCCTTGCTTGAACAGTGAAGCAGCTTCCAGGTAAGATTTGGCATCACCTAGCTAGCCTAAACTGTTTTTAGCTAGCATAGCGGTTGGCTACATGAATCGGAGGCACATAGTCATTTATCAGAGGCAGACTCAGATGTTGATGTCCTGAGATTTGCTCTGTGTAACCCTCACATTTCAGAATACACTTCACTGATTCAAAATATCATCGTTAGCTAGCTAAAGTTGTAACCATATCCAGATATAATAATGTAGCTATAGCTAGCTAGCTACTAACGTCGTTAACTAGGCTACATCATGCTAAGTGCTAACTAATGTTTGCTGTTTTAGCCACAACTAGTTAGGTAACTAATTTGTCTGTCCTGCCAACTATTCAAAAATGGGCTTGTTAATCATGTCTGACCAGTGTTTATAATTACTTTAAACAAATCAGATTAATCTGACCTAACTAGCGACCAATAAATTAGGCCACACAATAACCCAAATATCGTTGAGTTTAATCAGCTATTGCTAGGCGCTTAGCCTCGTACGAACCATCCTGATCTCGCGGATACCGTGACTAGAAACATAATGTAAGCTCGCGAGTTCAGGATGGTTCGTACGCTGTTTGGCTAGCTGAGCTGGTTGGTTTACTGTCCTTGTAGTATGTACACTGAACCAAAATATAAACGCAACAATTTCAAAGATTTTACTGAGTTACAGTTAATATAAATCCCATAGGGCGGCGTACAATTGGCCCAGCGTCGTCCGGGTTTGGCCGGTGTAGGCCGTCATTGTAAATAAGAATTTGTTCTTAACCGACTTGCCTAGTTAAATAAAGGTAAAATATTTAAAAAAATAAGGAAATCGGTCCAATTTAAATAATTTCATTAGCCCCTAATCTATGGATTTCACATGACTGGGAATACAGATATGCATCTGTTGGTCACAGATACCTTAAAAATAAAATAAAAACTAGGGGAGTGGATCGGAAAACCAGTCAGTATCTGGTGTGACCACTATTTGCCTCATGCAGCGCGACACATCTCCTTCGCATAGAGTTGATCAGGCTGTTGATTGTGGCCTGGGAAACGTTGTTCCACTCCTCTTCAATAGCTGTCTGAAGTGGCTGGATATTGGTGGGAACTGGAACACACTGTCGATCCAGAGCATCCCAAACATGCTCAATGGGTGACACATCTGGTGTGTATGCAGGCCATGGAAGAACTGGGACATTTTCAGATTCCAGGAAGTGTGTACAGATCCTTGCGACATGGGGCTGTGCATTATCATGCTGAAACATGAGGTGATGGCGGCGGATGAATGGCACGACAATGGGCCTCAGGATCTCTTCACGGTATCTCTGTGCATTCAAATTGCCATCGATAAAATGCAATTGTGTTCATTGTCCGTAGCTCATGGCTGCCCTACCATAACCCCACCGCCACTATGGGGCACTCTGTTCACAAGGTTGACATCAGCAACCTGCTCGCCCATACGACCCCAGAGTCTGCCATCTGCCCGGCACAGTTGAAACCAGGATTCATATGTGAAGAGCACACTTCTACAGTGTGACAGTGGCCATCGAAGGTGAACATTTGCCCACTGAAGTCGGTTAGAACGCCGGACTGCAGTCAGGTCAAGACCCTGGTGAGGACGACGAGCATGCAGATGAGCTTCCCTGAGATGGTTTCAGAAATTCTTCTGTTGTGCAAACCCAAAGTTTCATCAGCTGTCTGGGTGGCTGGTCTCAGACGATCCTGCAGGTGAAGAAGCCAGATGTGGAGGTCCTGGGCTGGCGTGGTTACACGTGGTCTGCAGTTGAGGCCGGTTGGACATACTGCCAAATTCTCTAAAATGACGTAGAAATTAACATTCAATTCTCTGGCAACAGCTCTGGTGGACATTCCTGCAGTCAGTGTGCCAATTGCACGCTCCCTCAACTTGAGACATCTGTGGCATTGTGTGACAAAACTGCACATTTTAGTGGCCTTTTATTGTCCCCAGCACAAGGTGCACCTGTGTAATGATCATGCTGTTTAATCAGCCTTTTGATATGCCTCAGCTGTCAGTTGGATTGATTATCTTGGTAAAGGAGAAATGCTGACTAACAGTGATGTAAACAAATTTGTGCACAGTTTGAGAGAAATACGCTTTTTGTGCGTATGGAACATTTCTGGAATTGTTTATTTCAGCTTGTGTTGTGTTTATATTTTTGTTCAGTATGGGGAAGTGGCTTATTTCTCCTGACATTACTGTGACTTGAGCATGCCCCATTAGCAGTATTGCTAGCTAGCTAATCGGATAGCTATCATTACCTACATAGATATGGTTTGACAGAGGTAGGTAATTTGTTAATCATGAAGCATGACTCATGAGTTGCATGCTCTTCCAGTTGAGTTGTTTTCATGCAAGTAAGGTTATTTAGTCTCATCTCTTGTCTTGCATTATCAGGTCCCTAATAGTCCCGGATACTAACAAGTGATATTGACAATAAAGCTGTTCCTGTACCAGTTATTTGCATTGACTAACTTGAGGAGAGGCAGACGCACAATACACTTACAGACAAACGTTTTAAAATACCTACTCATTCAAGGGTTTTTCTTGATTTTTACTATTTTCTACATTGTAGAATAATAGTGAAGACATCAACTATGAAATAACACATGTAGGAACCAAAAAACTGTTAAACAAATCAAAATATATTTGAGATTCTTCAAATAGCCACTCTTTGCCTTCATGACAGCTTTGCACACTCTTGGCATTCTCTCAACCAGCTTCATGAGGTAGTCACCTGGAATGCATTTCAATTAACAGGTGTACCTTCTTAAAAGTTAATTTGTGGAATTTATTTCCTTAATGCGTTTGAGCCAATCAGTTGTGTTGTGACAAGGTAGGGGGGAAATACAGAAGATAGCCCTATTTGGTAAAAGACCAAGTCCATATTATGGCAAGAACAGCTCAAATAAGCAAAGAGAAATGACAGTCCATCATTACTTTAAGACATGAAGGTCAGTAAATACGGAAAATGTCAAGAACTTTGAAAGTTTCTTCAAGTGCAGTTGCAAAAACCATCAAGAGCTATGATGAAACTGGCTCTCATGAGGACCGCCACAGGAATGGAATACCCAGAGTTACCTCTGCTGCAGAGAATATGTTCATTAGAGTTACCAGCCTCAAATTGCAGCCAAAATATATGCTTCACAGAGTTCAAGTAACAGACACATCTCAACATCAACTGTTCAGAGGGGACTGTGTGAATCAGGCCTTCATGGTCGAATTTCTGCAAAGAAACCACTACTAAAGGACACCAATAAGAAGAAGAGACTTGCTTGGGCCAAGAAACATGAGCAATGGACATTAGACTGGTGGAAATCTGTCCTTTGGTCTGGAGTCCAAATTGGAGATTTTTGGTTCCAGTAAAGCATGGAGGAGGTGGTGTTATGGTGTGGGGGTGCTTTGCTGGTGACACTGTGTGATTTATTTAGAGTTCAAGGCACACTTAACCTGCATGGCTACTACAGCATTCTGCAGCGATACGCCATCCCATCTGGTTTGGGCTTAGTGGGACTATCATTTGTTTTTCAACAGGACAATGACCCAACACACCTCCAGGCTGTGTAAGGGCTATTTTACCAAGAAGGAGAGTGATGGAGTGCTGCATCAGATGACCTGGTGATATGATGATTTGTGATACAATATTCATTAATGTACTGTATGTGCAACTCATAAGCTGTATGTGGAGAGGATAAGGACACACCATGTGTTAGTGGTATCACGAGGGTCAGTGTGTCAAGATAGATTGGGGGCCACTGGTGCTAATCTTAGGATTGGTGCATGATAGAACGGCCTGGCTAGGGTGCCAGATGACACCAAGGAGAGGAATGATATGTAGGAAGTGAGTGGCAGCTAGTAATAGTTATCAACTGGGTACGATAAAAGTAGGTTGGAAGGGCATTATATAAGTTGAAAGATGTGGTAAGGAAGTCAGTCATATGATAAGAGGCAAAGCACGTTCGTCTTATGATCCAGTACTGAAATAAATGTAAATCAAACTTCCAGCTGAGTGTCGACTGCTCTCTCTTACATCCTGAACTTCTCCATACCAGAACCTCATCATAACACCTGGCCTCCATAATCCTCCGACCTCAACCAAATTGAGATGGTTTGGGATGAGTCGGACTGCAGAGTGAATGAAAAGCAGCCAACAAGTGCTCAGGATACGTGGGAACTCCTTCAAGACAGTTGGAAAAGCATTCCAGGTGAAGCTGGTTGAGAGAATGCCAAGAGTGTGCAAAGCTGTCATCAAGGCAAAGGGTGGTTACTTTGAAGAATCTCAACTATAAAATATATTTGGATTTGTTTAACACTTTTTTTTGTTCTTTTTTTTTGGTTACTACATGATTCCATATGTGTTATTTCATAGTTTTTATGTCTTCACTATTATCCTACAATGTAAAAAATAAAGGAAAAACCCTTGAATGAGTTGGGTCTAAAACATTTGACTGGTAGTGTACAGTACACACCTTAGCACAACACAGCTAATGTATTGGGTTCGATAAAATAATGTATGTGCTAACTGTAAGTCGCTCTGGATAAGAGCGTCTGCTAAATGACTAAAATGTAAATGTATTAAAGGTCTATCCAAACCCATTTCACACCCAACCCAGTTTCACAGCACACCCACAAATGACTGTAGACTCACAGACTTAAAGGGATACTTCAGGATTTTGGCAATGAAGCCACTTAACTACTTTCCCAGAGTCAGATTAACTCCTGGATACCATTTTTATGTCTCTGCATCCAGTATGAAGGAAGTCAGGTAGTTTCGCAAGCCAATGCTAACTAGTGTTAGCGCAATGACTGCTAGCTGTTACCATACACTTTGTCATTGGGCTAACGTTAGTTAACAACTTCCTTCAAACTGCACGCAGAGACATCCACGAGTTCATCTGACTCTGGGGAAGTAGATAATGGGCTTCATTGCCAAAATCCTGAAGTATCCCTTTAACTCTTTCACTGAACTGCATGATAGATTTTACACCCTGTGGTCACTAGGGTACAGTTTTTTTTAGGTGTTTAACCAATGTCTCTCGCTCTCTCTCGTCTTCAGGAGGCCATGGGGGGGTTGGGTAATGGTCGTCGAGGGGGGCGGACTCCTCCTCTTATGATTGGTGCTCTGATCGCTTGTGTCCTCGTCCTGGGTTTCAACTACTGGGTGTCGAACTCACGGAACTTGGAGTTACAGGTGTGTGTTTCGATCTTTAATCAAATATATTTATAACTAACCCAAGATTGTTAATCTGTGTCGTTTACAGTGGAAGCAAATGAAACAGAACAAGCAAGGAGCTGGGCAAAACCAAGCATGAGCTAGTGAGATCCGTGTTGTGTTGTAGCATATACAGTATTTGCATATTTCCGTTAGGGAACGCCGCCTCTGAAGTGCGTGTGTGCATAAACTAATCCCAGGGTTACAGTTTGTGTTTTTGAAGAGGATTGGAAACAAGGCCGAGCCAGATGGAGCAGTTGTATGGAGAAAGGCAAGCTGTTTAGAGTAATGAATGTAGAAAGTAAGCTGAAGTATGTGACTAGGAAAAGGGCCATGTCACAGAGGGCAGAATGAGTAAGTTATTTTTGTATGCCATTTGAAGTGTTTAAAGAACAGGGTTTGATTCTCCAAGCCTTTGTTTTGAATGATGCTACTCTGACCCTGTGACACCATGTGTGTGCTGTGGTGGCGGGCAGACAAAGCTGTACGAGTTGGAAGCGCAGATGCGTCGGGCGGCGTCGGAGCGTGGCGCAGTGGAGGTGAAGAAGAACGAGTTCCAGGAAGAGATTCAGCGGCTGAAAGAGGAGAGCAGCCGCATGCAGAGCCTGAACAAGAGGCTGGAGGGAGTCCACAACACCTGTAGCCAGGAAAAGGTAGTTTACTGTACTGGAGTGTACTCACCTGGGAACCAGCACACACCTGAGCACTGCATCATAGATGGACGCATAATACACACCTGGGCACAACACCACTTCTAACGTGCACACACAAAATAGTTCATCAACACACACATTACAACCCTGAGGACAACGCAATCATGTAAAGTGTGATCAACACATTTGTATATTCTAAACATCATTGAATCAGTGCTAGGGATTTTTCTGCCATTGAAATCCTTGGGCGGGCCGCCTAAATCCAAACTATAATATATATTTCAGGATGGAAATGGAAAACGCTTTCAGTGTAAACTTAAATGAAGTTAGACAGGGAGAATAGAAAATTCCAAAAACAAGGAATTTAGCAGTGTTGATATGTTTGAGCAAAAGAACACAGCATTAACCACGGTCAAATATGTTCTCCCAGCTCCATGGTAAGATGCATACAATTGCAGGAAATTCACTTTGTAGTTTTGAACATTTCTCTCAGCTCCATGTAGAATTGCAGGAAATTGGCTTAATAATGTAAAAAACACAAAACTACACTGCCAGGATGGGGGCCTCTAAACGTAATCTTGAGAGTACTATCAGTTTCTCTGTGATCAAGGGTTGTACTGAGTTGACCATACTGAATACGCCACCTTGCTGGTAGCCTGTCTTGAGTTTCCCTCCCTCAGATAGGTTCCTTCATCTGTGGGTCCTATTGTTTACTGAGTGTGTGAATTCCCAGCAAAGGTGTGATACCATGGCAGCATGGAAAGGGAATTGTGACCATCTGTTGAGCACCTACTGGGTACACACACAGATCAAGTAAAAACAAGTAATGTCTGTTTCCTTTAGGCAAGCCAGCAGATAAATATATCCTCCAGTACCAAAACAATACAGGACCTGAAAAGTAAGATGGCTGTCTCTTTTCTGTCTTCAGTGTTGTGAAATCTCACTCCAATATCCACCAGTGTTTATCAGCCTTTTTTACCCCCTAGTCAGGACTTAATACTACCTGTGAATGTGTCTCTCTGCAGGTCAGTTAAATGTGCTAAATGAAGACCTGGGTAAAGTTCAGAAAGAGTTCCAGAGTTGCCAAGGCAATCTGAACACCCTGAACAAAAAACTCACCTATGACATGTAAGGCCCTCTACTATACACAGTCCAGCCATTTATGGAGGGTGTATGACAGACAATCATGTATCACTCTTTTAGGGTCTGTTATGTGACCTTAACGTGCAGGTAATAACGTGTGTTGTGTATAGGACTCAGTGTAACACTCAGATACTAGCACAGAGGGAGGACTGTGCTGAAAAGGTGGCTGCAGCCAAGCAGGAAGTTCAAAAGAAACTGGAGATGAAGAACCCAGCAGTCTCCTCCCAGGTAAACCAGTAACCATGTTCAACGCTCACATCGTAGACCAGGGATCATTAACTAGATTTAGCTGTGGGACGATGTTTTTCCTGAGCGAAGGGTCGGGGGGCCGGAACATTTGTAGACTGCAAATTGACCGCAAGAAGCCCAGACAGGTATGACAAAAATATATATAATTTCACCCCTTGCTTACATTTGTATACAATCACGTGTATCTATTTATGCGTGGGAATACTTGAACAGATTTCCAAAATAAAAATTACTTTGATCTATAATATAGAATGTTTTGCTCTACTTGGGGAGCCAAAGAAAGCCATTTGGCACGCGGGCCGCCAGTTGGGGAACCCTGTCGTAGACCTTACCTATCCCCCATTAACTGGCTCACTCATTAAGTACATCCAGGGATTTGACTCACAACATTACCCAACATGACCCTGAACAGTGGCTGCCTGGCAATAGTCCCAACACAATTTCCATAATCCGACGTACTGAGTTCAGTTCACCATTGTATCTATCTATCCAGAACTGTTAAAATACCCTGAACATTGAAGAACCCAGCAGTTGGTTATACCTGGAGTACTTCTCCTGTCTTATCCAGTGTCCTGTGTGAATTTAAGTATGCTCTCTCTAATTCTCTCGTTCTCTCTTTCTCTCTGAGAACCTGAGCCCTAGGACCATACGTCAGGACTACCGGGCATGATGACACCTTGCTGTCCCCAGTCCGCCTGGCCTTGCTGCTATTCCAGTTTCAACTGTTCTGCCTGCGGCTACGAAACCCCTACCTGTCCCAGACCTGCTGTTTTCAACTCTTAATGATCGGCTATGAAAAGCCAACTGAGAGACCTGAGCCCTAGGACCATACGTCGGGACTACCGGCCGTGGTGACTCCTTGCTGTCCCCAGTCCGCCTGGCCTTGCTGCTATTCCAGTTTCAACTGTTCTGCCTGCGGTTATGGAACCCCTACCTGTCCCAGACCTGCTGTTTTCAACTCTTAATGATCGGCTATGAAAAGCCAACTGAGATTTATTCCTGATTATTATTTGACCATGCTTGTCACTTATGAACATTTTTGAACATCTTGGCATGGTTCTGTTATAATCTCCACCCGGCACAGCCAGAAGAGGACTGGCCACCCCTCATAGCCTGGTTCCTCTCTAGGTTTCTTCCTAGGTTTTCGCCTTTCTAGGGAGTTTTTCCTAGCCACTGTGCTTCTACACCTGCATTACTAGCTGTTTGGGGTTTTAGGCTGGGTTTCTGTACAGCACTTCGAGATATTAGCTGATGTAAGAAGGGCTATATAAAATAAAATTGATTGAAAATTGATTGAACATCAAACAATATAGCTTGGCTGACCAGTCTGAATTTTATAACTTTTTTTTTTTTTTTCTGCAGACAAATGCAGCTTCCACACAGAAAATTGGCTCCACTGAGGTGGGCGTGTCAGATAAAGAGGGGCCTGGGAAGGCAGGACTGGACGACACGAAGACTACTCCTGTCCACGGCCACGCCCCTGAACCATCAGTGGCCAAAGGTCCTGCAGCGGACCTCAAAGCCTCAGAGCTGGAGACCAATGAGATCGCAGTAGACAAAGGTACAAGACAAGATGGCTGCTCCTCTCATTCAAAGGGTGGCAGGATCTGGGCCAATAAGACAATTTCATACCAGCTCTCCCACTTTCTTATCAACTCATCTTTGACATGACATTACATACACACCATACCATTATACCACAGTCATATTCACCATTACCCCTTAGGGAAGTACAACACGTCTTGAATTTAATTAGTAGTTTTAGCATCAGATGTGTATATTGTCTGATGCTAACTGGATGCTGCTCTTTGTCTAGCTCTCGACGCTCCTGCACTATCCCCGCAAGAGTCCTTGCCCTCCACTGATGCTAATGGGGACCAACCAGGGCCTGTAGAGGAGGCCGAGGGGGCTAGTAAGCCCCAGAAAAATAACCTGACGACTGAGGACACGGAGCTGGAGGTGATGGACACACACGGAGGAGAGCTTCAGATAGAGGGTACGACTCGCACAGCCTCAACCCTGCACCCACCATCTCAGAAACTGTACAACCTCCTCCATACCAGATGTCCAGGGAGGACAAGCCAGTTTGCCCTGCCATAATTATAAAATATTATACATTGTGTGAAAGTATCTAAAATGGGAAATAGTGAAACATAGCATAGGCAAGGTTTTTGCCTTTACAGAGTCAAAGATGTGAGAAATGGAAACGGACGCCAATCTTCTTTTTCCCCTCCAGATGCTGACCCTGGTGCTGATGACATTCAGCTTAGCCAGTGGAAGGAAGAGGAGGCTCCTATTGGTCAGGAGAAGGTGGAGGATCCTGAGGAGGACCCGGACAAACGGAACCAGATGGCTGAGAACATAGGTGGGTCACACTCCTACAGTGGGTCTGTGTGTGTGTGTGTGAAGGTTAATGTATAGTAGAGATGGGGGGTCTATGGACAAAAATCCATATTGTGATAAATTGCCTGAATTGATGTGATAATGATAATTAGAACGATAAGTTTAACATTCATGTACACAACAGGTTTAAAATATCCGTTAAACTACTACTTTGATGGTTGTAGCCATCAATTGTCCCATTAACACTCACCCATATTATCAAATGTATTTAATTTCAAACTTCACATTTCTCTAGTATAGACTACTGATCGTAATGAACGATGTCAGCAAAATGCCTGCAATAAGTGATCGGTATGGTCGGTTTTAATATTCGGTTTATTGTCCCATCTCTAATGTATAGTAATGATGCTAATATGTTCACTCGTAGATAAGGAGGCTGAACGGGAAATGCAGGAGGAGCTGGCGGACTACAACGGAGACGATGAGAATGAGGGAGAGTTTGAGGCTGACAAACAGGCAGAGCTAGCTCAGTTCTGAGGTAACACACACACACAGTCTGTTTTAGTGATATAATTATCTAATGTTTGGTCTTGTTAGGTGGTTGGAGAAAGATGGGAGCTAAGACCCTCCTCCTTTCACAATCCACTACAGAACCAGGAAGGGACTGCAGCTCCTCAACAGAACTGTTGTCAAGACTACCGTCTGTGCAAAACACTCTTCAGCTCTTCCAGTGAAAGCATCTCACAGTTTGCCTTAATATACTCAAGTCTTCTGCAGTGAATGTATATTTTGTCGGGAAAACAGACTTTGGATCTCAGAACTGCTATAACCATGAAGGAAGTGTGTGAAATGATAGTTTGTGTGATAACAACCCAGATCATGCTGTTAGAGAAATGTACTCCGATTACTCATCTAATCAGCGATTGTGATTCACTCTTTAGTCTTGATAGTGACGTAATGTGCAGTTAGTTACATTTAGCATCTCTTACCGTAGTTTCATAAACCAATAGAAAATGAGTTATGTCATGCTGTGTGACAATGTGAACTTGGACACTTGAATAAGGTTTTTGTTTTATCATTTGAAATTCAACCCTGCATAGTCAAAACTTTTGTAACTTGTTGGTAAAAGTGGCCTCTGTGCATCCTTGGTGTACCAGGCAGACCCACTACTGTAAATGTTTCAGATACAAATGTTTTTTTTATATAGCAGACTCAAATGGAAATGATGGTTATTGAGAACATTTAGCATGTGGATAGGTTTGATTTTATGCAATGGACACTTCTTCTATTATTTAGATTGTTACAATGGATGTGTTGCTTACTGAACTGTTAAATAATCTGATTTTATTGAGGAAATGTAGGACAGAAGGATGACAAAATAAATCATTTTAATACCATAGACAAGTTTGTTTTTGGTATTGTGAAGGCTGTAGTTATTCTGTCCTTTGGGATGTCTGGTATTTGTAGTCCTTTGTGGGTCAGGACCAAAATGACAATTGGGTAAAGGATGATCTTGTCCTGGTCAACCCACTTCAGACACTGTCTCCCTCTGTCCTATCATAGCGACCACAATTACACAGATGGAAAAAGTTGGTCTCCGTTCAGGTGTACAAGTCACACATGGGTCAGGGAGATGGGTACTGGGTTTGAGTTGTCATAGTAATGCAGGGCTCGGATTCAGATGATCTTGACCACAGGGAAGTACTTGTGAGCGGAGAAATCAAACTCCGGTAGTACCTAGAGATGGGGAGTACCATTGAATCACAATAATGCCCCAGAAATGTTTCAATTTCCAAATATTTTGTGGCATGTTTTGCTCCTGGCATTATGTTGTTACCTTTGTTTCCTTCTTGTGCCCGCCGGCAAGTAGCTTCATGACCACAATGTTGGGCTTGGCCACTTTTAGGATGCGATTCACCTGCAACAACCAGCAATGGAAATTAAAAAACGAAAACGTAGACCCACAAACTTAAGGCACAACCTCTGTTACTATTAGGGGTTAAAGGGCTTGCTGACCTCTGGGTCAGGGCTGGGGACGTTCTCCAGGATCAGTTTGGCCTGCTGGAAGTGTTTACTGGCCGCCATGTAGAGGTCAGCTGACTGGGGAGGAGGACTGTACTTCTTCAGATCAGACATCTCCTACAGCCGACATAAATCGAGAGGCACAGGTGACGTTAAAGGTAGTCTTTATTTCCGCTATAACATGTAGATTCTGTGCAGCATGTCTGCAATTTAAGTCAACCTGGAATGCACCACAGACGCATGCACACAATCATAGCTAGCGACGGTTGGTAACACTACTGTACCTTGAACTGGATGTAATGGACTGGCGGGGGAGTGACCACGCTGTTGAAGGGGGCAAAGCGATGCTCGTAGCGCACCTGCTCGCTGTCCAACTCAAACAGGGGCTTCCGTACCTTCCCGTCCATATCCAGAGCTATCATAGTCTGCACCAGAGACAGGAGTTCAGTGTTTCTGTAGTACACGTAACATGTTTAGGACAAGTCTGTGTACACTTACCTTGTACATGCCAGCACACATGTTTTGGTAGGCTTGGCTCATGGTGATTTCTCTGCTGAGGGGGCGAGCTGCAGGTGAAAACACATTCTTATTGAGGAGCGAGTTATGGATGGGGCGGCAGTGTAGTACCAGATGGATTAAATTCAATGTAAATAATGTATGATTTGATCCTGACCTCCTTGACCTTTCTTCTTCTTCTTGGTTTTCTTGCTGCTGCGTCCTTTCTGCTGCTCCTCCAGGAGGCGCTCCTCAGCCAACTGAGAGCTGTCCGCCCGACTCAGAGTGGACATGAGCCACGCATACAGGAACTCTGACAGATACCTACACACACACACACCTCAGTCAAGCATACCTCAATCAAGTGAACACCGAACATATTTTCTTACAGCACGCACACATCAGTCAAGTGTACACATGGAACACACTTTCTTACGGCACTTTGGAACACACTCCTCACCAGTAGATGTAGTAGTACTCGTGCATGCTGTAGAGTTCCAGCTCGAAGCCGCTGAGCAGGTACTGGATCATGATGCGCAGGTTGTGGTAGAGGATCCAGGTCCCCAGGCAGGCCAGGTGCTGTCTCTGGGGCTCCAGCTTCATCAGCAGGCTGTGCAGCGCCGCATCCACCTTCTCTGCCTGCAGGTGGCGCCCCCACACCGCATCAGTCAACCACAGGAGTTCAGCAACATACAGTCGAGCGCGTCCACACACACATAAGATCATTTACATCACTAAACAGCAATGCATTCTCACTCACCTCATCCTGCAGTGTGGCAAACTCCTCCAGGATGTGGCCTAGTTTGTCTCTCTGCCGAGCGCGGTTGTGTCCGTGGATCTGGATGAGACTGCAAAAGGGCTGCAGGGAAACCGACCAGGGTTGTTTTAGTCCATTGTTTGAAAACAATATATATATATTTTTTTAAACAGCTTCAAATTATGTTTACAACTATCATGTTGATCTCAAGGACGGTCAGAGCCACAGCTTAATGTATGCATTTGAGTGGTTAAATGTACCTCAGCTTTATAGCTAACCAAGTGGAGGGGGTGCCATTTGGGCTGGACAAAAACGAATGAAGGATTGTGGCATTAATATAGAGAAGGTGTATTGGAACACAGCCAGGTGACTTACCCTCGAGCAGTGTGCGACAAAGGAGTCAATGTAGTCCTTGGCCTGGTGGTTATTATACAGGCAGCACCTGCAGAGGCACCGCAGGGAACAGTCAGTTCAAAAGACTGAGATAGAGCTTGAACTCTAATACCTCAGAAATGCATCCTTCCTTATTTCCTTGAGGTATTTGATAGGTGAAAGCAAGATTGCCACCATATTACAAATACCACTCAAACCAATTCAGATCTCTAATGACTTCTAGGAAGGAAGGATGCATTTCTAAAGCATTTGAAGGTAGGGCCATAGAAAGAAGCACTCCAATCTTCAATGACTTACTTGGAGGAGAGCACTGGTGGGCTGACGAAGTACCTCAGAGCATCTTTGATCATGTCCTGCATTGGTTGGGTCCCAAACACTTTCTTATTATCGATCAGGAACGTTGTCTAGAGACAGGGAGGGGATTCATCAGAACTGGACCAGAGAATTGTACAGATGCACCAATCATGAGGGAGAATGTTCCTTACCTGCAGCAGAGACCTGGAGAGGACGCAGGGGGACTGCTCACTGAACTCACAGAAAAAGTCCTGAAAGCAGAACATTAAAACGACATTACTACAACCTTTAACAAATGTTCGAACAACAGGTAGACCATTACAGAAGTATTGTCAGAATGTAATATTACAGTAATGTTGAAGTACAATAGTATTGTCAAAATTATTGTAGTATTTACAGATATACAGTGAGGGAAAAAACTATTTGATCCCCTGCTGATTTTGTACATTTGCCCACTGACAAAGAAATGATCAGTCTATAATTTTAATGGTAGGTTTATTTGAACAGTGAGAGACAGAATAACAACAACAAAATCCAGAAAAACACATGTCGAAAATGATATAAATTGATTTGCATTTTAATGAGGGAAATAAGTATTTGACCCCCTCTCAATCAGAAAGATTTCTGGCTACCAGGTGTCTTTTATACAGGTAACGAGCTGAGATTAGGAGCACACTCTTAAAGGGAGTGCTCCTAATCTCAGCTTGTTACCTGTATAAAAGACACCTGTCCACAGAAGCAATCAATCAATCAGATTCCAAACTCTCCACCATGGCCAAGACCAAAGAGCTCTCCAAGGATGTCAGGGACAAGATTGTAGACCTACACAAGGCTGGAATGGGCTACAAGACCATCGCCAAGCAGCTTGGTGAGAAGGTGACAACAGTTGGTGCGATTATTCGCAAATGGAAGAAACACAAAATAACTGTCAATCTCCCTCTGCCTGGGGCTCCATGCAAGATCTCACCTCGTGGAGTTGCAATGATCATGAGAACGGTGAGGAATCAGCCCAGAACTACATGAGAGGATCTTGTTAATGATCTCAAGGCAGCTGGGACCATAGTCACCAAGAAAACAATTGGTAACACACTACGCCGTGAAGGACTGAAATCCTGCAGCGCCCGCAAGGTCCCCCTGCTCAAGAAAGCTAAGGGGACAGAACAACTTCACCGCATAAAAGGGACGATGGACGGGGCCATGTACCGTCAAATCTTGGGTGAGAACCTCCTTCCCTCAGCGAGGGCATTGAAAATGGTTCGTGGATGGGTATTCCAGCATGACAATGACCCAAAACACACGGCCAAGGCAACAAAGGAGTGGCTTGAGAAGAAGCACATTAAGGTCATGGAGTGGCCTAGCCAGTCTCCAGACCTTAATCCCATTGTGGAGGGAGCTGAAGGTTCGAGTTGCCAAATGTCAGCCTCGAAACCTTAATGACTTGGAGAAGATCTGCAAAGAGGAGTGGGACAAAATCCCTCCTGAGATGTGTGCAAACCTGGTGGCCAACTACAAGAAACATCTGACCTCTGTGATTGCCAACAAGGGTTTTGCCACCAAGTAGTAAGTCATGTTTTGCAGAGGGGTCAAATACTTATTTCCCTCATTAAAATGCAAATCAATTTATAACATTTTTGACATGCGTTTTTCTGGATTTTTTTGTTGTTATTCTGTCTCTCACTGTTCAAATAAATCTACCATTAAAATTATAGACTGATCATGTCTTTGTCAGTGGGCAAACGTACAAAATCAGCAGGGGATCAAATACTTTTTCCCCCTCACTGTCGTTCAGCAAATGATTGGCCCGTACCAGAATTCCATGTAGGTTAGTTGTATTGATGACCTCGCACACGGTCTTAATGCGGTCGATGAGCTTGCTGAAGTAGTTGACCATCTCCTCCCTCTTGATGATCTTGGCGTAGCGGGGGAAGGTGGGGGGCAGCAGTCTCTGGTTCACCAGCGGTTCAAACCCCATCATGATCGGGTGATCTGGAACGCAGGGGCGAGGTCAGGGTTCAGAACTGTGAGTGGTTCACTTGCAGTCCAAGTTTTTCTACGTGAGTGAAGCATTCCCTCTTATGGTAGTGAGTGAGAAATTGGGCCTAGGTGCCATGGTGGAGTGTGTTTGTGGGTGTTACCTCCTTTAGTAGTATCGTTCTGGGACTGAATGCCATGTTCGATGCTGGAGCGGAGAGCTGGGAGGAGATCTGCCGCCTGCTGCATGAGTTTCTGAGCTTCACTCACTGAGCTGGTCTGACAGAGCCAACATGACATCACACGCTCAATCAAATAAATCAACCATTTATTCATTTTTTTGTAAAGCTAAGCTAAAAGTGTGTGGTGTGCTTCTACATCGGCACCGCTTCTGCATTGCTTGCAGTTTGGGGTTTTAGGCTGGGTTTCTGTATAAGCACTTTGACATCTGTTGACGTAAAAAGGGCTTTATAAATACATTTGATTTGAGTTACCTCTTTTTTCGTGAAGGCGATCAGTGCTGTCAGTAGAAGGCGTGTGAACTTGATCCGACTGAAAAGTGCCAAACACTGCTGATGCTGAGAAAGGAGGCAAGGAAACAGGTTAACACAGTCACGCACAGTGTCTCTCACACACACACTTGCAAACACACACTATACAGTGTGCAAAACATTAGGAACACCTGCTCTTTCCATGACATAGACTGACCAGGTGAATCCAGGTGAAAGCAATGATCCCTTATTGATGTCACCTGTTAAATCCACTTCAATCAGTGTAGATGAAGGGGAGGAGACAAGTTAAAGAAGGATTTTTAAGCCTTCAGACAATTGAGACATGGATTGCGTATGTGTGCCATTCAGAGGGTGAATGGGCGAGAAAAAATATTTAAGTGCCTTTGAACAGGTTATGGTAGTAGGTGCCAGGCGCACCGGTTTGAGTTTATCACAAACTACAACGCTGCTAGGTTTCCCGTGTGTATCAAGAATTGTCCACCACCCACAGGACATCCAGCCAACTTGACAACTGTGGGAAGCATTGATGTCAACAGGGCCAGCATCCCTGTGGAACGCTTTCGGCACCTTGTAGAGTCCATGCCCGGACTAATTGTTAATAATATTAGGAAGGTGTTCCTAATGTTTTGTACACTCAGTATTTTGTAGGCACTAGGGACACACAGATTTAGCCCTGTCGTAAAATGTTCATTCCGACCACCCAGAGACCTCTCCATTTTGGGGGATTTGTTATTTTTTTAACAGTTGCAAATTCCAGGCTTGTCTCACTGAAAGGCTGCCTCACTCCCACACTCTGGTGGACTGGGCAGGGCAGAAGGCAGAGGTAATAGATTTTGCTAATCCCAAATTGACCCCTACACTACAGCCTATGCACCCTGATAGAATTGGATGTAGAGATAAGGTTATAAGTTGTCCTCTGATAGAATAGGTGGGATTTTCACCATATTACGAACACCTATCAAATCCTCTTAGATCTCCACAAGAGCATAGGGCATAAGGTTTAGGGGTCGATTTGAGATTGGGCCATAGATGCGGTAAAGAGGTCAATGGAATGCAAACCGTGGGGGATAGAAGGAGGATGCCGGATTGGCAAACATTCAACAAATCTAACAAAGTGGATAGATATTTGTCAAATCCGTCATTATTGATGTATTGCAATAGACCCACAATGTGGTTACTAAAGTCCTATTTGGCTGTTTTCGCTGCATAACATTTAGAAGTAGTTCCTTTTCAGGTTTAGAAGAAGTGACAGCTAAATGCGAAGTCCTGTTCGTATAAGCTGGTAGCATAGCTAACATACAGAAATCGGTGGTGGTAGTCAAAGTAGTTTTTAACTGCAATGCAGTTGATTGGTGTCGATGACATGAACATGTATTGGGGTTGACATCCATATAAGCATTATACTCAGATTTTTACCTCAACATAGTGTGAAATACACATATAAACAAGCCTAAATGTAGGCCCATTTTGCTGGGGGGGCAATGAGGAGATTCGGGATCTTTCCCCCATGCATTTTCATGGCATTTCCATTGTTTGGGTTGAGTTCCATTGACCTCTTCCATTGACTGGTTGGTATACTCATAGGGACAGAGTGACTGATAGTCTTACCTCCAACTCCACCTCTGGGTCCCGCTGCTCACCCTGGCGACTGCGTGTGCTCTACAGGAGATGAAGGGGAGAGAAAAAAAGAGGGTAATGACAGAGGGAAAAGAGAGAGAGGAAGAGGAGACAACGTATGACGGACGAGCTGTGGAGTTATGTAGGTGGTACAAAGAGTTGTATACAATAGCGGCCATCTCAGATAAGTAAGTATAAGAGACATTAATTCGTCACTCTGCCAGAGTCTAGTCGTGTTCAGTTGTTAGATGTATTCTCACCGGTTGTGAGGAGTTAAGAATTTAGACCTTGATATGAGGGAGAGTTCAGGTGTTAGTGGATGGTGAAGACAGTAGTATGCATGTACCTTAACTCTCCTCTGTAACTCTTCCTCCACATCCTTTAGCATACCTGTTGGTGCCATTGACATATATAAAGTTAACTTGGCACACACACAGCACTACATTATTATTTTATACCTGCAATGCCAAACATGGAACACAACACCGACTTAAGCCATCACATGAACATCACCTGTAACCCGCAGGTCTGTCACATTGTTGGCCATCTTGAAGCCGTACGTCATGGCCTGGAAATCTTCCTAGAGACAGGACATAGAACAGGATCTTAAATATTACTCCTTGAACTAAACTATGTGTTGTTTCAGATCAGAAGACCTAGGAGGAACAGTGGGACATACAGTGCATTCGCAAAGTATTCAGACCCCTTGATTTTTTCAACATTTTGTTACGTTACAGCCTTATTCTAAAATTGATTAAATAAAAATACCCCATAATGACAAAGAGAAAGGTTATTAGATATTTTTGCAAAAAATAAATAAATAAATACATAAATACCTTATTTACATAAGTATTCAGACCCTTTGCTATGAGACTCGAAATTGAGCTCTGGTGCATCCTGTTTCCATTGACCATCCTTGAGATGTTTCTACAACTTGATTGGAGTCCACCTGTGGTAAATTCAACTGATTGGACATGATTTGGAAAGGCACACACCTGTCTATATAAGGTCCCACACTTGACAGTGCATGTCAGAGCAAAAACCAAGCCATGAGGTCGAAGGAAATGTCCGTAGAGGTCAGAGACAGGATTGTGTCGAGGCACAGATCTGGGGAAGGGTACCAAAACATTTCTTCAGCATTGAAGGTCCCCAAGAACACAGTAGCCGCCATCATTCTTAAAAGGAAGAAGTTTGGAACCTTCAAGATTCTTCCTAGCGCTGGCCACCCGGACAAACTGAGCAATCGGGGGAGAAGGGCCTTGGTTAGGGAGGTGACCAAGAACCCAATGGTCACTCTGACAGAGCTCCAGAGTTCCTCTGTGGAGATGGGAGAACCTTCCAGAAGCACAACCATCTCTGCAGCACTCCACCAATCAGGCCTTTATGGTAGAGTGGCCAGACGGAAGCCACTCCTCAGTAAAAGGCACATGACAGCCCGCTTGGAGTTTGCCAAAAGGCACCTAAAGGATTCAGACCATAAGAAACAAGATGCTCTAGTCTGATGAAACCAAGTTTGAACTTTTTGACCTGAATGCCAAGCGTCACGTCTGGAGGAAACCTGGCACCATCCCTACAGTGAAGCATGGTGGTGGCAGTATCATGCTGTGGGCATGTTTTTCAGTGGCAGGGACTGGTAGACTAGTCAGGATCGAGGGAAAGATGAACGGAGCAGAGTACAGAGATCCTTGATGACAACCTGGGGCGAAGGTTCAGACTGGAGCGAAGGTTCACCTTCCAATAGGACAAGGCCCTAAGCACACAGCCAAGACAACGCAGGAGTGGCTTCGGGATAAGTCGCTGCCAAAGGTGCTTCAACAAAGTACTAGTAAAGGGTCTGAATACGTATGTAAATGTTATGTGTTTTGTTTTGCTAACATTTCTAAAAACGTGTTTTTGCGTTGTCATTATGGGGTATTGTGTGTAGATTGATGAGGGGAAAAAACAATTTAATCTATTTTAGAATAAGACTGTAACGTAACAAAATGTGGAAAAAGTCAAGGGGTCAGAATACTTTGCGAATGCACTGTAGGTTGACTGTGTCCCATAGACGGGACTATAGGAGGTATAGAGACAGTGTGTGTTACCCTGGTCCCAGATCTGTTGGTAGTGTCTTGCCAATTTCTTTGGCGTGACAGTGTGTGTGTGTGTGTGTGTGAGAGAGTGTGAATGTGTTCAGTGCAAAAGCCCAAAGAGACCAAATGGCTTACCTCCTCGAACACGGCGGCTTTGTTGACCTTCTCGCGGGCGATGTCGCATACCTTGAGGATGCCCAGAGTGAAGGCCTTGAGGGCGGGGTCCTCGATCAGGTCGGGGTTGTGGACGTACAGGCAGGTGAACACTGTCTGGGCTAGGGAGTGGCCCTCCAGCCAGGTGATCTACACATACACACAACTTAAACATACTTATTATGCATAGTTGGTTGATACAGTTTGGTATTGATAAGGCAATACAACTGACCAAGCAGCAGAAACAGGTGTCCATGATCCCAATCAGCTCAGGAAAACTGAGGTCCCTTACTCTGATGGCACCATCCTAGAGAGAGCAAGACAGGAGAGAGACAAAAAAAGAGAAGAGAGAGCGAGCGACAGCGAGGGAAAGAAGGATATGAAAGCGAGGGGAGAGGAGGGGGAGAGTCTTTATGGACTATAATGCACCTACCTAAAGGTTAAACATAAGACCAACATTTTCATTTCACAGTCTGAATCTCCAGGAATCAGAGCCATACCTTGACTGCCTGTTCAAAGTTGAGGACTTTCCTGTTGACCTGGTTGCCAATCATCCCTGCGTCCATCTTGGGGTCCATCATCTCAATGGCAGACATAGCCTCGAACAGGCCAAACCTGCTGAAGACGGTGCCATTAGAAAGACCTAAAGCTGTGTGTGTGTGTTGTCTAGTGATAGATACCCAGTATGCATGTATGACGCAGACTGCAAGCACTTCAGTATTTCACTAAAACAACACATTTCAACTAATGGTCCATAGAACAAACAGTGTGTGAAACAAACAGAAACACTCATACTCACAACTTGTCATGGAGCAACTCCCCAAGGTTGAGCTCTGTAAATACAACACATGAGAAAACAAATGCAAAAGTACTCAGTCATCTGAACTATAGTGATAAAAGCCAGAGCAGTATATTTGTGTTACAGTAGTACAGTGTATAACACCCGTATGTATGAAGAGGTACACAGGAACTCATCCTCAAACAGGAGTTTGACTAAGGTGTGAATCCTAAGTTCCACTTAAGTTTAATTTTTACTTAGTCATGTGTTGATGTCAATGGGGTTCAGGTTGCATTTCAGACTGGTGGCGCCAAATTCCCACAGAGCTGAAAACACTGGGTCTACATTAGGAATGACTTTACTGTATTGGGCTTTCTTTTACTGGTTGTGCAGATTTACACTAATCTTTTGATGAGAAACCTCATTTACCAGGGAAGGCATTTCAGAACTGGTCAGCAAACAAATGAGAGGAGCAAGTATAAAAAAACCCTGAGACACAACTCACATCATCAGCACATCCTGAAAAACTGTTAACACATGTAAGAGAACACACAGACAGACACACACAGTTTTTACCTTTGCATGCCCCTTTAAATTCATGTGTAATGTCCACCCAGTTTGCATTGTTCCTCATCTTCTCTGGGACGCCCAGTCCCCATCCCCCATCGTCATCCTCTACTGATGACTTCATCACCATGGTTAATGCTGAAAGTAAAACCAGTAGATACATGACACACTTCTCTTCTGACTTCAGTGTGGATGTTCAATAAGGCATAACGTAAGCATAGCCCTTATTCCTGTGTCAAAGCAAATATGAATGCAACTATGAATGTATGACAGAGCTATATTTTGGATTGAGGCAGTCTATTTGAGACTTCCTTGATTCCAACTAATAGTACTCATAATTGAAGAGTAGCATGGTGTGAAAGAAATAGAACACTTAGTGTGTCACCCAATAGATTAAGATCAGACTCCTTTGAGGGATGAACATGCTGACGTGTAGAGCGACTAAGGAATTTGAGTTAATTCGTAAAATGGCCAGAAAACAGCTAGAATCCTTAACTGAAAAAATAACAAAGCGACCTCCCCGGTTTCGCAAAATCTAAGGGATGGGGGCTGGAGAAATGTAACCACTCTCAAATTCATAGAGCTATGGATTGAAGGACTGACCATCCATGATATAAAATGTATAATTGTACCCATGTGTTGAGGCTATACAGTGTTCGTTTACATTTACGTTATTTACAAACATCATTGGAGTAAAACAAGTTTATATTCTGGGTTCTGATGGGGTACAGCAGTTGAACTCTGTCACCGAGGGAGGATCCAAGGGGAACTCAGCAGGCTATCCTTTGTGCCAGTCTGAGCTGACTGTGAGGTCTGTGAAGGATTCATTCAATACGATAACTAGCTAACCGCCATTTGTAATGAGGCACTGAGTCTGCTGTCATTTCACTAGCTAGCCAGTGTTAATAGCTAGTTATGTTAAATATCTTTGCTAAGGTTCTTTGCTAGCTGGAGCATAATAAACCAGACGAGCTAGCTAATATTGACGATACTGTAGTTAGCTAGTTTGGTCTCTGCATCAACACAAATGTTGAATCATACATATCACACAACTGAAATATAATATACATTACGCAATTGCATAAAACATTTGGCATATTTGAGCGACATTTGGAGAGATCTTTGCGTTGTAAAATCACATAGCTACATACCTTGCTAACTGCTAGCGCTGGTAGATAGACGTCCGAGCCTGGGAAAAAGCGCAAATATGACGGTATTACATTGCACCTTGGGACATGCAGTCCCACAGAATAGCTAGCTATCGCAATAGCCAGCAGATCCGAACCCCCTTGCTTACAGCTGCACCAGGGTCAGACAGCATTCCTGTATATATTAAAGCTGCAACATGTAACTTTTGTGGTGACCCTACCAAATTCACATAGAAATGTGATATAACTAGCACAATTACAAACTGCCGTTAGCGCAATGACTGGAAGTCTATGGGTACCAGATACCCATAGACTTTGGGTACCAGATACCCATAGACTTCCAGTCATTGCGCTAACCCTAGTTAGCATTGGCTTGCAAAACTACCTCTAACATCCTTCATACTGGACACAGACATACAAATGGTATCCCCTAGTTCATCTGACTCTGGGGAAGTAGATAAATGGCATCATTGCCTAGTTTTTGCTTCTTATATTTTCGGTTTTGTACACCAGCTTCAAACAGCTGAAAATACAATATTTTTGGTTATTGAAAATATATTTCACAGCGATTTGTCACAAACTGAAATTAGGCAAACTATTAGAATTTTCGCAAACCAGGAAATGGCGGAGCGATTTTCGCATATTGCACCTTTAAGACACCCAGGAGCCGCTGCAAGATATGGCTCAAAAAACGTACCTACATTTACATTTTAGTCATTTAGCAGACGCTCTTATCCAGAGCGACTTACAGTTAGTGAATACATTTTTTTTATTTTTTTTATACTGGCCCCCCGTGGGAATCTAACCCACAACCCTGGCGTTGCAAACGCCATGCTCTATCAACTGAGCTACATCCCTGCCGGCCATTCCCTCCCCTACCCTGGACGACGCTGGGCCAATTGTGCGCCGCCCATGAGTCTCCCGGTCGCGGCCGGCGGCGACAGAGCCTGGATTCGAACCAGGATCTCTAGTGGCACAGTTAGCACTGCGATGCAGTGCCTTAGACCACTGCGCCACTCAGGAGTACCTCAGTCCAGGGAAGAGGGAAATGCGTTGTACTCCGAATTGTCCCATTATCCCAACTGTTACACCAAGAAGATTGAACAACTGCTAATTTTCTTGCAGTCCTTCAATCTTCTCAGTGTAACAGTTGGGATAATGGGACAATTCGGAGTACATTGCATTACTCATCCCTGGATTGAGGTAGGTTTTCAGCGCCATTTTGGCTCCACAGTATACACAGGAATGCTGTCCGACCTTAGTACAGCTGTAAGCAATCGGGTCGGATATGCTTGGAGGTTCTCTTTGGGTGCTGATTTCAGGCCAGTGTGGGGGTTTTGCCCCCTATTTTGTTAATGGTGTATGTGATGTTTGATCCGCGTTTATGACCAGCATTCATTTGTACCGCGTTCACATGCTAGTCGGAATTAGGAAACTCTGAAATTTCCGACTTGCTAACTGGATGTAGTTATACAAGTCCCGCGTTCAACGAACCAGCAAGTCGGAAATGTCCGAGTTTATTCGTTCTAACTAGCATTTGAACGCAGCATCAGAGCTGCTCCTAGTCATAATTTGCGTCCGGTATAAAAACACATTCGCATTCTCGCGTTGTTCACACCTCCTGGCAGTTCTTTTTGACATTGAGGTAGTTCTATTAATGCCCCGGGTGAAGCGGGTTAGCGTTGATTGCATTCGTTTTGGAACCGGGCTGCCTGCCGGGTTTCAGCCAGGTGACCTGTTATGGCCGACGGCGAAGTCGGATCAAAACAAAAGAGATGTAGGTTAAGCACGTGGATGAGTACCATCAAAGACTGTGTATTATATTGACAAGATAGTCAAGTGACCGCTCTAACGATGGAAATACATGTCCTCAATTATGGAAGGCAGGCGGGAGGAGGCGAGATCAGGTGGGACCATTTTAACCAATGAGAGGGCAGATATGTGTGTGAACAACAGGCCATAGAGATAGATAGCTATGATATTGAGGCTATGCGTCTGTGACAGCATGGGCAGTGCCATTTAGTCTATCTCCATTTTAAAGTAGTCAATTTTCTTCTTCATTGGCTAATAAACATATAGAAATCCCCACCCATAGGAATCAACTCATAGGAATCCCCACCCAGTTGACTACTTTAAAATGGTGGAAGTCCTCATTGGCAATGTCAATGCTAAAACGGGTTATATCCATGATGAGTCCTCTATCTCTATGACAACAGGCACAACTTGATATAAAGTAGTTTTTTTCGAAGTTGCCGAAATGCCATGTGCGTCCACTTATCAGTGCATTTGTAACAATTCGAAACTTATATTCGATCAAATAAGCCTAATGTAACAAATTAGCAATTCAATTTGTTGTTGACCAAATTCGACACTTTAATTGAACTCCATACAAAAAATCCTCACTTCGTGGGTTTATTTTCGTGGACAGATTTTGGGCAGAGTAAAACTTCTCGCTTTGCCTCTTCCTCTCTGGTAGGATTCTGTGTTTTCACACCGGACGGTGATAGAAAGTCTATTTGCCTTCCCAATTAAAACTACTTTGAAAATTCGAACATATATTTTATGGAAAAGAGATGTTGTATGTTTCTGAAAAATGCATCATGCTGCCTTGTTGACAACATGACCGAGCGGTGCAGATTACTGTTCGATTATCGCTTTTTCCCGTTCACGTCAAGGGCCGATAGCCCTAATTTCTACAGCCCAAATCAAGGGCCGAACCCTAATTTCTCCGACCGAGTAGGGGGTTGGTATAACATCAGGCTACACAAATCTCTATGAATTGACTCGCCCTAATGGGACAACAATTCCTTTCAATATAGGTTCGTAAAAAGTATTTTGCATAGCTAAGAACATGTCATTGTTTACAAATTGATGTCTAGCTAGCTAGCCAGCCAAATTAGCAGGAACGCTAATTTATCTAGCTACGTTAACGTTAGTTAGCAAACTGAATGGACACTGACTGATCAGGTGCAGTGTGGGCTGTGAAGTCCTTAGCTAGCCAGACAGTTATCTCGTAAACCAGTCGGTCACTGCTAGTTAGCTGTCTAGCTGGTTTCGCCGTTGTGTTAACTCTAGTGTTGTTGTTGTCAATGAAGATCTACAACAAATTTGGCAGATAGGCAGCCTGGCCAGATGACGTTGTTCAGCTTGATTAGGCCCTTCTAGCTACATCAATTGGGCCAAGCTAGCTAGCTAGATAGCTGGGCTAACAACAACAGGCATGCACTGCATCGGCTGTACATGTAGGCCCACTAGTTACATCCTTGTTGGAATAAAATGATGGCCTCCAATTTCATATCCAGGAATAGTGCATGTGATAGGCTACACACTTGAAAAAATAATCAATTACATAATGAATGGTAATAACTCATTAATGACCCCGGTCAAATACTGCTTCTCTCTTTACTAGTGATTTGCTCCTATTGCTCCCGAGTGGCGCAGTGGTCTAAGGCAGTGCTAGCTGTGCCACTAGAGATCCTGGTTCGAATCCAGGCTCTGTCGTAGCCGTCCGCGACCGGGAGACCCATGGGGCGGCGCACAATTGGGAATGGCCGGCAGGGTTGTACCTCAGTTGGTAGAGCATGGCGTGGGTTCGATTCCTACGGGGAGCCAGTATAAAAAAAATAATGTATGCACTTAACTGTAAGTCGCTCTGGATAAGAGCGTCTGCTAAAATGTAATGTCATGATTTTGCTCTGATTACCTTAAGTGTCTTAATCACATAGTCATGGCTCTTTTGTTTCCTGACACTGGAGCCATTTAACTTTTGTTTTAACAAAACATTTAAAAAAAAAATCTTATCCAGAGCGATTTACAGGAGCAATCAGGGTTAAGTGCCTTGCTCAAGGGCACATCGACAGATTTTTCACCTAGTCGACTCAGGGATTAGAACCAGCGACCTTTCGGTTACTGGCACAACGCTCTTAACCACTAAGCTACCTGCCGCCCAAATTGAGCTTGATAGAGCAAAACGTGCCCCTAGTTTGTACATTTACATTTTAGTCATTTAGCAGACGCTCTTATCCAGAGCGACTTACAGTTAGTGCATACATTTATTTTATTTTTATTTTATTCATACCACCCCCCCGTGGGAATCGAACCCACAACCCTGGCGTTGCAAGCACCATGCTCTACCAACTGAGCTACACGGGGCCCATATATACTGGTATGGGTTGTTCAGGGTTATCTCTCCATATTGCGGATCTCAGAACAGAGAGAGAGAGAATAGAAAAGATAGACTGGGATTTCCAGAGGTGAACACACAAGTCCGGATGACAACTGAATTGCATTTCTGATCCTTGCTTTTCTTTACTTGCAGTTGATGTGAAATGTTGACATGTGTGAGGAAAAAATGAATAAGCCCAAAATGACTACTGATAAAGGGTGAGTGACCACTGTCTTGGACACACACAAGTGCGCCAGGTTCTTTCTGTGTGTGTGTGAACACTGTTTCTGCCAGATTCTCTTAGTCTCTCTCACACACTGCCCCTTGCCCTCATATGCTACACTGTTGTTTGCTAAATGTCTTGTGACACTGTATGGTCTTAGGACAGCAACACCACAGACCATTAAACCTGCTAGGGCCTGTCATGATGCCATCTTGACCCTAGCTATTGTGTTGGGTTCCTCTGTCAAACATTCACTGTTTGGGGTCAATAACTTTTTGGGGCCTTGTAATGACTAGCCTATTGCCACTTTAGCCTTAGTCTGAAGCAAGCCTACTTTTGCTCCTCCACCTGTAATCATTAGCGTTTTTTTCCTATAGTAAGAAGGCCTAACATTTCAATGGCAAAGCTCAATTTATAGGCTACATTTTGATAAACGATGAACTCTGAAAACAGCCATAATGTTTGCCATCTTGTAAGGGCTTGGTAGAATGTTTGACTCTATCTTAGTGTGAATGTCTGCGCTCTTTAGCCTAACTAATGTGTCTGTGAATGTGTTAGTAGTGCATAAAGGCATATGTGTGTTAATGTGTCTGCGTTAGTGTATTTGTTTGGGCAGTATCTCACTCTGTCATCTCACTCTCACTGTATTTTAGTATGTGAGTTTGTTTGTCTCTCTTTTTTCTGTCTGTGTGTGTGTGTGTGTCTCTCTCTGTCTTTATAAGGGCATATGAGAGACATTGGGTCTATTTCTACATTTTGATTCTCTCTCCCATGGCTGTTGTCATGCCAATGTGACCTTTGACCTCACTGCCCAACATGAGCTTAATATAACCACAGAGCAGGGTCATGTTCATTAGGGCGTACTACGGAAAATATTTGCTTTATGAGAACATGGGCTGATCATGCCTGGGTATGTGTCAAGTATTAAACCTCTGTCTCTCTCTCCCAGCGTTCCCAGTAACTCCAGGGTGCTGATGTTGTTGGGCCAGCTGGAGAAGCTGAACGGGGAGTCCATGCTGGCGGACCCTGAGATCACCAGGCAGATCACTGCCAAGATCCTCCACCTCATCCAGACACAGGGTGAGAAGATTACTAGCCTATACAACCCCTTTCACACTCACTGAGCCTAGCTGAGCCTAGCTAGCCAGGTTACTCATTGACCATATAGTAGCTGAAACTATGCCGTAAAGGCTAATGGGAAAATATTATCCTATATTTGAGTCAGCAAACCGTAAAACTTCCATTAAACGCAGAGTCTCCAACAAGTGCCTGTCTCTTGTAATAGCTGGGTATAATTTAACATTTTAGCAAAGAAACGCCGGCCTCTAATAAACGCTTGGTCAAAAAAGTATAATTAAGCTGATCGCATTTTGCCAGTCTGCTCCGGTGGAATTTCTCACACTGAATGATTGCTTGCAATGCAGCCTGATAATAGCTGCACCCTATCATATCTGTATCACAGACATATCTGATCATATCTGTATCGCATGTCTTTGTGGAACCACTCAAGCAAGTCAAGTTGAGGCACTTGTGTTACAGATGTAGGATCTTAATTTGATCACCCTGTTGCAGTATAACTTTTTAAAGTTGTAATGTATTTGAGGCTTCTGAAGTTTGTAATTTTCACTTAGAAATGTCTGACTTGATTTTACCTTATGAAAAATGTATCAACCCCTACAAAAATGTCCATTAATTATATAATCCAAATAATAATTCACATTTCCTGTTGCTGCAAAAAAAGAGGACTGAGCACGCCCCCATTCTCATCGACGGGGCTGTAGTGGAACAGGTTGAGAGCTTCAAGTTCCTTGGTGTCCACATCACCAACGAACTATCATGGTCCAAACACACCAAGACAGTCGTGAAGAGGGCACGACAAAGCCTATTCCCCCTCAGGAGACTGAAAAGATTTGGCATGGGTCCTCAGATCCTCAAAAAATTATACAGCTGCACCATCGAGAGCATCCTGACTGGTTGCATCACCGCCTGGTATGGCAACTGCTTGGCCTCCGACCGCAAGGCACTACAGAGGGTAGTGCGTACGGCCCAGTACATCACTGGGGCCAAGCTTCCTGCCATCCAGGACCTCTATACCAGGCGGTGTCAGAGGAAGGCCCTCAAAATTGTCAAAGACTCCAGCCACCCTAGTCATAGACTGTTCTCTCTGCTACCGCACGGCAAGCGGTACCGGAGTGCCAAGTCTAGGTCCAAAAGACTTGTCAACAGCTTCTACCCCCAAGCCATAAGACTCCTGAACAGCTAATCATGGCTACCCGGACTATTTGCACTGCCCCCCCACCCCATCCTTTTTACGCTGCTGCTACTCTGTTAATTATTTATGCATAGTCACTTTAACTCTACCCACATGTACATATTACCTCAACTACCTCAACTAGCCGGTGCCCCCGCACATTGACTCTGCAACGGTACCCCCCTGTATATATAGCCTCCCTACTGTTATTTTATTTTACTTCTGCTCTTTTTTTTCTCAACACTTTTTTTGTTGTTGTTTTATTTTACTTTTGTTGTCAAAAAATGCACTGTTGGTTAAGGGCTGTAAGTAAGCATTTCACTGTAATGTCTGCACCTGTTGTATTCGGCGCATGTGACCAATAAAATTTGATTTGATTTGCAGGATTATTTTCCTGCTCTAGCAAACTGGCTCAAATTAAGATCCTACATCTGTACCTTCTTTGTGGCTGCATTTCACTTGCACCAAACCTCTACCTGTATCGCCAAATCCCCAACAATGGCTTATAACAACACTTCAACATTATTTGTGTTCTTCTCATGGCTGCACCTCCCTTAAGCTCAAACCCATTACAGTATTATGCATACATGACATTCACTCACTCACCCCTGTTAAGCCAGCTGGTGCAAATAGCATCAACAAAGATTGTCTTGGCCATCTTCTCCTCTGTACCTCAACTCTAGTGCTGATGTTGTTGTAGCTCATTCTCTATGGTTATCCACCATGTTGTCTTGGGCCTTCCTTCTGGAGTCCAGTGGATGGCTCAACTCTTGGAATTGGGTATGTGTTCTTCCTTGAACGTGTCCAAACCAGCACTATCTGTGTCTTTTGAGTATTGTGTCCACAGCTTTCTGCTTTGTTTGTCTGAGGAGGTTGGTGTTTGATATTGTGTTTGGCCAAAATATGACATTCATGATTCTTCGGAGAAGGTGGATATTTTTTTACAGTCATTTTCTTAGAAGAACCATAATAGGCCTGGTTTCGTGGTGGATGCTGTCAAAAGCCTACTGGAAGTCAATAAAGTTGATGTAGAACTGCCCACACTTACTGTCCTGTTATGTAGCCTATCTTTAGCGTGTCTGGGTAGATGAGGACAGTGGTCACGTGACAGCCTATAGGATGTGTGAATAGGTCAAAAGGTATTTGGGCGGCTAAGTAGATGTTTGGGGACAATAATTGGTATGTGTTTCAGTTGGCCAGGGGAGATTTACGAGGGTGAAAGGGGTGTTGGGGCGTTAGTGGGTAGATGTTTGGGGTGGTTGTCCTAGGATGGCATGTTGCATGTCTTTAGTAGTGGAAACATTTTAGCGGAGGGACGGTTAGCTCTGTAACTGGATCCCCCCCACCCTGACCCCCACCCAGTGAACACTCAGCTTTCTGCCCCATTGGGAGTGATACCTGACCCTCCCCCCGCTCCCTCCCCGACGTGAGTTCCTCTCAATCCTTCCTCCTTCCCACCCCCCTGCTGGCTTGTACGTCACAGAGAATCTGACATTTGATGAAAAGCTGTTTCAATCAGTTTATAATTACCCAGCCAGCACCCCTCAGTGAATCTTCCCAGACATACTGCACTGAGGAAGGCCATCGAGTGTACACACACACACACACACACACACACACACACACACAGTTCCTGGTTTGAGTGAATAACAAACATTTGCATGTCGATATACTGTATCTGCTTCACAAAAAAAATATCAAAAAGCCTTACATCTAATCTGGTGTATCACATCATTCTGAGTGAAGAGTGATGACTGCTGGGTCAACAGCTGATGGAGAAAGTGAGATCCCATCACATTAGTCAGCAATGTGATACTGTTTAGACAAAAAACACATTGGCCTTTTGCTATTGAGATAACTGGCATAGCTAGACATACAAATGTCAGAGACTCGCATGACACAGCTCTGTTGTAGACACTCACATGCATATATATACATCTGTTGCGATGACAAGGGTCAGTGGTGGACCAGTGGTGCTAGGTTTGTTGAGCTAGAGCAAAGTTGAAACTTTGAAAATGGAAAGGAGAGAACTGGACGTCAACATTGATTGAAGATCACTTCAAGATCAGCATTGACACATGGATTGGTTTGTCGTGCCAAGCTTCAGATTGCTGATCTGAGTTAGATGTAGAGCACAGAAGGTTGGTGGCACCTTAATTGGGGAGGACGGGCTCATGGTAACGGCTGGAGCGGAATTAGTGGAATAGAATCAAATACATCAAACACATGGTTTCCATGTGTTTGATGCCATTCCATTTGCTCCGTTCCAGCCATTATTATGAGCCGTCCTCCCCTCAGCAGCCTCCACTGATGTAGAGGTCACTTGGCTGGATCAAGTTCTTCATTCTAAGCTCATAGCCAGTTAGCAAAACGTGGCTTTCAGCCCTTTTGTATTACACCTTTTGTTTCAAATCTGCTTCTTTGAACATGGGCAGCACAGACTTTCCAATGTCTGATGTAGCCTGTAGAAGTCACGCTTCATCACTTTTGGATTCATTGAAGGTCATCACATTATCTATTTGGTTGTTGTTGTTCAAATAGGTTTTCAATCGAAAACATAGTCTTCTAGAGAGGGAATGCTGTCTCATTTCTAGCTGAAATCAGAGCAGCAGTGCATGTTGAAACGTGAGCGTGTCTCTCTCGGTGGGACGTCCCTCTTGCAGTGATAAATCTCTGTGGTCCTGACTTCTGCACGCACGACAGGCTACAGCTCTTCTTGGGCTCGGCCTCCGGCCACACCCTGACACAGCCAGCCCCACTTGGGAGACATCCAGACCTGTTTCACACAGTCATCATTAGGGCTTTGAATTGTCAGGGACCTCAGAATATTATATTATCGCGATAATTCGGTGCAGATACGATATGTATTGCGATTCTCACAATTCTATATGTATTGCGATTAGATTGTTCCCTCCCAATATATATATTTTTATGTAGAGCATAAAAATGTGGTCCTCTGTGGTCCTCTGTAGCTCAGCTGGTAGAGCATGGCACTTGTAACGCCAAGGTAGTGGGTTCGATCCCCGGGACCACCCATACACAAAAATGTATGCACGCATGACTGTAAGTCGCTTTGGATAAAAGCGTCTGCTAAATGGCATATTAGTATTATTATTATTTAGAAGGACTGAAGCTCAGTTCTGGTGACTTTTTAAAAGGACATTCTACTCCAAAATGAATAAAAATAAAATTATATAAAAAATATAATTTCCACCTACAGAAATGAACCCAATAATGAACCCAATAACATATTGGTACAATTATTTGTTTAAATTATTTTAACATATTGGACCATGCATATAATAACTAAAATTAAATAAATGTTTTATTGTCACATACACCTGATAGGTGCAGGTGTTGTACAGGGTCAGCCATAGTAGTACAGCACCTCTTGCGCAAATTATGGTTAAGTGCCTTGCTCAAGGGCACATCGACAGATTTTACAGCATGGCGGCTCGGGTATTTGAACCAGCAACCTTTCGCTATGCCACCTGCCACCCTATGATACCTGCCACCCTATGCATAGTGCCAACTAAAGTTTGGTGGAGGAGGAATAATGGTCTGGGGCTTTTTTCCTGGTTCGGGCTAGGCCCCTTAGTTCCAGTGAAGGGAAATCTTAATGCTACAGCATACAATGACATTCTAGACGATTCTGTGCTTCAAACTTTGTGGCAACAGTTTTGACTAGTTAACATCCTACTGATGAATTTTATTTCTCAAAAAGCGTTCATAAACACAGTGAATACACGCCCCCTGGGTAACACGCCCCCTGCCTGTACTCACAGAAACCTCATGTCACCATTTCTTCCCCCAACACTTTCCCTCATTGCCACTACTCTTGCTCAACTAAAAATGTAATCTGTCTCATCACAATTTAAGTCTATTTTGAGGTAGGGTGGCGTTTTTAACCCATGTAGTCCCCTGTAGCTCAGTTGGTAGAGCATGGCGCTTGCAACCCCAGGGTTGTGGGTTCGTTTCCCACGGGGGCCAGTATGAAAATGTATGCACTCACTAACTGGATAAGAGCGTCTGCTAAATGACTAAAATGTAAATGTTCGCGCATATTTAGGAGTTGAGAAATAAATCAAGTAGGAATGGAAAGCTGGGATCCCCCTCTTTTTAATAAAGGCCATTAAAACTGCTGTTTTCCCTGTGATTGCAAGAATTGTTGTGCGTTGACTGCACGTTTCCCTCCCTATGGTACTCGTAACTTGAATGCGCCTCGAGAGGAATATTTATCTCGCATAGAACACACAACAACAATCCGACTAGGTAAATACTGTAGATTTAAACTATTCTACTATGGGGTAGTCAGAATCTTCTATTCGTTACTCGTTTTGTTTGCTGACAAAGTCAATGTGGACTGTTCTAGCATAAATCTTTTTTAATGTTAAATAAACATATTTTATAGGCGTGGTGGCAACGATTCTGCCGTGGCGCAGCACCACAGATAAATGACTGCAGTGGAAACACTGGCAATTTCATACTACTCATTTTATTGCAATATGATGTTCCAAAGATATTGCTCTCTATATGTCTGCTGCAGAGAGATGCGAGAGCATGAGATTTTTTTATATTTTTTTTTATCAGTCATGGAAATAAGTGCTGAAAACATGTTGTCTCGCTATTTAAAAAGAAGATGAACAAGCTATAGGATGAAAAATAACTGAGTTTTTGCACAGGTACAGCCGACTAGCGCTAGCTAACGCTACCTATCAAAACAAATACAACATTTGGAGTCAAAGTATCGATGTAAATCGTCCAAAGGAATATTGTGGTATGTAACTATCGATCGGGAGGGAGGGGGGGTGGAGAGAGAGACAAAACGGCAACTGCCTCCTATCTTTCTATCCATGCCTGGGTATCATGTTCGCTGTCTGCATAGGAGGGCACCTTGCTGGAACACAGCCTGGTCTGCCTGTCCGTCGGTCCGTCTGTCTGGGCTTGAATGCTGAGTAGGTAGTGGAGGTTGGGTAGTGTAGTAGCCTTCTAGGTCTGGACTTTTAGAGTGCACGTGCAGTGGGAGGTACTAAGAGCTGTGTTCTATCCTGGTCTGGTCTGGTGGTTGGGCTTGGGGGCAGTTAGCTTCAGTGTACTCCAGGCTGTTTGGGGGGATCCTACCTCTGGGAAAGATGGAATATAGCTACACCGGGAGATCTAGCCGCTTGGTGGCCCCCGCGGAGCGCTCCACCTCCCCAGGTAAGGAATGGGACTGAGACTGGTGGACGAGGAAGAAAAGTACTACAGTTCTGCAGCACCATGCAACCCCTGTAGTGCAGAACACTGTTAGATCTACTACAGCTAGCTACTGCTTTGAGCAGTTTGTGCAGCTAGGCTACTGTTCAACGAAACAAAGGTTTCTATAGAATCTGCAAATCTTGTATTTGCACAAAATAAAATCACTACTCTGTTAATAAAAGAAAGTTGTGAAAAGTTTAACTGATTTCTGAAGCGTTTACGGTTCACCTTGCCAGCCAATAAGTCAGTGTAAAGCCCACTGTATTCTATTATCCAGTAGATTACTTCAATAACCAATAAAACCCTTGTATTGGTTATTTCTTGTGCAGATAACACAACATGAATACCATGATACTGGGTAGTTGGTGCCCATAATACAGTTCCTTACTAGCCTAATACAAGACTTACAGTGAAGCCATTGGAATGTCACACGGTCATCATCACATCAATAGTAACATTTGATTTGAACCATGAAGTTTATTTTACTTGATGCATTTTTTTTATAGGTATTTGCATTCTTATTTTGTTTTCAGGCTCAACTGTGAAGTATTGTTTTTGTTTTCGAAGAGCTTTAAAAAGTCTGGTATGACAAATGTTTTTAGAGGTCACTTTTTCGCACAGCCGCTGACTGTTGAAGCGTGTGTGCGCGGGGGCGTAGATGAGAGACTGGACCAGGTCTTGTGAAGATGAATTATGCACCAGGGCGTGTGCGCGTGTGTGTGTGCATCCATGAGCGGTGCATCTGTGTGGGTGTACGTCTGGTCTGTGTTTGAGCTTGTTGGCTGCCCCAGTGCTGAAACCTGATTTGTGACGTGTGCTTTATTTATGAGCCTATAAATCAGAGGGGGGATGTTTCACACTTTTCATCTCCATATTCCCATTCATCCTGGTGTTCATTAGGTCTGCTCCATCAAACATTTATTGGTCCAGGTGGTGTGGCTGGCATCAACACCAGCAAAATGACTCTATTTCACGGGATATGAGCTGCCCTGCGTGCTGTTGACTAAGCCCTATTTTGTTTGTGTTCCTGGTTATTTCTGTTGGTTTCTACGCCTGAAGGTATACATTTGGGCACACATGAGTTTTAGTTGTGGTTTTGAGTTTTTGCTCCGATGGTGTGTGTGTGTGTGTGTGTGTGTGTGTGAAGCCCCGTCATCACGGAAAGGTTGCTGGAGTTTCTTTTCCATCCGTGTGGTTAGTGTTTTAGAGAGAATCTATGGCAGGCAGGCAGAGGCATAGGTTTGACTTCAACATATCATTGGGGAAGAAAATGTTGCCTCTTTCTCTAATAATGGGGGGCAAATGTTCCCCATTGCCCTCACGTAAATTACACCCCTGGTGGCAGGCTAAGACAGACAGACAGACAGACAGACAGACAGACAGACAGACAGACAGACAGACAGACAGGACAGACAGACAGACAGACAGACAGACAGACAGACAGACAGACAGAGAGAGTCTTCTTTCTCAGAGAGAGGAGTATGTTCCACCCTTCTACTGCAACAGGAGATGGATTTGAGCATTTCTGTAAATGGAGAGCTGGAGGGCTCATGTTTTAGCACGTCTAATGTACTGTACATGTTATTTATAAGCCTATACAGTGCATTCGGAAAGTATTCAGACCCCTTGATGTTTTCCACATTTTGTTACGTTACAGCCTTATTCTAAAATGGATTAAATTAATATTTATCCTTATCAATCTACACACAATACCCCATAATGATAAAGTGAAAACAGGTTTTTAGAATCTTTTGCAAATTTATAAAAAAACAACAACAGATACCTTATTTACATAAGTATTCAGACCCTTTGCTATGAGACTCAATTGAGCTCAGGAGCATCCTGTTTCCATTACTCATCCTTGAGATGTTTCTACAACTTGATTGGAGTCCACCTGTGGTAAATTCAATTGATTGGACATGATTTGGAAAGGGACACACCTGTGTGTATATTTAAGGTCCCACAGTTGACAGCCAGAGCCCGGACTTGAACCCGATCGAATGTCTCTGGAGAGACCTGAAAATAGCTGTGCAGCGACGCTCCCCATCCAAACTCACGAGCTTGAAAGGACCTGCAGAGAAGAATGGGAGAAACTCCCCAAATACAGGTGTGCCAAGCTTGTAGCATCATACCCAAGAAACCTTGAGGCTGTAATCGCTGCCAAAGGTGCTTCAACAAAGTACTGAGTAAAGGGTCTGAATACTTATGTAAATGTGATATTTCTGTTTTTTTTGCACAAATTTCTAAAAACCTGTTTTTGCTTTGTCATTATGGGGTATTGTGTGTAGATTGATGAGGGATTTTTTTTTTAAAAAAAAAAAAATCAATTTTCAAATAAGGCTGTAACGTAACAAAATGTGGAAAAAGTCAAGGGGTCTGAATACTTTCCGAATGCGTTGTATGTTATTTTTATATTTGCTAATACAGTACTACTCATTTTCACATGAATTCTGCTATTTGATTAAGAAATGGCATGGTAAAAAGGCCAACATGATGATTATTTGTACTACAGTAGCCTATTTGTAAACACTAACATAGTGCAGGAAAACGTAACGTAACTAAGGTCCCTCTTTGTGTTACAGAGAAGACACGGAAGGACATCATGTCCAAGGGCTCCAGTGGCATGGAGGTCATCCTGGCAACTTTGGAGGTGAGTTCCCGTCCCATTCCACTATGGAGTTAAGTTAGTGCCAAAAATCGAACTCACATGTCAATAATTGAACTCCATATTCTGCTACTGTACGATACCACAACATAATAAGGAGAGGGCATAAGGAGACCAACACATTCATGACAGGGAATATCGTTGAGTACCCCTTTCACACTATCGTGCCATCCCAAACCAAACAGTGCTGGCGCTACTATTTTCAAGGCTGGAATGGGCTACAAGACCATCGCCAAGCAGCTTGGTGAGAAGGTGACAACAGTTGGTGCGATTATTCACAAATGGAAGAAACACAAAATAACTGTCAATCTCCCTCGGCCTGGGGCTCCATGCAAGATCTCACCTCGTGGAGTTGCAATGATCATGAGAACGGTGAGGAATCAGCCCAGAACTACACGGGAGGATCTTGTCAATGATCTCAAGGCAGCTGGGACCATAGTCACCAAGAAAACAATTGGTAACACACTACGCCGGAAAGGACTGAAATCCTGCAGCGCCCGCAAGGTCCCCCTGCTCAAGAAAGCACATATACAGGGCTGTCTGAAGTTTGCCAATGAACATTTGAATGATTCAGAGGAGAACTGGGTGAAAGTGTTGTGGTCAGATGAGACCAAAATGGAGCTCTTTGGCATCAACTCAACTCGCCGTGTTTGGAGGAGGAGGAATGCTGCCTATGACCCCAAGAACACCATCCCCACCGTCAAACATGGAGGTGGAAACATTATGCTTTGGGGGTGTTTTTCTGCTAAGGGGACAGGACAACTTCACCGCATCAAAGGGACGATGGACGGGGCCATGAACCGTCAAATCTTGGGTGAGAACCTCCTTCCCTCAGCCGGGGCATTGAAAATGGGTCGTGGATGGGTATTCCAGCATGACAATGACCCAAAACACACGGCCAAGGCAACAAAGGAGTGGCTCAAGAAGAAGCACATTAAGGTCCTGGAGTGGCCTAGCCAGTCTCCAGACCTTAATCCCGTAGAAAATCTGTGGAGGGAGCTGAAGGTTCGAGTTGCCAAAAGTCAGCCTCGAAACCTTAATGACTTGGAGAAGATCTCCAAAGAGGAGTGGGACAAAATCCCTCCTGAGATGTGTGCAAACCTGGTGGCCAACTACAAGAAACGTCTGACCTCTGTGATTGCCAACAAGGGTTCTGCCACCAAGTACTAAGTCATGTTTTGCAGAGGGGTCAAATACTTATTTCCCTCATTAAAATGCAAATCAATTTATAAAATTTTTGACATGCTTTTCTGGATTTGTTTGTTGTTATTCTGTCTCTCACTGTTCAAATAAACCTACCATTAAAATTATAGACTGATCATGTCTTTGTCAGTGGGCAAACGTACAAAATCAGCAGGGGATGAAATACTTTTTTCCCTCACTGTATAACAAGGACTATCAATGTCATGGTATCCTAAAAGTATTGGAAATAATAGTCCTCCCTGAGATGCAGTTTACATGGCACACACTTGGTTTTGGCAATGGCTTTTAAATCTCCCCGTCTAGTTATATCTCTCCATGTATTTATATACCACTTGATGACAGATCAATTTATGAGTTGGGGAAAAGCCACTCCCTATTTGTAGAGACTGAATCCTAAGGGAGAAGGTTTGTGTGTGAATACGTAGGTATGCGTAGATTTGGTGGTGTGTGCACGAATGGCTGTGTGTCTGTCAATGTGTGTGCACACATGTATGAATATGTTTGTCCATGCTCACATGTTATTGAGTGTGTTGGTAATACCCAGCATGCTCTCTGTTTTTGATAGAACACAAGGGATCTGCAAACTATCCTGAACATTCTGTACATTCTGAATGAGCTGTTAACCGTTGGTAAGTGGTAACCGCTCTTTAATTGGATAATTGGGGCAAACGGTGTTCTGTTTGAGTGTCCTGCGCTCTGATTCTACAAGTGTCAATTGTCTTGGGTGGAAACAGTGCTTTGATTGGGTAGGTTTTTACTCTAAAGCTGAGTTCACAGAGAGCATCTGAGAAAGTTTAGACTCATTTCAGCTGGTTTAGATTGTCAGATTGTAGAACTTTGGAACCTGTTCACACAAACTCTGACAACAGAGACTGACCAAGAATCTTTCAAAAAACTTTAAAACAGGATTTTGTTCATTGTCTGTTTTTTGCCTGGTCACACTGCCAGACTGATGGAATCCAGTTGAGATTAGTCTAGATTTTCTCTGATGGTCTGTGTGAACTCCGCCCAATGACAACTGAACTGATAGGTTGATTTTGTGGAAACTGACGGTGATCAGTTGACTTGTGAAAATTGAAATGGTGATTGATCAATTTGTGAAGGCTGTGGTAATAGGTGTGTGTGTCTCTCTCTATCCCAGGTGGGGGGCGCAGGATTGGAGTGTTTGTGTCCAAGGGTGGCACAGGCATCTTGCTGCAGTTGGTCCTTAGTGCCAGTAAAGAGTCTCCCCCCAGTGAGGAGGTCATGCTGCAGCTCCACTCAGTCCTGGCCAAGGTTGGACCAAAAGGTAACACACACACACACACACACACACACACACACACTATATGTGAAGGTACTCTACCACTGTACCAGGAGCCTCAACATTGTCATTCAAACTTCTACCATAAACTAAATCCATACCACAAACACACCAATTCTAGCACGTACACCCCTTCACGTCTGTCTTTCTTTCTTCAGACAGGAAGTTTGGTGTGAAAGCCCGTCTGAACGGAGCTCTGAACGTCACTGTGAACCTGCTCAAACAAAACCTGCAGAACCACAAGCTGCTGCTGCCCTGTCTGCTGGTTCTACGCGTCTACTCCTCCAACTGTGAGTCTGACCCACACTTACTAAACTGACCTTACATGTACTGTAGGAACCAGCATTCTGACTGACAGTTACTAACCCAACCTACTGTTGCCAGAGGAACCATACATCTGACTGACAGTTACTAACCCAACCTACTGTTGCCATAGGAACCATACATCTGACTGACAGTTACTATCCCAACCTATTGTAGTATAGCTTCAACTACAGCCAACTTCTTTCTGGTGGTATTGTTGAGGGCACTGAGGTTTGTCTGTCTTCAGCTGTGAACGCTGTGTCCCTGGGGAAGAATGGAGTGGTGGAGCTCATGTTGAAAATCATCGGACCCTACAGCAAAAAGAACACCAGTCTGCTGAAGTAAGTGGTGTGTGTATGTGTGTCGAGGATGAATGGTGTGTGTGCTGCTGTTTTTGACCCCTTTCTCTGGCTGTCTTTTACTCAACAGAGTATCCCTGGACACACTGGGGGCCTTGCTCAAATCCAGTAAGTACTGCTCTCACTCTGCAGTGTTTAGGACAATGTCCTGTCATGGTTTTTCAATAACAGTGCTATTGTCAGTGGCTATTATCAACCAGTATCTGTCTTTCCCTCCCTCTCTCTCTCGCTCCCTACTTCCCTCCCTCGCTTCCTCACACCTTCTCTCCATCCCTCCTTCCCTCCCCCCATCCATCCAACACTCCCTCCCTCAGAGACCAACGCCCGGCGGGCGGTGGTCCATGTGCCCGTCCTGCTGTACATCTACCAGGACTGGCACCGCAACGACACGTGCCACCGCCACATGCTCATCCGCAAGGGCGTCCTGGGCTGCCTGAAGAACATCACCAACAGCAAGCTGGGCCGCAAGGCCTTCATCGATGCTGACGGGATGAGGATCCTCTATAACACCTCCACTGTGAGTAGGGTGACAACATTACCAAAACTTGAGCTTAGACTCAGCCACCCTCTGTCTATGTCCCTAGCCTTAGCCCCAACTCTCGCTTCAACACCCCCACCTTGAGTCTCACCTTTACATTACACCAACACTGATGATTATGGTGATGATAATGTTCATGATAATGGTAAATATTAATGATGGTGATAAATAATAATGATGGTGATGTGTTGTTTTTAGGAGTGCCTGCCGGTGAGGACTCTGGACCCTCTGATCAACACTTCCAGCCTTATCATGAGGAAGTGCTTCCCCAAGAACCGCCTCCCTCTGCCCACCATCAAGAGTGTCTTCCACCACCAGCTGCTTCATGTACCTGCAGGAGGGCCAGTCGCTCAGCTCTACAACCAGCCCCCGGGGGGTGAGGCTCAAACACACACACATTCTATACTCACAATACTTGCGAGCCTCTTAAATCACCCCAATGGTCATTGCACACAGTTAACTCACACGCTCTACACGTCCCTTTCAGGAGTCCCCATTTACCAGTTCTACACCAAGCCCCCATGGGGTAAGACTTGTCACAATAAATAGCAGCAGCCTAACCACTACTGACTCACACTCCTCAATCTGTCACACTACTAACAGTATAATACACCCTCTCCTACATTAAGGATCTGTAACTCGAGAACTTTCACACTACTTACAGTTGTTCATTGACATCACCTCACTCAACAAGCCATCTGCAGGCTGGCCAATCAAGACACCAGCTCTTCTCTCTCTCTCTCTCTCTCTCTATCTCTCTATCTCTCTATCTATCCCTCCCATCTCATCTCACTCCTGGCTGCTTATTCTCACAATCACCTTTCTCTTCTCTCATCTAGTGCACAATCCAACCAACCAATCAGGGCTGGTTTCCAAAAATCATAAATATCCTCTTTAGCGTTGAGATCATTGTTCGTCGTTTGCTTACCAATGGACTTAAGATTGTCTTGGTACTGAAGATGATCTTAGTTTTTTGGAAACGCTAGACCCTGTAACCAGTCAGGTTACGCCTTTAATCTTTGGGTCAATTCCGTTTCAATTCTGTCAATTCAGGAAGTAAACTGTTTACTTCCTGGATTGACTGATTAGAAATGGAATTGATGCCAACCCTGCCTGTTTCCCTGTGCTTTCTAGTGGATGATGTGGTGGACGATAGCGACGATAATGAGGATGCCGAGGCCGAGAACGACACGGAGAACGAGGAGGAGGAGAAGAACAACCACGCTGGGGTACAGTGACCATGAACGCAGCCTTATAATTTAAACCACACCTTGTTTGACTGACCGCAGAATGACTACATGCAAACATACACTACCGTTCAAAAGTTTGGGGTCACTTAGAAATGTCCTTGTTTTCGAAAGAAAAGCAATTTTTTTGTCCATTAAAAGCAATTTTTTTGTCCACTTCTGATTGGTTCCAGTGGCTCTGACCCCCAGTTATTTCTCTGAGGATATCAGTTTTTTGTAACAATGCCCTAAACATAAGCCTGTAATTTACATTTTATTGAGGCATAGTGCAATTATGAATGCTATAATCATTGTACATACATCTCTCTCTCTCTCATATATATCTATCTACAGTGGGGGAAAAAATGTATTTAGTCAGCTACCAATTGTGCAAGTTCTCCCACTTAAAAAGATGAGAGAGGCCTGTAATTTTCATCATAGGTACACGTCAACTATGACAGACAAAATTAGATTTTCTTTTCCAGAAAATCACATTGTAGGATTTTTAATGAATTTATTTGCAAATTATGGTGGAAAATAAGTATTTGGTCAATAACAAAAGTTTCTCAATACTTTGTTATATACCCTTTGTTGGCAATGACACAGGTCAAACGTTTTCTGTAAGTCTTCACAAGGTTTTCACACACTGTTGCTGGTATTTTGGCCCATTCCTCCATGCAGATCTCCTCTAGAGCAGTGATGTTTTGGGGCTGTCGCTGGGCAACACGGACTTTCAACTCCCTCCAAAGATTTTCTATGGGGTTGAGATCTGGAGACTGGCTAGGCCACTCCAGGACCTTGAAATGCTTCTTACGAAGCCACTCCTTCGTTGCCCGGGCGGTGTGTTTGGGATCATTGTCATGCTGAAAGACCCAGCCACGTTTCATCTTCAATGCCCTTGCTGATGGAAGGAGGTTTTCACTCAAAATCTCACGATACATGGCCCCATTCATTCTTTCCTTTACACGGATCAGTCGTCCTGGTCCCTTTGCAGAAAAACAGCCCCAAAGCATGATGTTTCCACCCCCATGCTTCACAGTAGGTATGGTGTTCTTTGGATGCAACTCAGCATTCTTTGTCCTCCAAACACGACGAGTTGAGTTTTTACCAAAAAGTTATATTTTGGTTTCATCTGACCATATGACATTCTCCCAATCCTCTTCTGGATCATCCAAATGCACTCTAGCAAACTTCAGACGGGCCTGGACATGTACTGGCTTAAGCAGGGGGACACGTCTTGCACTGCAGGATTTGAGTCCCTGGCGGCGTAGTGTGTTACTGATGTAGGCTTTGTTACTTTGGTCCCAGTTCTCTGCAGGTCATTCACTAGGTCCCCCCGTGTGGTTCTGGGATTTTTGCTCACCGTTCTTGTGATCATTTTGACCCCACGGGGTGAGATCTTGCGTGGAGCCCCAGATCGAGGAAGATTATCAGTGGTCTTGTATGTCTTCCATTTCCTAATAATTGCTCCCACAGTTGATTTCTTCAAACCAAGCTGCTTACCTATTGCAGATTCAGTCTTCCCAGCCTGGTGCAGGTCTACAATTTTGTTTCTGGTGTCCTTTGACAGCTCTTTGGTCTTGGCCATAGTGGAGTTTGGAGTGTGACTGTTTGAGGTTGTGGACAGGTGTATTTTATACTGATAACAAGTTCAAACAGGTGCCATTAATACAGGTAACGAGTGGAGGACAGAGGAGCCTCTTAAAGAAGAAGTTACAGGTCTGTGAGAGCCAGAAATCTTGCTTGTTTGTAGGTGACCAAATACTTATTTTCCACCATAATTTGCAAATAAATTCATAAAAAATCCTACAATTTGATTTTCTGGGGAAAAAATGCTCAATTTGTCTGTCATAGTTGACGTGTACCTATGATGAAAATTACAGGCCTCTCTCATCTTTTTAAGCGGGAGAACTTGCACAATTGGTGGCTGACTAAATACTTTTTCCCCCCACTGTATCTATCTATCTATCTATATATATATATATATATATATATATATATATATATATATATATATATATATATATATATACTACCATTCAAAAGTTTGGGGTCACTATGAAATTTCCTTGTTTTCGAAAGAAAAGCACAAAAAAAAATCCATTAAAATAACATCAAATTGATGTGTAGACATTGTTAATGTTGTAAATGGCTATTGTAGCTGGAAACGGCTGATTGTTAATGGAACATCTACATAGGCGTACAGAGGCCCATTATCAGCAACCATCAGTCCTGTGTTTCAATGGCACGTTGTGTTTGCTAATCCAAGTTTATCATTTTAAAAGCCTAATTGATCATTAGAAAACCCTTTTGCAATTATGTTAGCACAGCTGAAAACTGTTGTGCTGATTTAAAGAAGCAATGAAACTGGCCTTCTTGAGACTAGTTGAGTATCTGGAGCATCAGCAATTGTGGGTTCGATTACAGGCTCAAAATGGCCAGAAACAAAGACCTTTCTTCTGACACTCGTCAGTCTATTCTTGTTCTGAGAAATGAAGGCTATTCCATGCGAGAAATTGCCAAGAAACTGAAGATCTCGTACAACGCTGTGTACTACTCCCTTCACAGAACAGCGCAAACTAGCTCTAACCAGAATAGAAAGAGGAGTGGGAGGCCCCGGTGCACAAACTGAGCAAGAGGACAAATACATGAGTGTCTAGTTTGAGAAACAGGCGCCTCACAGGTCCTCAATTGGCAGCTTCATTAAATAGTACCTGCAAAACACCAGTCTCAACGTCAACAGTGAAGAGGCGACTCCGGGATGCTGACCTTCTAGGCAGAGTTGCAAAGACAAAGCCATATCTCAGACTGGCCAATAAAAATAAAAGATTAAGATGGGCAGTCTGAGATATGGCTTTTTTTTTGCAGGTACTATTTAATGAAGCTGCCAGTTGAGGACCTGTGAGGCATCTGTTTCTCAAACTAGACACTCTAATATATTTGTCCTCTTGCTCAGTGTATATACTGACCACAACCACAGCTGCTCTCTGACCACATTCTCTCTCTCTGAGGTTGAAGTAAAAACAATCTAATACACTGTTTTCCATTGGGATCCTGTTCCTGCTTTTTGAGGTGTTTGATGATGCGTTCTCCCCTCTGCAGAATGATGACATAGAAACGGACATCAATAAACTGCGACCCAAAGAGACCCATAGCAGGCCGTTTGAAGAGCTGAAGATCTATGAGAGATTCTTCATGGAGCTCTCAGAGGATTTCCAGGTAATGCAGTACACGTTTTTGTGTCTTTAGTTTTAATAATAAGTGTGTAATGGAAATGTGTTATTTGCATATCCCAACTCTCCCTGAGACACCCGCAGGGATTAGGGTCACGGCCAGGGTCACCATTGTCCAGCGCCCCTGAAGCAATTGGGGTGAAGTGCCTTGCTCAAGGGCGCAGCGACAGATTTTTGACCTTGTATGCTCTGGGAATCGAACCAGCGACAATGTAATTGTATGCATCACTTCCAATCCCACATATACAGTACCAGTCAAAAGTTTGGACACACCTACTCATTCAAGGATTTTCCTTTATTTTTACTATTTTTACATTGTAGGATAATAGTGAAGACATCAAAACTATGAAATAACACATATAGAATCATGTAGTAACCCAAAAAGTGTTAAACAAATCAAAATATATGTTCAAATAGCCACCCTTTGCCTTGATGACAGCTTTGTACACTCTTGGCATTCTCTCAACCAGCTTCATGAGGTAGTCACCTGGAGTGCATTTCAATTAACAGGTGTGCCTTCTTAAAAGTTAATTTGTGGAATTTCTTTCCTTCTTAATGCGTTTGAGCCAATCAGTTGTGTTGTGACAAGGTAGTGGGGGGTATACAGAAGATAGCCCTATTTGGTAAAATACCAAGTCCATATTATGGCAAGAACAGCTCAAATAAGCAAAGAGAAACGACAGTCCATCATTACTTTAAGACATGAAGGTAAGTCAATCCGGAACATTTCAAGAACTTTGAAAGTTTCTTCAAGTGCAGTCGCGAAAACCATCAAGCGCTATGATGAAACTGGCATGAGGACCACCACAGGAATGGAAGACCTAGAGTTACCTCTGCTGCAGAGGAGAAGTTCATTAGAGTTACCAGCCTCGAAATTGCAGCCCAAATAAATGCTTCACAGAGTTCAAGTCACAGACACATCTCAACATCAACTGTTCAGAGGGGACTGTGTGAATCAGGCCTTCATGGTCGAATTGCTGCAAAGAAACCACTACTAAAGGCCACCAGTAGGAAGAAGAGACCTGCTTGGGCCAAGAAACACGAGCAATGGACATAAGACCGATGGAAATGTGTCCTTCGGTCTGGAGTCCAAATTTGAGATTTTTGGTTCCAACCGCTGTGTCTTTTGAGACGCAGTGTGGGTGAAAGGATGATCTCTGCATGTGTAGTTCCCACCGTAAAGTATTGAGGAGGAGGTGTTATGGTGTGGGGGTGCTTTGCTGGTGACACTATCTGTGATTTATTTATAATTCAAGGCACACTTAACCAACATGGCTACCACAGCATTCTGCAGCGATACGCTATCCCATCTGTTTTGCGCTTAGTGGGACTATCATTTGTTTTTCAACAGGACAATGACCCAACACACCTCCAGGCTGTGTAAGGGCTATTTTACCAAAAAAGAGAGTGATGGAGTGCTGCATCAGATGACCTGGCCTCCACAATCCCCCGTCCTCAACCAAATTGAGATGGTTTGGGATGAGTCAGACAGCAGAGTGAAGGAAAATCTGCCAACAAGTGCTAAGCATATATGGGAACTCCTTCAAGACTGTTGGAAAAGCATTCCAGGTGAAGCTGGTTGAGAGCATGCCAAGAGTGTGCAAAGCTGTCATCAAGGCAAAGGGTGGCTACTTTGAAGAATCTCAAATTTCCACCGGTCTACTGTCCATTGCTCGTGTGTCTTGGCCCAAGCAGGTCTCTTCTTCTTATTGGTGTCCTTTAGTAGTGGTTTCTTTGCAGCAATTCGACCATGAAGGCCTGATTCACACAGTCCCCTCTGAACAGTTGATGTTGAGATGTGTCTGTTACTTGAACTCTGTGAAGCATTTATTTGGGCTGCAATTTCTGACGCTGGTAACTCTAATGAACTTATCCTCTGGGTCTTCCATTCCTGTGGAGGTCCTCATGAGAGCCAGTTTCATCATAGCGCTTGATGGTTTTTACGACTGCACTTGAAGAAACTTTCAAAGTTCTTGAAATGTTCTGGATTGACTGACCTTCATGTCTTAAAGTAATAATGGCCTGTCGTTTCTCTTTGCTTATTTGAGCTGTTCTTGCCATAATATGGACTTGGTATTTTACCAAATAGGGCTATCTTCTGTATACCCCCCACTACCTTGTCACAACACAACTGATTGGCTCAAACGCATTAAGAAGGAAAGAAATTCCACAAATTAACTTTGAACATGCATATTATGGACACAGTATGTTTTACATTAGTTATCTTGTTATTAGTCCCAACCTTCAGCTCCATTCAACCCCTCCCATCTATCTCTTAACACCATCCATATTGGATTTCTATTTGCCATATATTTTTCAACTGTACTGTGATTTTTAACAAAAGTTTGAACCTTTCTATTCTTATTGTTTCTACAGATTGTAAGTTGAAAATAAAATGTTTTGCTAAAAGTATTATTATATTATTGATCAATTGACTATGACTTTTCAGATCACCCAGTAGTGCTATCTGCAGGGTTAGCTCCAGGTAAATATTGCAATTCTTCAGCCATTTCTGGACCTGTGACCAAAAACAAGCTACAAATGGACAGTACCAAAACAAATGATCTAATGATTCTGTCTCTTCGCAGCAAAATCTGCAGAGCTGGGAAGGTTGTATCCCTCATATTAATAACATTCTATTGGTTGCAAGAATTTTGTATAATAATTTAAATAGAAAAATTATACGTTTTGAATGCGGCGTAATTTTGCGTATCAGCTCATAAACCATGTGCCATGGAATCGGTACGTCAAAAATCTCTTCCCAACTATTTTGCAATCTATATGGGACGGCTGTCAATCTTTTGGTCCTTAAATGAAACTGGTATACTTTTTTATTCTTTAACCAATTATGGTCTTTAATGCAGGGCCGACAAACATGTTCCTTACTTTTTCCCCCTTACTTTTTGCTTTTGGTTACTGGCCCAACGCACTAACCTCAAGGCTATCTGCCACCCCCATGTTCAACATTCCATCTTAAAACTTGCAGAAGTGTGTTTTTCACCTGGGGACCACACTGTGGTAAGTGATCAGAAAGCTGCCTGTAGTCCTGAAGTTCAATCTCCTTTGTGTCTATGCAGGTGTTTAACTTTGACAACCCAAAGAGAGGTGTGACGGCCACCCCAGCAGCTCCCAAGTCTCACCGCCCCATCATCGTTCCCACCTCCCAGGCCCTGCCCCCGAAACACCCCACTGCTGCCACTCTTCAGGGGGAGTGCCCCCATCCGGCCCCAGTCCCTCGCCTGGACCTGGACACCATCAACATCACCAAGGACCAAGATGGCTGCTGTGACCACACCCACACCCGACCCCACCCTGGGGCGGGGCTGGAGCAGGAGCTGGTGCAGGGGCTGGAACGGGTGTCCCTGGATGGGGCTGGGCCTCAGGGCGGGGGAGGGGGTGGAGGAGGAGGGGTCAACAGGCACAATAGACAGCCCCCCCTACTGGCTGGGGGTGTGGCTGCCCGACCGGGTGGAGGGGGACAGGAGATGTTAGCGGAGGAGTGGGCTGAGGAGGAGGGAGGTGAGGGGGCAGTGCTGGAGGTGCCGGACACAGCCTTGCTCCTGCCGCTCCACGACCCTGACCTGTATGTAGAGATGGTGAAGAGCACGCGCTCTGTGCCACAGTACTCCGAGGTGGCCTACCCGGACTACTTTGGCCACGTGGCGCCCACCTTCCGAGAACACATCCTGGAGAGGGTCTACGGCGTGCAGAGGTGAGACCCCTAGACACTGATCTAGGTTCTATATGTCTGTTTGGCATCCCCCCCCCCCCCCCTGTTGTTTTACATTAGGGAGCTGGAACAGTAGCCTGACGGTTGCTGGTTCATTGCCAACAGTCAAATCGCTTAGTGTCTCGTCTTTCCACTAAAGATGATTTCCGGTAGTTGGGTGGCTCGTCTGAGTGAAGGGTTGGAGTGTTTTGTCAGAGTGGGCTCCCCTGCTGCTGCTGTTTGATGATGATGTCACTCAGTCCTCTGCCCCCCTACAGGACTAAGATCTTCCAGGACATTGAGAGACTGATCCACCCCAACGACATCCTGGATAAAGTGGTCTACGACTTGGACATACAGAGGTGAGCAACATCGTCAGTCCAGGGAACTAGGAGTGTTTGTGTGTGGTGTGTGTGTCTCACGGTGTGGGCCCTGTGTGTTTCAGTTGTCCAGTGGTTGACGACGGCGAATCTCTGAAGTTCAACTCTCAGTTTGAGTCTGGCAACCTGAGGAAAGCAGTTCAAGTCAGAAAGTGAGTGTTGTGTCCATTGTATCCCATTGTTAATTTTTTTTTATTAATGTAGCCCTTTACACTCATATATGGGTTCAAAATGGCAGATTTGGGCACTTAAATTGGAACGTAGTGGCTGTACAGTAGCATGCTATACATGAAGTCAGAGCTCTGGCTCTGCGCTTCACAGCGCTGTATGGGTTTTGACTGACAGCCATTCTGAACTTGAGCACAGAGCGCGACAAGATGATGCCCCGATCCCTCCCGCTAATTGGGCAACTTTTGCAAATGTTTTGTTGTTGGAGTGAGGGGGAAATGCTGTAAATTAAGATGACTATGTATTTTGAAAGATGAGACGTTGAGGATTATAATAAATACTGCTTTTATGTCGTAAAAGCAAGCCAATTATTCGTGAGTCCAAATGTGCACTTCACATTTCCATCTCATAAAACCATGTCCTATACAGTGTCAATGTTTATTATCACTATGTTTGATGTACAGTTACAAGATGACATGGCGTCATACCCTGGGTTGTTCTGAACAGAATGAGCCTGTTTGTTTATCGTTAAGAAAATGTGCTGCGGCACACGCACCTGAATGCACTCATGACTCCTTTGTTTTTTTGGGTGGGTATTTTTTACAGTACAAGCATCCACATACAAACAACAACATACAGACGCACACTAGGGTCAGATTGCTTGCTCTTACTTAGATCCATGGTTGTCTTATTATATCAGAGACTGAAACTGGCTTGGGCCTTTTGTTTCTATCTTCAAACACAGTGAAAAGAGCCTGGGTTGAACAGAGTTTAAACTAACCATGAGTGTTTTTGCAAGATAAGGATTGATTGATTGTAGTACTCTGAACTTAATGAAAGTCGAATTTAGCCGCCCTCAGAGACAAAGGAAGTGGGCGGAGCAATAAAAGAGCGGGAAACTGAAGAGGGCACTATATAAGATGGAGGGAGAGAAGAAGAGGGGGTTCCAATCTGCAGATTGACCTGGCTTTGTTGAATTAAAAATAAAGTCATTCTTGATGCAACAAAAGTTCTGTAAGACCTTTGATTTTTAATAAAGTATAGTGGTTATTTTCCACAACACCATTTTGTTTCTCTCCATCGACCACGCACTTTCAACATTTAGATAATAAAGCATTGACTCATTTCTATTCACACAAATTACGATCTGTTTCTCTGAATTACCTTATGAAAGCTTAACACTGTAATATCGTATTTTATAACTTAGCTAGTCATGTTGGCAATAGACCCTTTTCCAGTACACGACACTGACATCAGGTACAGATGCGCGCGACTCTTGGCGGCAGTAAGAAAGCCATCACCATCTGCGCCCATTCAACAGCCTAGATTTATGTTTTTAATACTTCTAAACAAAATAACCTTTTGGGGTTCTCATACGCTTACAATTATGTTTTAATTCTTGCTTGAACAGTCGCTAAGATTATACACTGGTCAATAAAATAAGGGAACACTAAAATAACACATCCTAGATCTGAATGAATGAAATAATCTTATTAAATACTTTTTTCTTTACATAGTTGAATGTGCTGACAACAAAATCACACAAAAATGATCAATAGAAATCAAATGTATCAACCCATGGAGGTCTGGATTTGGAGTCACCCTCAAAATTAAAGTGGAAAACCACACTACAGGCTGATCCAACTTTGATGTAATGTCCTTAAAACAAGTCAAAATGAGGCTCAGTAGTGTGTGTGGCCTCCACGTGCCTGTATGACCTCCCTACAATGCCTGGGCATGCTCCTGATGAGGTGGCGGATGGTCTCCTGAGGGATCTCCTCCCAGACCTGGACTAAAGCATCCGCCAACTCCTGGACAGTCTGTGGTGCAACGTGGCGTTGGTGGATGGAGCGAGACATGATGTCCCAGATGTGCTCAATTGGATTCAGGTCTGGGGAACGGGCGGGCCAGTCCATAGCATCAATGCCTTCCTCTTGCAGGAACTGCTGACACACTCCAGCCACATGAGGTCTAGCATTGTCTTGCATTAGGAGGAACCCAGGGCCAACCGCACCAGCATATGGTCTCGCAAGGGGTCTGAGGATCTCATCTCGGTACCTAATGGCAGTCAGGCTACCTCTGGCGAGCACATGGAGGGCTGTGCGGCCCCCCAAAGAAATGCCACCCCACACCATGACTGACCCACCGCCAAACCGGTCATGCTGGAGGATGTTGCAGGCAGCAGAACATTCTCCACGGCGTCTCCAGACTTTGTCACGTCTGTCACATGTGCTCAGTGTGAACCTGCTTTCATCTGTGAAGAGCACAGGGCGCCAGTGGCGAATTTGCCAATCTTGGTGTTCTCTGGCAAATGCCAAACGTCCTGCACGGTGTTGGGCTGTAAGCACAACCCCCACCTGTGGACGTCGGGCCCTCATACCACCCTCATGGAGTCTGTTTCTGACCGTTTGAGCAGACACATGCACATTTGTGGCCTGCTGGTGGTCATTTTGCAGGGCTCTGGCAGTGCTCCTCCTGCTCCTCCTTGCACAAAGGTGGAGGTAGCAGTCCTGCTGCTGGGTTGTTGCCCTCCTACGGCCTCCTCCACGTCTCCTGATGTACTGGCCTGTCTCCTGGTAGCGCCTCCATGCTCTGGACACTACGCTGACAGACACAGCAAACCTTTTTGCCACAGCTCGCATTGATGTGCCATCCTGGATGAGCTGCACTACCTGAGCCACTTGTGTGGGTTGTAGACTCCGTCTCATGCTACCACTAGAGTGAAAGCACCGCCAGCATTCAAAAGTGACCAAAACATCAGCCAGGAAGCATAGGAACTGAGAAGTGGTCTGTGGTCACCACCTGCAAAACCAGTCCTTTATTGGGGGTGTCTTGCTAATTGCCTATAATTTCCACCTGTTGTCTATTCCATTTGCACAACAGCATGTGAAATGTATTGTCAATCAGTGTTGCTTCCTAAGTGGACAATTTCACAGAAGTGTGATTGACTTGGAGTTACATTGTGTTGTTTAAGTGTTCCCTTTATTTTTTTGAGCAGTGTATTTGGTTGTGGTCTTTGCAAAATAACCATTTTGGATGCACTTGTTAGCTAGAATGCTAACGCTCATTGGCTAGCTTTTGCTACAAAGAGCCATTTTAATGGTTGAAGTCAAAGTTTGTTAAAAGGTATAATGCAAATGATTTGCGACGATGACGCAAACATTATATTAAGCAGGACATTCATACGAGCCTTAAAATCCTAAATAATCCAACATGTAAATAGAGGCATTTTTGCTGGCGTTCTATAAGAACTTCCCCTTGTTCTGCAACCAACTTGCGCACATCGCCCTCATGCGGCAATGTTTGCAAACACAGAAAGGGGTCTATAGAACAAGCTTTGAAATCATGCCCATCTGACCCAAATTGCGATTGTTATAATGGACCGGTTTTGGATTGTGTAAACAACAACAGTAATTGTGTGAAGGCTGGGATGCAGGGTTGTGTTCCAAACAAAACAACTACAAGTGTGCTTGCTCTAGTTCTTCAACAGCACAGCTAGGAGAGCTAAAAAAATGTTTACCTTATAGTTGAAGACTCTTCTTTGAGTCATAAAAGTGCATTGAAATTGCTTAGGAACTGTGCACACTTTGGAAAGGTGTGTGTCCCCTTGGAGATACCAGTTAGTCCTCTCACTCAAACCCTTATCATTGTTTTTGTCTTATGTTGCACCTACCCCACATTATCCAGGAATATTCTTACCATGTTACTGAATGTATCCGGAGTATTTTCAGATTACGTTATCAACAAATGCGGCGAAAAGTACAGTAAATGTAAAATGCACATAAAATCAACAGTGTAATGTTTGGATTCAGTCTTGTCAGGTGAACTGAATAATTTTGCCATTATCTCCAAACTGTTCCCTTTCAATTGCTACCATGGTTATGCATATGCTTCTCATATTTCTTAATTTTGCCCTAACCATATAGGCCAATTCCCATGACTGTAAAGGGTTAATTCAATATAATAAAACATCAGGAGCTGGTTAATGTAATAGTAGTTGTTGTATTCAATTGTGTCTTTGCCCACATGTATGGGCCATTTGGTTTGCTTAAAGGTTGAGCTGATGTGATCTGTGTGTGTTCCAGGTTTGAGTACGACCTGGTCCTAAACTCCGACATCAATAGTAACCACTACCACCAATGGTTCTATTTTGAGGTGAGCGGCATGCGCGTGGGAGCCCCCTATCGCTTCAACATCATCAACTGTGAAAAGTCCAACAGCCAGTTCAACTACGGTAAGTCACTGACTGACTTGGTCATTTTTGTTGCATTATTTAGCCAATAATGTTTGGCAAAGCTTCTGTGTTTAGATAGAAATGTTAATTCAGTTTGCTGTGTGTATGGAATGAATGTCTCCTTGGTACTGTCTGCAGGTATGCAGGTGCTGATGTACTCTGTTCAGGAGGCCATTAGCGGCAGGCCCCGTTGGATTCGCACTGGAACGGACATCTGTTACTACAAGTAGGTGTGATTGTCCTCCCTCACCCCACCAGCAGAGGCAGTATCACACAGCCCACTGGACAAGTAGTGCACCTGTCAGGAGAAATGAGCCCGTTCCATTACTTTAGAAATGCATCCTTCCGACCTGTACCTTGAAGTAACCACAGATCTAAATTGGTTAGTGTGGTGAAAGTAATAGGGTTGTAACTTTGCTTTCACTTATCCTATCACTTATAGGTCTGTGCTTACCTCAAGGAAGCGAGGAAGGAAGGGTGCATTTTGTAGTATTAAGTATTTGAACAGGGCCATGAAATAGGTTACTTGTTGGTCACTTCCGTAGATACTGATGTCATGTGAATGTGAATGTGTTTGTAGGTTTCTGTTTGTTATTGTATCAAGCTTTTGTGAACTTCTCAACCTTTTACCCAGAAACCACTTCTCCAGGAGCTCGATAGCAGCAGGCGGTCAGAAGGGAAAGTCCTACTACACCATGACCTTCAGCATGATCTTCAACCACAAGGACGATGTCTGCTACTTCGCTTACCACTACCCCTACACCTACTCTACTCTAAAGGTACTGTATTCCACTACCCCTACACCACTATATACACCTACTCTACTGTATACCACTACCCCTACTCTACTATATACCACTAACCCTACACTACTCTAAAGGTACTGTATACCCCTACACCTACTCTACTATATACCCCTACATAGGGCTGGGCAGTATACCGTATTTTATGATATACTGGTATTGATACATGGACCGGTTTGGGTTTTTACTTTACCTTCTATAATGGTATTTGAATGTTTGGTTTGTTAAATGTGATACGCCGTATGTAACGTCCATTTTACTTCGCTACTTGAGTCATCTCTCTCCGCTCGCTCTCTCTCCATGCTGCTTGTCACACAGACTTGCCCCGCTCCTTGTCACTCAAGGAGTGCATTTGTTGTTTCTCAACCACGAGACACTTGCGTTCAGTCTGCATGGTCATTGCAGCACATGCAACAATGTTGATGACAATTCACTTTGCTTCTTAAGTTTGTCTTTCTTACATCTGCAAACAGCTAGTTTTTATTTTCTTAGCATTTAAAAACATTAACGTGTGTGTCTATCAGTTACACATGCATGTCAGTACATACAGTGAGGGGGAAAAGTATTTGATCCCCTGCTGATTTTGTACGTTTGCCCACTGACAAAGAAATGATCAGTCTATAATTGTAATGGTAGGTTTATTTGAACAGTGAGAGACAGAATAACAACAAAATAATCCAGAAAAACGCATGTCAAAAATCGTATAAGTTGATTAGCATTTTAATGAGGGAAATAAGTATTTGACCCCCTCTCAATCAGAAAGATTTCTGGCTCCCATGTGTCTTTTATACAGGTAACAAGCTGAAATTAGGAGCACTCCCTTTAAGAGTGTGCTCCTAATCTCAGCTCGTTACCTGTATAAAAGACACCTGTCCACAGAAGCAATCAATCAATCAGATTCCAAACTCTCCACCATGGCCAAGACCAAAGAGCTCTCCAAGGATGTCAGGGACAAGATTGTAGACCTACACAAGGCTGGAATGGGCTACAAGACCATCGCCAAGCAGCTTGGTGAGAAGGTGACAACAGTTGGTGCGATTATTCACAAATGGAAGAAACACAAAATAACTGTCAATCTCCCTCGGCCTGGGGCTCCATGCAAGATCTCACCTCGTGGAGTTGCAATGATCATGAGAACGGTGAGGAATCAGCCCAGAACTACACGGGAGGATCTTGTCAATGATCTCAAGGCAGCTGGGACCATAGTCACCAAGAAAACAATTGGTAACACACTACGCCGTGAAGGACTGAAATCCTGCAGCGCCCGCAAGGTCCCCCTGCTCAAGAAAGCACATATACATGCCCGTCTGAAGTTTGCAATGAACATCTGAATGATTCAGAGGAGAACTGGGTGAAAGTGTTGTGGTCAGATGAGACCAAAATGGAGCTCTTTGGCATCAACTCAACTCGCCGTGATTGGAGGAGGAGGAATGCTGCCTATGACCCCAAGAACACCATCCCCACCGTCAAACATGGAGGTGGAAACATTATGCTTTGGGGGTGTTTTTCTGCTAAGGGGACAGGACAACTTCACCGCATCAAATACTTATTTCCCTCATTAAAATGCAAATCAATTTATAACATTTTTGACATGCGTTTTTCTGGATTTTTTTGTTGTTATTCTGTTTCTCACTTTTCAAATAAACCTACCATTAAAATTATAGACTGATCATTTCTTTGTCAGTGGGAAAACGTACAAAATCAGCAGTGGATCAAATACTTTTTTCCCTCACTGTACACACAACAAGTAGGTCACAAGGGAGAGAGGTGTTGTGTTGCTTTATTTGTTTTTTGAAACCAGGTTTGCTGTTCACTTGTGCTATATAAGATAATAATAATAATAATATGCCATTTAGCAGACGCTTTTATCCAAAGCGACTTACAGTCATGCGTGCATACATTTTTTTTTTTGTATATGGGTGGTCCCGGGGTTCGACCCCACTACCTTGGCGTTACAAGCGCCGTGCTCTACCAGCTGAGCTACAGAGGACCACAAAGATGGAAGGGAGTTCCGCGCACTCATGGCTCTGGATAATACTGTACGTTTTCTTGAATTTGTTCTGGACCATGGGACTGTGAAAAGACCCCTGGTGGCATGTCTGCTGGGGTAAGTGTGTGTGTCAGTGCTGTGTGTAAGTTGACTATGCAAACAATTTGGAATTTCCAACACATTCATGTTTCTTATAAAAACAAGAAGTGACACAGTAAGTCTCTCCTCAACTCTTAGCCAAGACAAACTGGCATGCATAGTATTAATATTAGCCTTCTGATTACAATGAAGAGCAAGACGTGCCGCTCTGTTCTGGGCCAGCTGCAGCTTAACTAGGTCTTTCTTTGCAGCACTTGACCATATGACTGGACAATAATCAAGAAAAGATCAAACTGGAGCCTGCAGGACTCACTTTGTGGCTTGTGGTGTCAAAAAAGCAAAGCATCTCTTTATTACGGACAGACCTCTCCCCAGCTTTACAACCACTGAACAAAAATATAAACGCAACATGTAAAGTGTTGGTCCCATGTTTCATGAGCTGAAATAAAATATCCTAGAAATGTTCCATACGCACAAAAAGCTTATTTCTCAAAATGTTGTGCACAAATTTGTTTACATCCCTGTTCGTGAGCATTTCTCCTTTGCCAAGATAATCCATCTACCTGACAGGTGTGGCATATCAAGAAGCTGATTAAACAGCATGATCATTACACAGGTGCACCTTGTGCTGGGGACAATAAAAGGCCACTCTAAAATGTGCAGTTTTGTCACACAACACAATGCCACAGATGTCTCAAGTTTTGAGGGAGCGTGCAATTGGCATGCTTACTGCAGGAATGTCCACCAGAGCTGTTGCCAGAGAATTTAATGTTCATTTCTCTACCATAAGCCGACTGCAATGTAGTTTTAGAGAATTTGGCAGTACATCCAACCGGCCTCACAACTGCAGACCACGTGTAACCATGCCTGCCCAGGACCTCCACATCTGGCTTCTTCACCTGCGGGATTGTCTGAGGAGGGGGACGGTGGGGCTGAGGAGTATTTCTGTCTGTAATAAAGCCCTTTTGTGGGGAAAAACTCATTCTGATTGGCTGGGCCTGGCTCCCCAGTGGGTGGACCTGGCTGCCAAGTGGGTGGGCCTATGCCCTTCCAGGCCCACCCATGGCTGTGCCCCACCCAATCATGTGAAATCGATAGATTAGGGCCTAATTAATTTATTTAAATTGACCTATTTCCTTCTATGAACTGTAACTCAGTAAAATCTTTGAAATTGTTGCATGTTGCGTTTAAAAAATATATTTTTGTTAGGTATACAGTGGAGAGAACAAGTATTTGATACACTGCCGATTTTGCAGGTTTTCCTACTTACAAAGCATGTAGAGGTCTGTAATTTTTATCATAGGTACACTTCAACTGTGAGAGATGGAATCTAAAACAAAAATCCAGAAAATCACATTGTATGATTTTTAAGTAATTAATTTGCATTTTATTGCATGACATAAGTATTTGATCACCTACCAACCAGTAAGAATTCCGGCTCTCAAAGACCTGTTAGTTTTTCTTGAAGAAGCCCTCCTGTTCTCCACTCATTACCTGTATTAACTGCACCTGTTTGAACTCGTTACCTGTATAAAAGACACCTGTCCACACACTCAATCAAACAGACTCCAACCTCTCCACAATGGCCAAGACCAGAGAGCTGTGTAAGGACATCAGGGATAAAATTGTAGACCTGCACAAGGCTGGGATGAGCTACGGGACAATAGGCAAGCAGCTTGGTGAGAAGGCAACAACTGTTGGCGCAATTATTAGAAAATGGAAGAAGTTCAAGATGACGGTCAATCACCCTCGGTCTGGGGCTCCATGCAAGATCTCACCTCGTGGGGCATCAATGATCATGAGGAAGGTGAGGGATCAGCCCAGAACTACACGGCAGGACCTGGTCAATGACCTGAAGAGAGCTGGGACCACAGTCTCAAAGAAAACCATTAGTAACACACTACGATTAAAATCCTGCAGCACACGCAAGGTCCCCCTGCTCATGCCAGCGCATGTCCAGGCCCGTCTGAAGTTTGCCAATGACCATCTGGATGATCCAGAGGAGGAATGGGAGAAGGTCATGTGGTCTGATGAGACATAAATAGAGCTTTTTGGTCTAAACTCCACTCGCCGTGTTTGGAGGAAGAAGAAGGATGAGTACAACCCCAAGAACACCATCCCAACCGTGAAGAATGGAGGTGGAAACATCATTCTTTGGGGATGCTTTTCTGCAAAGGGGACAGGACGACTGCACCGTATTGAGGGGAGGATGGATGGGGCCATGTATCGCGAGATCTTGGCCAACAACCTCCTTCCCTCAGTAAGAGCATTGAAGATGGGTCGTGGCTGGGTCTTCCAGCATGACAACGACCCGAAACACACAGCCAGGGCAACTAAGGAGTGGCTCCGTAAGAAGCATCTCAAGGTCCTGGAGTGGCCTAGCCAGTCTCCAGACCTGAACCCAATAGAAAATCTTTGGAGGGAGCTGAAAGTCCGTATTGCCCAGCAACAGCCCCGAAACCTGAAGGATCTGGAGAAGGTCTGTATGGAGGAGTGGGCCAAAATCCCTGCTGCAGTATGTGCAAACCTGGTCAAGACCTACAGGAAACGTATGATCTCTGTAATTGCAAACAAAGGTTTCTGTACCAAATATTAAGTTCTGCTTTTCTAATGTATCAAATACTTATGTCATGCAATAAAATGCAAATTAATTACTTAAAAATCATACAATGTGATTTTCTGGATTTTTGTTTTAGATTCCGTCTCTCACAGTTGAAGTGTACCTATGATAAAAATTACAGACCTCTACATGCTTTGTAAGTAGGAAAACCTGCAAAATCGGCAGTGTATCAAATACTTGTTCTCTCCACTGTACATATGTTTCGACCATGACAGTTTAGAATCTAAAGTAACACCAAGTAATTAAGTCTCCTCAACTTGCTCAACA